ATTTGATGAAAAGTCCACCAGAGTTATCCGGCGCATCATAGAATAGGGACCCAGCGATCAAGGCCTGGCACAGTGTTGCCACCTGCTTGATTATGAACGTAGCTTTGTCGCCCCATAAGATTTGGTACTGGCGCTGCACACAGATCTTAACCTGATCATAGAAGCCGACGGTGAAGGGGCTGTTCTTGGGCAGGGCTTTGGAGGTTTCAAAAGCCACGCCTTGCTTGAATTCCTCGGTCCGCTCGCGGGCGAGATCGGAGTCTGGGTAAGAGTAATCTGCTACCATTTCAGTGTAGATAGGTGATTTTTCATACTCAGTCCTTAACGCCTCTGCATTGCGCGGGAAGCGGCTTTCGAAGCCATCTCGAATTCTGCGTTCGGTGGGCACGGTGACACCAGTGAGGTAATCGGCGATGTTGGATCCTTCGCGGCAGATGAATCCGGCTTCCTCCATGAATGGCCTAGCTTGCTCTCTGGTACCGTAGAAGATCTGCTCTCCTTCATCAAGCACGAGAACTTTATCGAACAAATCATAAATGCCGTTACCAGCCTGGTAGAGAGTAACCACGGTAGACAGATTGAGGGTGTCGGTCATAGCTCGGATAGCCTTCGTCCATTCGAGGGCGGTGGAGGCATCAAGGCCACGAGTCGATTGGTCCCAGCAGAAGACGGACCCTCGGGTGGCCATACATTCGATGATGGAAACTCGCTTGCGCTCACCACCACTCACTCCGCGAACGTATTCATTACCGACCTTAGTGTCCTCGGTATGAGAGATTCCGACGGATTCGAGGAGGAACTTTTTCGATGCTTGTTGGTATTCCGAAGCAGTCATGCCGTCTGGCAGATGGAAGGGCACCTTAAGTCGCGTGGCGAAGTCCATAGTTTGACCAACTGTTAGGGCTGGGAAGAAGATCTCTTCTTCGGTGTTCATCACAATCTGGCCTCGGAACATTTCAGCCTCCTTGGGATTCATGGAACCAAAGCGAACATCGCCTTCCACTGATTTGTATCCTCCTCGTCGGTTGGCAAGCATTTTCAACAATGTCGTGCAGCCAGAGCCGGGACGGCCTAGCACAAGCAACATTTCACCGGGCTTCACGCAGCCATGACTCTTGTTGAGGATTGTTCGTAGAGGAAGCTTTCGCCGACCCTCTTTGATTTTGGTGGGAATATTGAACTGGGATAGAACAGTCTCATTCACAGCGGCCTCTGAACTTGTTACCTGTACGGAGAGATCCTGCCATGTGACACCAAGTTCCTGTTTCTTGAAACCAGCAGCCAAGTTGCGATCGTTCTCCTCCTGGAGCTTGGACATCATGTTCCAGTCATTTCCTTTCCGATTAGGGCTCTCCTTGCGGGGAGTTTCGTCGCCCGTGATCGTCATGGCGCTTTCCGTATCGAATTGGATCTCATCAGAGCTTGCGCCCAGTCCTTTTTCTGACCCATCCATTATGGCGGGAAAGACGGAAAAAGGGGAAAGGCGTTGAAAAAGGGCAGTTAGTAGACGTAGATACTAATTTGGGGGACTGCATCCTTATATGAGAAGGTGTCGGGGGGTCCACGACAACAGCCCCGAAAAACATCGTTTTGTCATTGGCAGCATTAAGATTCAATGCGGAGCCCCAGTTGATCAAACACATGTTTTGCTCTCGAACCCCTGTTAAGAGTCATAAATTAAGGATCTCTTCAAGGCTAAAATGCGTTCGGAGGGACTTTTCTGCACCCGATCCGCTTACTCATCGGCTTCTTCGGTCACACGAAGCTCCGATTGGAGCCTTGGCACCTGTCGGTCTCCGTCGAAGACTGAACAGGATGTTTCATTGGATGAGAGAAGTTGCTTATGGTAAGAATATCCATGGATGACACTATCTTATCCCGTCTTGTTTAGTAGCCACGGCGCGATACAAAAGCCGACTGTTAGATGAATAATCGACAACATACCTATATTAACTACTACTCGTGGGTGAATCCGAGGGGATTAATATAATTGGTCCATGATAACAAGATCTGATACCCAAATGCATGTTTATACGATCTTGACCGACTTTCGATTCCTCGGATACTTGCTAATAAAGTGAAACAGACTGTCTAGACCCTCAATCATACTACAATATTTCCTGGTTAGCACGCCTCTCACGTAATATTATTAATTGTTGCCTAAAATCAGATTGTGATCCTTGGAAGCCCAGAGCCGACTCCTAAGTGAGACCCAATTATAAATAGCCGGAAACCTCGTATTCGACCTTCGAGCTTATTTGAGGTCATTGTTATCGGGGATTTGGGATTTGCACATGTGTCTTGCATATGGACATTCGTATGAGATTTAACCAGAATTACAATTCTTCAAATGTTTCAATTGGCACCAAGCTTTGTGCCAAACACGCGATTTATATTAAGAGAGTAAATGAACCCTAAAAGAAAAACCGTCACGTCCCTCAGGCGCTTGCACTTGTCGAGGCACACCTATCGAGATTCCGCATATTAAGATGACGATCATGTTTGGTCTGACATATCATTCGTTTTCAATACGTGAAATTCATGAATGGAACGTGATATTCAAACCCTACGATTCCACGAATGGGGAAGTTGTTTTGCACACTTTACACCCAGCCACGGGTATTTTATTATGTGTTATGTAGGAAAGGCGTTTTGTCCGTCTAGTTATAGCAGAAAGCATGCTGGAAAGGACATCAGAAAGGATATCAGTAAATGGGCGAGCCAGGATGCTAGGCCAACAGGGGTCTACGGCTAACAGTACCCACCAAAGCCCCGGAAGCCTGGTTTATCCGCTCCGCCGCTTACCTAGCAGGTAAACATCAAAGGGAAACCGATCCTGCGTCTGCCAGTAAATCAACGTGAGAAACTAATCATCGATAGCAAAACCTTCGATCAGCAAGTATCTAGAATTTCCATCAACACCAAATCTGTCGGCCCACACAGGGAGCTTGAGATGAAAAATTTTGCCTCTTGCGATTTAGTGCCGGGAAAGGCGTAATCCATGAACTGCCACTGGCGAGACCAAGAAAAACACGGTGCGGGTTTGTACAGAATGTCCCGAACAACCGAATCCTCACCCTAGTCAACTTGGAGACAATCGGACAGGTTATTAGGGCTATAAAAAAGGAGGGCAAGAAGTCGGAAGCCACCCTCAAGTTGTTTAAACGCAAAGGCGTGGACGAAGATTATGAAGATGGGTAAGTGATTCCCTGGATACATATATTCATGGAAATGAAAGAGTCTAGTTGTGTGCTACTATCGCTGAATTTTGCTCCAAGGGTCAAATCGAATTTCCGAGCGATTGGGTCTGCTTGTCTGGACAAGAACGGAAAGATGGATCTAAAGGAGCAATATAGAATCGAAAGAAACGGAACGAGGCTATAGAAAGCGTCGTGTATATGAAATTATCATATAATCATACCTATATAGGCAGTCGGGGGCAATGTGGGATGGAGGAATGAGCATATCCAAGTTTGGATGAGTGAAGAAAACATTCGACTGTAGACCCTCGCGCGCGAGTTCTTCAATCACTATTTCTCCTTCTTTCCAATCCTCCTCTGCTTTCTTTCTTCCTTCTCGTCCTCTCACTTCATCATCCATCCATCCATCCATCCATTGATTTGATCTGCTTTCCATCCAATCCATTAAGCATGATGAGATCGCGGTATCGCCTCTCGCCTTAGACATCATTGTGGGGGGATACACTGACATTTATAGCCGATCTCTTGCGCTTTCCCCCCCACCTAAGCCTTTGAACCTCCCAGCCCCCCCACACTGGGTCCGACGAGCACCCTCCAGGGGAGTGGGCCTCCCATCTCCAGGAACTTCGTTATGAGTGCGTACGGGATGGATGGGGCATCTCGCCTCCCTTCCTGCGTCTTCTCGCCAACCTCCCACCTCGCCGAGAGCCCATGCTGCGGAGCGGCATCCCCTGGGGTGCTTTGGACCTAAACGAAGAGATCGGCAAGCTTCCCGGACATGTGGAAGCGGCATACATGTTCATGGTCGGGCGTCGTGTTGAGTTGGCGTGTTCGTTGTGCCAACTGGGACAAGGGCCTTTCCCTTTCTGTGTAGTCGTCGACTACGAAGACGGTCAATCTGAGTGTTGTAATTGCCTCTGGGAATGCACCACCAACGGCTGTTGGCTCCTTGGGAAACGCGGTAAAATTTGCAATCCCTCCTGTTGAGTACTCTTCCTAGTCGACGACTCGTACGAGTCATTATCCCACACTACGACCTGGTTGAAATTTGGTTCCTTGCCAACTTCAAAGGCCTCTCAGATAAAGCCATTCACCACATTGTATTTGTTCTATTACAGGACCTAGGCCATAAAGTGCACAAATGTAACTGAACAAATTACCAAGATGCCATATTTCGGGGGTGGATGTTTGTGTGTTTTTTTATATTCAAAGACGGCCCCTCTTGCCCGAAATAAACAACAACCAACCGGTAGTAACGCTACATAATCGCTAACTCGATCTCAGCTACGGTCCGGCCGAGGGCATTCTATATTCTGAGAGACTCGGAATATATTTAGGTAGTATAATATTTTATCAAACAACAAACCAGCACTGGAGTGGGAAATATTATCCGAGGGAGTGCTGCTGGTTATCGGCCCGTTACCCCCCTTCCGTAACAAGTCTGTCAATGTAGATTGTGCCGATCTTTGTGAACTAGTAATCTTGGCGTTCTATTTCGTCTGAATACCGTAATATATTCACCAAAAAACTTCTAGATCGGTGTAAATGGTATATGCAATACACTAAGCTAGTGAAAGTTACCCTCTTCTTGGCGGAGCCACATTGACCGACTTCTTACGGAAGGGGGTAACGGGCCGATAACCTGGTGTGTTTTGTAAGCGCTGCTTTTCCAACCTTGTCATATAAATACGTCGTCTTGGTGCCACATTGTGTTTTTACCAATACTCACCTGGCGATATTGCGCAGCTGCACTGGTGGTTATATTCTCTTTCCTTATTTGATATCGAACTACCCAGCACAATGGGACAGACACTTGCCGACAAGAACCAAGAATATTGGAAGTGAGTCGTGATGGGGAGACTCCCATGAGAGACGTACGGCAAGCACCTTGGGAGAAATGCTGACAGCTGAATTCCTCTAGCAATGCTTCGCATCATGTTTTCAAAGACAAATGGATTCAAGATATGCAGAATCAGGTTTTAGAATTCCTGACGGGTAACGTCGACTGGATAGGCGTTCAGTTTCCTACAGGCGACAATGAGCGGCAGACGAAGTTGATGGATTATGCCTGCGGAAATGGCATTGTGTCTCGCGTGAGTTATTGACCTTGGTTGACGATTAGAACATATGATATCTACAGGAGAAAATACTGACCGTTGACATTCTGCAGTCCCTGCATCATCTTTTTCCAAATGCATTGGCATTGACCTATCAGCTGGCATGCTAGACGAATATCGTGCAACCGCAGCCGAACTAGGCCTCGACAACTCACGCATGTCGGCCGTTCAGGGTGATCTCTTGGCTCCCACGCTTACACCGACTACCCCTCCACTTAGCAAAGAAGAGCTGGATGGGTTCGATTTGGTAGCGATTTGTATGGCATTGCACCATGTCGAAGACATCGCTTTGGCCACCAAACGTCTCGCCGAAAGGCTGCGACCGGGTGGTGTGCTTCTGATCATCGACTGGGCGGCGCGTGATTTGTTGAATGAGCCTGAGCAGCAAGTCAGGGAGCAGACAACTCCGTCCTCTTCAGGGGTTCATCACGATCACCACCATCACCATATGCACGGTGTAATAGACCCAAAACACCCTGCAGCGCATACCATGTCCCACAACAGCTTTTCACGGGATCAGATACTCTCCCTCTTCGAACAAGCGGGCTGTGCAGAGTCTCAATTTATGTTGGCGGATCGACTATCGCCCGTTCCTGGCGCTCGGAGTGGGCAGATGCAACTGTTTTGGGCTCGTGCGACTAAGCTGTAACATGTCTCAGTTACAGTCTTCCTTTTCTCTTTCGTTCATTTATACTCAAGTTCATTCCTTCATGATCTTGTCTACTATGAATTAGTACACCGCAAGGAGGAATGACCCTCAGGATTGTGTGGCGGAAGAAGAAGAAGAAGAGGGATGGTGCCCAGCGGGAGTGAATTTCCAGATCCATTGTACTCCTCGAGTGATCGCGAGCGGCAGCCGACGGATGAGATGCGCAAAAGTGAGAGTGGGCATAAAGTGTACTGGTAGGTGTTACGGACAAGACCAGGGGCAGATAGAGTTCATTTCATTTGTGTTTTATGTTTCGAAGTATAGTGTACATATGTAATGATTATAACCCTGAGAAAATGTACTGAGGAAGTATCACTAGTTCTTCTCTGTGCATCGAGATAATCAATATGTTCTTCATCGGTGCCTGCTGCACTGGGCGGGAAGAGCTGCAAGAAGCTCCTTAGTCCGGGATCCCATCTCCTGGTACCACTGGGTGTGTATCTTATTTGATGGCCTTCTGCGTAGATCCGCAGCCTGTGTCTGCTGTTGCAGAATCTCTTGACTACAGTACTGAATGGTTTCAACGCATCGTCGCAAATCACGCCGCATCATTGCAGCCCGGAAGATCTCTTGTTCCTCTGGATCAAACTCGAGACATCCAAACTGGAAAAGCGGGGCCTCTGAACCCCCGCTGATGGCCGATCTGGGACTCGATCCACTACTCGGTGTCTCGCTCATCTCAGCCGGCTGCTGAAACAGACTGTTTTGCCAGAGCGGATTGTTCTCGTCGACCGCAGGGCGCTCGGTTGAGAGGATCACGATCTCATATAGCCCTACAACCAGATCCATGATAGTCGCCACCAAGAGCGGGCAACTATGGCACCGTCGAAATTCGTCGGTCTTGCTCACCTCCCGTACCTTGGCCATGGCGTGCCGGTTCAACTGCATCGCTTGATCGATTGGGGCCTGGGGGTTCTGTAGCTGCTCTTCCAAGCACTCTATGGTCTCCATCAGGGCGGAGGCATGCATATGAGACGACATAGCTGAGTTCTCGCGATAGCTAGGGGTGATTGGGGCTCTCGCGTCAGTTTGTTCCGCCAATCGGGACCGCACCGCATGCGCCTTCCGCTCCTGGATGGGGAATTCCAGAGTGCACTTATCGGACATGCCCTCGGAAGTGGAAATCCCAGGGATGTCTAGAGGCAAATCAGGGAACAAGTTCTCCGTTCCCAGCCAGATAGGATCGGTCGCGCCGGGAGAAACCAGCGGCAGATCCGCTGGGTAGTTGCTTAACAGGTTCTGCATATAACTATTGATCTCTGTGTCGGCAGCGACGGCGGTAAACTCCCCCATCGTGAAAATGGAACCATCCCCCATCGTAGTAGTCACTGCGGTAGGCTGATGCTCTGTCCTGGCCACACTGACTAGCGGTTGCTGGGAAGACCCGCTTTCTGGACCTGATTGAGGTAAAGTCGTGCTGTGCGGAACTCGGGATCCTTGCAGACGGGAAATCCGGTCATTCGCTTTCATGCGTCGCTTCTTTGGCGCACGGCCTACCATTGAAATATGGTATTCGCAGGAGAGTCCGTTCCGGCGACAGCGGTCACAGCCATACTTCTCGCCGCTGCAACGGACCTAAAGATGTTCATCACGGTCAGGGTTTTTCGATCGCTCCCATTGCAATTTGACCTACCTTGGCGGCGTAACACTCCGTACAGGCAGATCGTAGGCGCAAAGGTTGTCGAGTACCTAACATGGTAATGGCATTGGCTATACTATAACGGGGGTGAGAGCACTCCAAGGGACATATGTCAAATGGTCAACCGTTATTCTCATACAATCTGGCAATTTTATGGTAGATAGTGCGACAATCATATTGAAGAAAGAGAACTAAGGAGGAAAGAGTCCCAGCTCTGGAGGTGTCGAAGAGTCGGAGACATATTGATATCTCGGAGACTTCCAAATCAGGCTAACCCACATGTAGTTTAGCGTTGGGGTTTATAGTTTATATACTGGGAAGGTCATTGATTCCCCAACCCTTTCTACATATTCTTAGGTATTGTACTCTCCATTGTCAAATTATACCTAGGGGTGCATGGCTACAGAGAGGGTATCATAATGGTGTTTATCTATAAATAAGCAAGCACTACATTATATGTGGCTGACATATTCACATAGTGCTGGTCTTCTTCACAGTATATTCTACACTTTCCCATCGCCAACATAGATCGGTAACTCACTCAGGCTTGCTCTCCAACCTTTGACTGGCAATTTTCTGAGACAACTCCAACATAGACTTTGCTAGAATTTCCAAAATGGGGATAGTGCAATCCATGGATCTTGATATCCAGTTGCGCAGCTCCACGGCCACATGGGAGTCAACTCCATACTCGGAGACCGGATTAGAAGGATTGATATTTTCAACGGGGATAGAGAGGTGTGAGGCAATCTTTCTGCTGATAGTGTCGCATATTACAACGGTAGCTTGATCTACCGTTTTTACGGCGCCAAGTTCAGCCTTCAATCCTTCCATCGAGTCACCGAGTGCAGCAGATTTGCCAGGAACCTGGAACTTGTACCGGAAATGGGCAAACAAGGGCGCATCAAGGTTTGCAAGTGATTCCATTTCTTTCCATTGGCCGAGACCAGTTACAAGTTGTGCTTCACCGCTCGTCGACTGAGAGATTGCAACTTGTATGAGGGATAAAAGAGTTGGTGTGTCAGTGCCTTGGAATCCTTGTCGTTCCATTTTAGCCGCTAGATCACTGTTTTCGGCTAAATAACCAACGTCTGTGATCGTCCCGAGATCCAAAGATACTGCTGGAAGACCCAGGCTTCTTCGATAAGTGGCGAACGCGTCCATGAACGTGCAGCCAGCAGCATAAGCAGCCTGTGTAGCATTCCCAATAACACCGCTGATAGAAGATAACATCAGGAAGAAGTCAAGATTCGGGGGGGAGATGTCGGTGCAAATTCCAGGTGCCATAATGCTTCGGTCCTATAACATCCCGATACTCGTCCAACCTCATGTTTTCAATATGAACGTCTTTGAGTATCATGGTCGCCTGGATCAGGCCCCGTATTGGAGGCGCACAATGAGAGAGATCATGAAGCATTCGTTGGACCCCGGTCTCGTCGGAGATGTCACAAGCTCGGGTAGTCACTTGGATACCATTTTCCGTCAGATTCTTCACTGTCACCTGAGACTGATATTTTGAAAGGCCACTTCGATTGACGAATATAAGGTTCTTAGCTCCGTTTCGTGCCATCCACAACGCAACCTCCCTCCCAATTCCACCAAGCCCACCAACTAGCATATATGATGCATCTGCGCGGAACAATGGCTGTGTGGACTTAGGGAGGGTGGCCTGGATCTCATTAGCGGAATGCAAGGGGACATCCTCTGGGGTATGGGTAGGCTGTACCTTCACACGATCATTCTCTTCTACGTGAACCACAACATGCTGTCGGCTTTGGGTCGCTGTTACTGCCTCTTGAATATGTGAAATATGATATGCATCGGTAGATGCAGGACCTTTGAGTCGCCCGTCGCCGAACAAGTGAAAGACCTTCGGCCATATGTGGTTGGCAAGGTCTGTCCTCTCCTTTTGCAGCTCAAATATATTGACAGTAGACAGGGACATGTTCTGTGGGCATGATAGCTGTCGAGTCTTCAGGTTGTTTGTTCGAAGTTGAATATATCGACCAAATGGCGCAGTGCAGTTCTGTACAATTTTGTCCTCTGGGGTATCGAATGTAACTATTACGTTTGCCTTCTTGCCATCGGTCAACCGTAACACACCCTTGAGTACATCATTCTTCCCGCTGATGAAGACTTGCTCCTCGGGTATCCCGAACCTCGAGCTCAGCAAGTCCCTTTCGTCGGGGCTCTGCACTGTCGCAAATATCCGAGCGTCTTTCAGCAGGTACACTTCCAGAAGTGCTTGGCCGAAATGACTTCCGGCGTCATGGATGAGAACGGCATCATTGGACTCAACCATTGACAAATAGTTCACAACATAATAGGCAATAGTATACGCCAGAGGCAAAGCCGACGCTACCTGGAATGACATTTCGTCATCGATCCTCTGGAAAGTTGATGCCAAATCGCGATAAAAGCTTCTGGCAGTGCCAGCTCCGAGACACGCAACCCGGTCGCCCACAGTGATGCCGTGGACCCCAGCACCGACCTTGGATACAATGCCACTACACTCCAGTCCGAGAGTGTCGTCTGTTTCCCAATCAAGGTGCTCTGGCTCAACATCCCATTTACTCAAGCCAAATGAGTGTACTTGAATTCCGACGTAGCCAACAGGGAGTTCTGCCATCTGTGAATCACCGACAAAACCGGGATCTTTAACCTTCCTGGAAAGTCGGAGAGGCTGCTGAGGTTGATGGAAAGGCTGCTCGGATACAGCCTCAAGATCATCAATGCTGTTCATGGTGTTATTTGCCTTCGAATTCTCTAGTACTCGTGGAACCAGGATCAGTCCATTTCTCTCCGCATATTCCGTGTCTTTGTCTGAATTTTCACTGAGGAATCGGGCAACCAGAACTTTTGCGATCATTTCGGCGACTTGCAATTCTGAGAGAGGATTTTGAGCATCCAGATCAAGGGTGACGATCGGGTCAACACCTGATTCGGCACGTGCTGTTCTTGCAAATCCAACAGCCAAGGCCGCGTTTGGGTTCACAGACTCAATTGTCCCTCCTTTTGTGATCCAGAGAACCCCCTACTCTGTGTAAACATTGCTTTTATCTTGCTGAATATGGTTTCACTGGGAGCGACCAGCAGGGAAGAGTTTGAGGTGTCAAGGACCAAACAAATATGATCCTTGAAATCCACATTATCAACGTCTGTGACATTCACCTCACATGAGATCTTCTCGAGCTTAGTTACTAGGTGTCTCACAGTTTCGCTTTTTTCCTCGGAAATGATGGAAACTTTTCTAGGGGACTTGTGGTATTTTCGCTTCTTGGCCACGATGAACTGATGGCTCTTCTCAGAGTCTTCCTCTGTAAATGCATCAACCTCGGTGAAATGAGCATCTTGCAGGATCTCGTCCCATTGACTCTCGGTCCAAGCACCCTGGCCCAAACAGAATTCGTCTGCAGACAAGCAGTGCAATGCACTGAACAAGAGACTTTTCAGCACATCCTTCTTTGGGTCGGAGGAATTGACTGCAATCAAATAGCCTGATGGCCTTAAAAGATCATGGAGTTTGCTAAGAGCACTTTGTTCACAGCGTGCAGTACACAATCCATGGGGGAGTATTATAATGTCAAAAGAATTCTTTTCAAACCCTTGTTTAGGGAATTCTTTGCCAAGATCCATGGGCTTGCATTCAACCAACTCTGACCACGCCTCCAGCCGCTTCGAGGTATGTTCAAGCACAGAGGCACTTTCATGGGCAAATGTATATTTTCCGCAATGAGGTCTCTCGTTACGCGTCACGAGATAGTTCAGGAATATTTCTGCTATCTGGCCTGTGCCAACGCCAAATTCAAGGATTGATATATCTGGTTTGACGTGGCCAATCAAATTGACATATTTTGCAGCTGCTTGGTACGAGTCATCCGCTGAGAATATATCCCAAAACTCATCCATAAGGCGGTCGTCTTCAATGACCGTAGAAAAATCAACTTTGTTTCGAATAATAGACACGAGGTTTTGGCCAATGGCCGGCAGGAGCTTTCCCATCGGGATGGAATGGATATTTTCCAAGTGAGATGATACTATTGAGATTTTGTCATCATGTCTTTCGAGCACATCTTGGAGATAACACCTGAATCTGCGGTGAGAAGGGTCGAGTTCTATTGCTTCTGTTGTACTGACTTCCTCCAGCGCAGCTCTGATAAAGCCGGCAGCACTCTCTTCGTATTCTATTTGAGGTGCGGGCTCTCGGGCAGCACAGTCGTTGGCAAATAGAAATGACAGATTATTGCCGGAAAGAAAGCTTGGATCGTGTTTCCAGTCAATCTGATAAATCAAGCGGCTGTCCTTTTTGTTCGATGCCGGTTCATTGCGCTCTAGCCGCGCACACCGTAGACCACGAAGTGAAATAGTTGGCTCGGTTTCAAATTGGCTCTCGTTACAACTCACTGCGACTATGCATGCTGTTACGTCCTTGTTTGGCATCGGGCGCACATGAGTACAGATGCTCATGAGCTCTCCTGCCGAACAACTGAGACTGGACGATACAATCATCTCTTCAATGAAGACAGGGACGGCAGGTCCTTCCTCAATTCCCATACCTGGTGGTAAAGCCGCGAAAATTGTGTGAAACATGCTATCCAGGGTGCATGGATGAACCAAAAGCTCGTGCTGGAATGATGCAGGCAACACGGATACTGTATCTGGTACAGTGACTTCTGCAAAGCACGTCCCGTCTAGGGTCACACGTGCTTTCATCACATTCGTAAAGGATGGCCCGTATTCCAGACCGGAATTTCGAAGCTTGTCATAGAATTCACGGACGTCAATCACCGATACTCCATGAACTTCAGTCCCCAATGGAACCGTTGCATAACCCTCGGTTTCCTCGACTCCATCGCCTGAAACATTAATGCTTTTCTGTGTGCCGACAAAGCCAGTGCAATGTTCAATCCACCTATTCTCCTCTGTGATGGAATATATATGGAAATTGTACAAATTTTCTTGGTCTTGTGTCGACTTCTGAAGAGATACCATGACCTCGACGGGGGAGGTTTCATTGAGTACCAGGGCTGATTGTATCACCACATCTCGCAGGATGTATCTAGCAATCTTTTCTTCGTCTTTGTTCAATTGAATTGATGCTTCGATAGCCATGGCCAGATACCCTGCGGCAGGGAAAACAATGTTCCCTTGGATCTTGTGATCGAGAAGCCAAGGCAGCTCTGATGTTCGAAGATAATTTCGCCAGCGAGGCTCGAATGGACATGCCATGTTGTCTGGTGCACCAAGTAAATCCATCCGCGGCGTCCTTCGGTTCCGATACATCTTGCTCAGCCGTGGCTCTGCCCAATATGACCTAGTGTGATTCCAGGCATACGTTGGAAGATTAACCAGTAGCTGAGGCGCACTACCTTCCTTGATCCCCATAGGGCGGTTGATTGCACTAAAAGAAATAGGGTAGTTCAGCGATGCTAGTGTGGCGGCTGCACCAAGGGCTGTAGTGACCGCGTTGACCTTACGCGTCAGAATGCTAATATAAGTTATATCGGCAGCATTTAGTTTTGCATCGACCTGTAGAACTTGCTTGATCGGCCCAGAAAGTGCCGCGTGCGGACCAATCTCGATGAGACAGTCCACGGAAGGCTTTTGGGCTGCTCCGGCCCTTCTTATTCTGGGAGCCCCTGTACTCCCAGCACGCTGGGCATTTGTCTCAAAGCACAAGGTCCTTAGCGAATTTGCAAATTTCACTTGCCCGACCAAATTTGACACCCAGTACTGAGCATTCAATTCTTCCAAAGGAACCCTCGTTCCAGTGACCGAAGAAAAGAACGACGCCGACCTTTCTTTCTTGTCGTCTGCTATCTGACCCAGTCCTCGGGGCTGGATATGTTCTAAAAAGCCGTGATACCTCTCGGCAACCTGTTCTATATGAGGAGAGTGGTAAGCGATGCCCACTTCAAGGCGTCGACTGAAGACCTGTTTTTCTTTCAATGTTTGGGCGAGTGTATCAATCGCAAGTGCATCACCTGATATCGTCACACTCGATGGACTGTTGACGCACGCTACCACCAGTTGTCTAGGCTGGAATTCATCCAGGTAGGGCTTGACCTCTTCGGCAGACATTCCAACTGCCATCATGGAACCTCTGTTTAATTGCTCATGCAGAAGCTGACTTGCCACAACACCTCGGTAGTGTGCCACTGACATTGCATCATTCATGCTGAGTGCACCAGTAGCATATGCAGCGGCAATCTCCCCACTAGAATGACCCGTTACCGAGTCTGGATGTATACCCCACGATTTTAGCAAGTCGACTAACGCAATCTGTAATGCCGTGCACACTGTCTGGCTGAAACTTGGGTGGTTCAAATCGGATTTCTCGGGACACTTCGTGATCTCCTCTGTTTCCACCTTGTCAATACACGGAACCTTTGAAAGCATTGTGTCTGTGTACCTTCCACTGTAAAAGAAGCTCCAATATCATTCAGAAATCTGTCGATTCCCAAAATTGATGTTTTGAAGACAGGATAGGTCTGAAGCAGCTCTCTCCCCATCCCGGCCCACTGTGCGCCTTGCCCAGTAAAGACAAACCCAAGGGTTGGTTTACTGATGGCGCTCCTAGCTTTGAGGTTCTGAGTGAGCGAGGCCGCCAGCCCCGCCAACGTGTCTCCGACAATGGCTGCCTTCCATGGAAAGACAGAGCGCCGTTCGTTGACCGTGTATGCAAGATCATCCAGGAATTTCTCATGGTCAACTGCATCTGCCTTATCGACGAGGTGATTGCCTAGAACTTGTATTTGTTGTAGACAGGTTCTTTTATCGAATCCAGAAAGCATCAATAGGCGGGGAAAACCAAGCGGTGGACTAGGGACTAGCTCATCATGGCATTTGGCTGTGGTCAACGGAGCTCTAGCATCTCTCCCAAGTCTCCAGCTAGAGAGGCAGCCTTGAGTATCTTCGACAATGACATGTGCATTGCTTCCACCGTATCCGAAACTGTTTACAGAAACGCGACGAGGTCTAGTGGTATTCCAAGTCTCGGGGTGCAATTGAACCTACTAACGTTAGTCGCCAATTTTCAACTTGTCTGAGTATCCAAACCTTTAGTTCCCAATCATCAAGTGGGATGCGCGGGTTAATCTTTTCAAAATTCCTGTTTGGCAAGAACATGCGATTTTCCAACATCAGCACTGCCTTGATCACACCTGCTACTCCGCTTGCCCCTTCCAAGTGGCCGACGTTGGTTTTGATGGAGCCAATCCGCACAGGATTGCCAGGCGGACGACCAGATCCAAAGACACGAGCAATTGCCCCTGCCTCAACTGGGTCTCCAGCTAGGGTGCCTGTCCCGTGAGCCTCCACAAAATCTGTTTCGGAGGGATCCAGACCAGCCCGTGTATAGACGCTCCGAATCAAGGTTTCTTGGGCTGCCCCATTTGGTAGTGTTATCCCTGCGGTGCGCCCGTCTTGATTGGAACCGGTTCCTCGTATTACGGCCCTGATGTTGTCCCGGTCGTGCAACGCCTTGGCTAGGGGTTTAAGGATAAGACAGCCAGCTGCCTCGCCTCGGGCGTATCCATTAGCCTTTTCATCAAAGGTATGACATCTTCCATCTGAGGAGAGAAATCTAACACCAAATCAGTCTGATATTTCCGGTCATGGGTAATGTCTGACATACTTCATCATGCTCATGGTTGACATAAACTCATGACTCAAGATTAAATTCACTCCCGCTGCAATCGCTGTCGATGAGTCCCCTGTTTGGAGACTTTGGCATGCCAAATGAAGTGCAACAAGGCTTCCTGAACAAGCTGTATCTACCGTCACACTGGGCCCTTTCAAATCGAAAAAATAAGATAACCTGTTTGCTGTCATTGCACGTGATTGCCCGGCATTGGTGCACTGATACATGGGTACACACTCAGGATCCCGCAGGAGGAGATCTGTATAATCTGCTGAGAAGGACCCGACAAAACAGGATGTCTTTGTGCCCATGATTTTGGCCAGAGGAATGCCAGCTGTTTATCATTAGCCTTGAGAACATAATTTGGAGCAATTACCTACCATTCTCAAGACCTTCATATGCTACCTCCAAGAGCAATCTCTGCTGGGGGTCCATAGCCTGATGTTGACGGTTAGTTGAGCTCAACAACTTTTGAACATGTACTCACCGCTGCCTCGTCGCTCGTCATGTTAAAAAATGGCGCGTCGAACACTGATATATCTTCTTCCAGAAAGTGGCCACCTTCCACATTGATCTACTCCCACATTATTGATTATTCTGACTCGTTCCACATGTCACTTACCGTCCCGTGACGAGCATGATCTGGATGATAGAATGCTGCACTGTTCCACCTCTTAGCTGGAATTGGGCTCCATGCCTCTCTACCCGTGAGGATCATTTCCCATAGCTTCTCGACATTTTTGGCATCCCCTGGTCCTCGAAAGCCGATCCCCACAATTGCTATCGGTGCACAGGAATCTGTAGTCATGTTTTCCAGCTCATCTTCCGAAATGGTCGCTTTTAGAGGATCGATCCTAATCTGTGGTGACATTGTTCCTTTCGGTTTGCTAGACGTCGGGCAATAACCATATATCTCATGTCAGGAAAAGCGAGGGGGTTGGCTTTTCTTAGACCAGGGCTATGGGCTTTCTTGTATCAAAGTGATCAGTCTACTTGATTCTCTGGCGCCATTCATTCTCGGTGACAGTCTACATCGGGATATGTGGGAAGGTTTCATCTCAAGTCGCAGCAATGCGAGTATCCGGGTGCAACCCTCAACGGCGAAACAAAACTCAAAAGCCCATGAACGTCTCGATCTGAAACAAACTTTTTGCCTTCGAAGGATCTGCAATATGCCGTTACAACATCTTACACGTTATGTTCCACAACCGCGACCATACTACTCCCCTCTTTCAACAGACTTTTCCTCGCTCAACATTTGCTCCCCATCCCCTATCCCCCTGTCGCACAGCCGAAGTGAAGAACCCTTAGTTCAGTATCCGGTCTCACAAGATTTGACTGGAGAGTTTTCGAATTGCACTGGCAATTATGGCGACATTCTTTCCATCACTGGGGACATCATGACCCTTTCCATGTACGGCAAATGTCGAATACCTCGCGGCACAGAGCCGATACAGAGTCATTGAGTATTCAAAGAGTGGGTCTTTAGCGCCAGCAATATGCACGCAGGGGATGGATATAAACCCTTCTAATCCTTCGTCTACAACAGGACGCTTCCCAGGTTCCATGCGAAAGGGTGGGAGGGAATTGATGAAGATTGCGCATCGAAATAGCGCAGGCTCGTTTGGATTCATCTTGGCATGGTGGATCATGAATCCAGCAGCCAATGTGCCGCCATGGGAAAAGCCGAGAACCCCGTCGAACGGACCTTCCAAGGCAATTGTTTCACTGAGTTGCTCGTACGCCTCCAAGATATCGGACTCATCGCTGTCCTCGTGGGAAAAGGTGCGTGGGAAACGATAGTAGCTGTAGTACGGACCATCATAGTAACCGGCGATTCCAGGCCCGGGAGCTGAATCGACGTCACCTTCAAGAAAGGAGAAGGTCGCGGTGTTGTCGCGTTGGAGCTCATGCATAAGCCCACCTATTTGATTAGAGTTTTGTGCTTCGTCACTTAAAGCAGGAGATTGCATACTCAATTGCGACTGTAGAATCTATTGGGAAATGAGGACACCGTCAACCACCCCCCCCACTATCAGCACATTTCGTACATATGTAGCTCACCTTCTGATTCGTCCCCCAGCCATGGAGACACAACAATCTTAGCGGCATTCTGTTTGGGTAGCGCTAGATAGACTAAGCAGAGCAAAAGTCGCCGTTGTCATCAAGGATCACTGCAACTTGCCATGGGGAGGGCCATGTCTGCCTGCGACTTTTTATATTTTCCTTTGTGGCAAACAACAATCCACGGTGGAAAAAGGATTCAACTCGCTCGGCTTCATTTCATCGATATGCATGAACGACCAGGGACCTTGAAACTCGCCGCAAGGAGACAGATCCACTTCGGCTTAAACTTGGCGAGGATATCAGTTGCACAGACACGTCGATCCGAGTCGACATACTCCACGTAGTCCACGTAGTCCACGAAGCGTTGTACTCACTCCAATTATAACCCTCTGACGAAATCCATGGCGGTTGTACATTCACCATTGATATTGTCAGGCTGTTAAACGTGTGTGCCAATCCAGGTCCTATTGGCGTCTTGGCAGCAAAGGATTGGCCTACATGGTTTTTATTATGGCGTGACAAGCAACGGAGTAAGCAATTCCCGGGCGAAGTAAGCTGTTGGGATGTGTATAGCCAAATCCCAAGATGCGTACACCCAATACCTTAACTGCCCCAGTTAGGCTTAGTTGCCGATCAATGATTCTTGAATGTCGGCGTTGCTTGGTATGAAGATAACCTTCGAGGATATTGACCAACATCCATGCAACATTCATTATACCTCCACACGCAATATATCACTCGAATATCCATACTCTTCGTATCCCCCGTGCTGCACTTTCACGGCGCCCCGTCAACCAAACTCTCCAAACTCCCCGGATGAGGAAGAAACTACAATGACTTTCTCCATGAAAATAGGTTCCCGAGGCCGTGTGGCTTGTCCGATAGCTCGAGCTAGTTGATCCTCATAAACTCCTATTCTGACTGCACCCTTCCTCAAGGAACTGTAGGCAACAGTCAAACGATCAACCAACACCATCCCACTTCCGGTTTCTCCTCGTCTATGACATCGACCATGACATCTTCATTAGACTCGAACAGAAGAAGATATCTTCCGAGGTGATAAGGCGATAATTACCTCTCAGGATACCCAGCCAACCTTACTCTCGCCAACAGTTCAACAGCGAGTTGTTTGCAAACAACCTTCTCGCAATAGGAAGCTCTTTGGATTTTGGGCGTCAGACAAAACTGCTGAGATAAGGTAGTACATTTAGAGGGTGAAATATTGGACATAGCCTAGACCCTTCCATCTAGTCTACTAACTGATTCCTTGCTGAAAGTCATAATCATGGCGACAGCTCAGCCAGTATACTCGCCAAAAGAAGCATATCGCCACACGACTTTGGGAGGATTGAACATTGATTCCCCACAGACGATGAGGATGGTTGGCAATGGTATCGCCACGGCTTGATTTAGGACCTCGGCCCTCAACTCTCTCCCTGAATCGTGATACGTGATTTACATCTTTACAATCATAAGTTTTTCAAGTTGTATCATATTTTTCTTTTCTTTTCCCAAGCAGACCTCGGGACGAGGCCTTGTTTGGAGGGTACTATTATACCTTGGAGGGTCATGTGACCTCCATCTCCTCAGCTTCGGCCTCAATGTCATATCATGTTTTGTAGTGAGATGCCTACGGACCTTCACAGGAAATTCAAACCGACTCTCACAGCCATGTTGTGGGCAGAGAATTGTCTTATTCTCTTGCTGTTGTTTGGCTAGGCGAAGAGGTACCAGCTCTTGTACCTCTGCTTTGCTTTTTTATGGACTTCCAGGAGATGCTCTCGCAGGCTAGTCCAAGAAGAGAATGAACAACCGCACTCCGCTAAGGGACATTTCGGTTGGTCAAAGCCAGCGAGATCGTGGTATTTGACGTCTGGGACAAGACATTCCACCTCTTCCTTATTGAGTCCATAGACCCCTTTCGTAGGTGAGCAACGAGCGTCTTGGTATTAGGTATATGTACGGGCGACTAAATATGCGACCCGACACATAACTGATGGAGGTTTCTGCGATGAATCGTTTGGAGAAACAATGCGTATGGGTTCGTAGGGAACGGAGTGGACAGGTAGGAGAGAGACAGATCCACACATAAATAGTAGATAGTGTGGGAATAAATACGGCGTCTTTTCCGCTAGACCATAACAAAAACCTCGGTTCCTGTTTAGGGCCTAGGGAGGCCATATCCCAGTCTGACAGATAGCTTCTCTCTCTCCCCTTCTCTGGGTCTGTATGTAATGAACTAGGCGGTGAGGTAATAACCAATGAGAGAGTTATGTGTCGGATGGCTTATTTAGTCGCCCGTACTCTCAAAGTGATATCCTTGGAATTCTTTACCAAAATTACACAACAACCAAACGAGGGATCTGATATAAAGAAGTACATTTTACTAGACATAGTTAGTTAACTAGTTATCATACGAAAGGTACATGTGCAAATAGGAGGATCTGTAATTTTGGTAATTTAAATGTGGGCGGTTTACTTTTCTGCCGGGCAAAAGGCAAAAACACCCCCACAGTACCTCCCGTTGACATGTTGACATCGTACGGATTGGAATATTCTACAACATAGGGCTGGAGATCATTCTTCACATCTCACTCTGAAAACTAGAACATTATATGGCATCACTCTGAACTCTCAGTTCTTGTTCTTTTTTCCTATTCTTTTTTCTTTTCGCTCTCGTCCAACTATCTTTGCCTCCTTTCGGCAGTGGCAACCCTTATCAGGATCCATTGTGGCTCTGACCAATGGTAAACCTGTGAATTGATGGCTGAATTTCGAGTACGAACACACCTATAACCAGTTTCACCACCATATTCCCCACCAAGGCTGTCTCTTTGCACCTGGACTCTCCTCATGGGTGGGATACCCTGCCACGACGACTACTTCACAATTATAGCTCTATCGCTGACAGGGATGCCCACTCTACCAAATAGCAGTTAAGCTTCGACGGCCTCTAGATTTGCTTTTTTTTTTTTTTGCACTTGGACCGGGCCTGGTTAATTGGTGGACAGCAGCCCGTGGGCAGCCCGGACCACATTCTTTGTACCTCATCCCTTAGGCTTCGTGGCGTCCATGCGCGGCATACCTCAACATGAGAGTTTCCAAGGTTTGTGAATGGACTGTGTCCAATCTGCAGCGGTCAGACCTCGGCAATCGTCCAATAAGAGAGAAACAAGAGTTGAAAACAGGGGTGCGACTGCATATATGTTGGACAAGATAGCATGTGTGATAGATGACGGTCTCGACCCCTAAATTCAATGGAATATCATGTGCAACTGCACAGATTTACGTCCATTTTCCAAGGTTGGGACTCCACCGGGTGGCGTCCATGAGCTCTCGGCGATTCGTAATGTTCTGCGTTGAATCCCGAGGATCCTTTAGTGGGTCCCTGCTTCTATCTATAAGTTTGTTGTCTGTTCACCAACCCTTTTCTTCTTTTGTTTTGATATCACAGTGGGATAATGGCATCAGATTTGCAAGGGGATTCTCATCTTTCCACTTCACTCCACCTTAGGAGGTGGCTGCGAAATCACAAATGGCCCAAGGCGTGGGTCAGGATCGACGTTTTGGGCAGACCAAACGCGGCCTAAGGGGTTATTTTGTGAGCCAGAGATAAGGGAGGTGAAAATAAGATGAATAAAAATACAGCATTTATAAACTATATGCACTATATCTAGTCGGTATAAGAACTTAGAAGCACAAACCACCTTATAGCGGATGGCTCGGTGCCAATATCACTGGACAGAATAAGATCGCCACATTAATGACCCACACCACCTCACTGATGCCGATTTGCAGGTAGTACGTACACTAGAAACTCTAGAATGAATTTCTAGTCGAATGATAAAAGGGGATATGTGAGTGTGCATGTATGTATGTATCCATGGATGTTCCATCGGAGGTTAATAGGTAATAGTGTTGAGCAATCTACCTATGTTATATGGTATATGATTTCATTTCTTTAAAAGATCTAGACTCTTTCTTTTATCCATTTTAGTCTTTTTTTCTATATTTTTTGTTTAAACTATTTTAGCTATCCCCAAGACCCTAACTGTGTAGTTCCTTGGTTTTGCCATTGAATCATGTTCTAGCCTTTCTAGCCTTTTTTCTATCAGGTTTTGAACTTGGAACTTTTCTCTTTTCTATTTATTTTTCTCTTTTCTTCTACTATTTAACTATTTTGTCCTTCTTTAAATCTGTTCTTATATTTTCATCTCTCTTTTTCTGTTTTTACTGTGACTTCCTATTGTTCGTGCCTTGTGCCTTGTGACTTGCATAAACGGCTTGCAGCTCTCGGCTAATCCCCCACCGAGCCACTGCGCTCACTCAAGATTCCCTTCATGTCAGGCATCATCAACCCACATCCCAGCCCAAATGAAGAATATGCAGAATACCCTCTTCCAATCATTGACAATCCCGATGATCGTCATAGCCTTGAGCGCGAGACCACTGTCGATGCCACCCAATACGATGTCGGGCTTGAGCCACCCATGCGCCCTCGCAGCCGATCCCATCATCGGGTTCGTTTTCGCTCGATAAGTCTGCGCCGAAATGAAGAAGATGCCCTACATCCCTCATCGGGACCGTTACTGCCGCCCGCAGACCTGAACGAAATCCCCTTATCAGGAACTATCACCCCGCCAGCCCCCACACATTCCCGCCGTGGCTCCGGCCTCGCCAACGTCCACACCCCAAACCAGTTCGGAGAGTCAGAGAAACATGATATCGATAAAATGGACCGGACTACCTCGGCACGCGACCGATTCAGAGCTACAGGCCACATTTTGCGACAGAAAACTCACCGTTTCACTGAACGCCTCGGTCGCCCCCGGATGAGGGCGAGCCGCTTAACGCATCTTACATTCCAGATGATTTTGACAGCGGTATCCCACTCGAGGAGCTGCAGGCCCGTCGCGCGCGCCATGACGCCGATCGAGCCCACGCATTGGAGAGTGGTGAGAATATTATCCACCCGCCCCCGAGCGCCGAGGCTCATCGATTGGTCCGCAACATGACCGTGGTTCAGGATCAGCTGCAGAAGCGGAAACCTCGGGGCGCATATCAGCGGTCCGGACAAACAACCCCCGAGGGCTTGTTCAGCGCCTTTACGCAGCGCAGACGATCCAGTGGACTCAGCGGCGGCGGCGGCATTTTGTCGCAGCTGCTGAAGCTCCAGGCCGCCCAGGGTGGCTACTCTCGCGCGGAAAGTGTCATCACAGATGACTCTGACAGTGACACTCAGGTTTCTTCCGGTATCTCCACGCCGAAGAAGGGTTCCCTATCACCCCTTCTCCCTGCCTCTCTGCCAGCCTCTGGCGCCGCTACCCCGCGCAAGGAGAAGCTCAAATGGTACAAGAAATCGGCCCATCGGTCCACCTCGTCGCTGGTCAATGCCTCCATGAACCTCAGCACGGCCAGTCTGCCGGCTGCAGTGGATGCGGCTCCCGGTGTGCAGAAGAAACGGAAGAAGAGCAAGCGCAAGACCCGTCTGGAGGATGAGATCCGTGTCACTGTTCATATCGCAGAGATCATCGCTCGTCAGCGGTACATCATGCAGCTATGCCGTGCGCTTATGCGATATGGTGCGCCCACCCATCGTCTAGAGGAGTACATGCAAATGACTGCTCGGGTCTTGGACGTTTCGGGCCAATTCTTATATCTGCCCGGTTGCATGGTGATGTCCTTTGATGATCCTATCACGCGCACTGGTGAAGTCAAACTCGTGCGAATGGTGCAAGGAGTCGACCTTGGTCGCCTCGCTGATACGCACAATGTTTACAAGAATGTGGTTCACGACCTTATCGGTGTTGAAGAGGCAACTCAGGAGCTGGACGAGATTATGCAGCGCAAGCCCCGATTCAACAAATGGATCTTAGTCCTGGTGTACGGTCTTGCTAGTGCAACTGTCGGCCCATTCGCTTTCAAGGCGCGACCGATCGATATGCCCATCATCTTCTGTCTCGGTTGTATTGTTGGGCTAATGCAACACGTCCTCGCGCCACGGTCGACCCTGTACTCCAACGTTTTCGAGGTTACTGCTGCTATCGTGACTTCCTTCCTCGCCCGTGCGTTCGGCAGCATTATGGTTACCCGCAATGGTGTATCTGAACCACTTTTCTGCTTCTCCGCTATGGCACAGTCGTCTATCGCTCTCATTCTCCCTGGATTTATGGTTCTTTGTAGCAGTCTGGAACTGCAATCTCACCAAATCATCGCTGGTTCGATCCGTATGGTGTATGCGATCATCTACTCCCTCTTCTTGGGCTATGGTATCACAGTGGGGACTACGATCTACGGGCTGATGGATGGCAATGCGACATCTGCATCCACGTGCTCAGGCCTAGATGTCTACGGGTCGGTTTATGCACGAACATTCCCCTTCGTGGCTATCTACGCTATTTTTCTGGCCATTGTGAACCATGGAAAATGGAAGCAGATGCCCGTTATGGTCTTCATCGCCTTGTCCGGGTACGTCGCCAACTATTTCAGTACCACCAAGCTCGGCCCCCAATCAGAAGTCGCCAACACCGTCGGCGCATTCACTATTGGTGTCCTGGGCAATCTGTACAGTCGGGTCTGGCATGGCCATGCCGCCACCGCCATTCTTCCTGGTATATTTGTGCTGGTCCCCTCTGGCCTCGCCTCTAGTGGCTCTTTGATCGCGGGCATCAAATACGCCGACGAGGTTCGTCAGAACCTCTCAAACAATGGGACCAGTACACCTTCTGGCGCTCTTTCTGAAACCTCAGTTGCCAGTCTTGGTTTCGGCATGATCCAAGTCGCGATCGGTATCACAGTCGGATTATTTATCGCCGCTTTGGTTGTCTACCCATACGGCAAGAAGCGCACTGGTCTGTTCAGCTTCTAGTCATTTATTTGCATTTTTGCACATATTCCTGCTATAGATGTGTCGTGCTTGGGTCTTTTTCTTTTTCTTTTTTTTTTTTCTATATTTCTGCTTATCAGCGTCATTGGGCGTTTGGGATTTACATTTGCATTTCATACACTTGGACGGAGGCGTCATTAAAGCGACATCACTTTTGGACATGTTCAACAACAATACACATTATACAGGATCTATTTAGACAAGATACTAACAACGGTTCATATCTTGGCGCTTTGTTCTAATAGTCAAAATATAGTGAATTCTTCTCACCTCATGTTGCAACTCAATGACACATCGCCACGGGCGTCTCCAAATACCAAGACACTTAACTCAACCTGCAACAGAAGTGACAGAAGACACGACCCAAGATGCGATGAATCCTCCCAATCGACTTCATCGCCTCAGACCACGGCGGCATCGTGGGGAATAGACACAGTATCCATGCAGCCATCACCGACGCCGCAGGCAACCTCCCCCTATGCAGTCGACGACCCATATCAAATGACACTCGCCCGCTCAACAGCAAAACCCACACAGACACTAGCAATTCTCGAAACGGGCGCAGTGGAAAGGTTCTCTACACGTCCTGTTCAGATGCATGTGAAACGTGTTGTGTTAGCCCGTGGTGTAGGGCTTTGATGCACGAATGAAACGGCAGAACCATCCGATTCAATGGATGGAGTTTCGCTTGTTTCCCGTTCCAATTGCACAGCCAGTTGAGAGTGTCTGCGGTCGTGGGGGGGATGGGTCTGATTGGGGTCTTGATGGGTGTAACTTGCTTGCAGTGGAAAGGTTCTCTACACGTCCTGTTCGGATGCATGTGAAACGTGTTGTGTTAGCCCGTGGTGTAGGGCTTTGATGCACGAATGAAACGGCAGAACCATCCGATTCAATGGATGGAGCTTCGCTCGTTTCCCTTTCCAATTGCACAGCCAGTTGATAGTGTCTGCGGTCATGGGGGGAACTTGCCTGCTCCGGCTTTCGAATTGCATTATTTGGCTCGTATGAACGCGAAGTTCGCTGCTGCGGCTGATAACTCGGAGGATGGCTGCTATAGAATTGGCATTTGGCTGTGAGAGCAAGCAAGATGTCCTCGGGCAGAGGGTGCCATCGGGGTTTCAGTGAAGATTGAAGATTGAAGATGGCAATATTGGTGTTTTGCTTGACTGTGGCGGAGAGTTTGGAGCAGCTTAAGATTGGAGGGCCTTAAATGCGTGAAGGGCTCTTTGTCTTTCCCCAGAGGATTTCCAACACGGTCAATGTTCAGACTGGCAATTTCTCGCCTTGTTTCCAAGTACGGGCAGCATGATATAATTTAAAGTAAAGTCGGGATATTACATTAGATGGGCTATTTTATAGGGCATAGACTAATAGACACTCACATCCAAAACTACATAACAGAGACATTGCGCCATGGTTATCCCATCCATTAGTTATACAGAGTAGAAGCCTGGACTAGCGATAATATTCTTTAGGGGCTCTGGTTAAACAATATCAAGGCGCCGTAGCCTCATCAGCTACCCTCGGCCATGCTACTCTTTCCTACAAGTCTCTCACTTATCTCTCACCTATCTCTCACTTGTTCCTCATCTTTCAGTCATGTGGCTCTTGATATTGTTTAATCTAAGTTGAATGGGTTGTTTTTTATACCAGGCAAACAGAATCGTTATTCAGGGGATATGGCTTCTATTGTACATTCTCTTATTGTCACTTGAATTCTCATTATCCTTCTGGTCAATCAGGGAAGGCGTCCTTATTCACTCAATGACATCCTATGCATATTATTTACCTCCATAATAAGCAGAACGGGTATTCAAATCTCCAAGATTGGTGCCTGGGCTATCACTATCACTGTATAAAATCATACCAGATTCCCATCTCACCTTTCATTTACTTTCTATCATGTTCACAACTCTCTTTGCATCCCCATACAAAACAACATGGATGCCAACATGAGTGAGTATGAACAACCCTCACTGGTGAGCCTCCACCCTACTTTCCACTAAGATATGTGCACAAACTGACATACGACAGCCCTCAAACATGAGGAAGAGAAAGCGCTCAGCCGGGCGTGAAACCTGGCGGGTGAGTCCTAACCTTCCCTTCCCTTGAACCAATCTACATTCTATTCAGAAACTGACATGTCTTTCCCATCAAGGCGAGGAAGAAGCGCAAGCCAGCCCTCCGTGACCTTCGCAAGCTGCTGGTCACCTACCACGGCTTGCAGCAGATGCAGCGGGAGTTGAACGAGCAACTCGCCGTCTGCGAACGCCAAATTGCCAAATACAAATTTGGCAGTGCCCAGGGAAGCCCTCGCCGTCGCCGTCGCCGCGGACGTCCGTACGTCTTCCCACACGTACGGTCTCCGCTGTGTGAATTGGTGATGGTCGAGGAAGAGCCAAGGCTGGAGGAGGAGCCAAGGCTGGAGGAGGAGCCAAGGCTGGAGGAACCAAGGGTAGAGGAGGAGCTACCCACGTTCTGGGGGCGTGTGGGAGAATGGTTGTGGAGATGGTGGTGAAGGGTGAAGGGGGAAGGGGGCGGAGGGAGGAAAGGGTGGATCACTTCAGAGGTTGGGTGATTCTCGCTGGCGAGACCCCCGACAGTGAATGAGTATACAGTATCGTGACATTGTGGAGATGACTAGGAAGTCATGTCTTCCTACAGAACCACCAAGGCAACCAGAAGCCCATGTTTGTCTCCATGCCAATCCATACCATTATCTGTCTGATTAGTGGTTGGCTGGTACTCGTGGTAGCTTCTGTTCTTGTCATAGAATTAACCGCCATCCGAACTGTTCAAGGGTTTTTATTTTCAATATAATATTCCAAATATATATCTGGGAAGATATCCAAAAGGATGTACTAGAAAGAGTACTAGAAAGATACAAGGTAGGATAAGATATATACTGGACTGATCAACAATATATATTTCACGGCCACCTTGCTGTACTTAGCTGCCAGCCTTAAAAACTTGACAAAAAAAAGACTAAAGAGTACCTACAAGAGCGAAAATAGTTAGACAAAAACTGAATCCTATAGAATATCATTTTTGCAAGTAAAAACGAAGTTATTAAAATAATAAAAGAAAAACAAAAAATAGTTTCCCTGGGAATCGAACCCAGAACCTTTCCGGAACACTTGCTAAGGGGCAATTGTTAACGGAAAATCATAACCGCTAGACCAGGAAACTGTTAGATGAAAGATAATCCAGTTTAATGCATCATGAACAAAAAGGACAACTCATTTTGGAATGATATTGGCCACCATAAGAAAGAATACCCAATTTAATGGGGGTAAATGGCAACTAAGAGAAGACAGAGCACAAAGCATGCTAAATATGTTGCTAGAATGTACCATGAATAAAAACAAAGCTACTAATCAAATATCATACATTCTGTAGGGAGCCTGATAACTAACTATGTGATCATTTCAATGATATGATCTGGCAGTGGTTTGGCTATTTGTTGCATTTGCATTGTTTATATTGTTTGCTCGATGGGAGCGGGAGTGGAGTAACTTATATCCGGGATGCCAAGGCGAGTGGTCTCTCCTTTCCGTGTTGGAATGCTCTTTTTGCTCCAACAAACTGGCAACAATGACATGTCCAATGATATATACAGAAACTTACCCAATCCCCATATTATTAGGTGGCTGTGTGCAGATCGTAAAACAGCAATCGATTGATCTGCGTTGACGTTGTCCAAGTATTCCACACGTTGGACCCGCTATCCAGGTGAAAGGGTCCATGATGTTCTTACAGATGTACCAGCGCTGCTTGAAGCAAACGGAACCCGTGCCAGTGAAATAGTCCAGGAGGCGACATCGAAGATGGGTTCTTGTTGATCGGGTTTTCGGACTTCATCTAGGGATTAACTCGACCACAATCTGGGCTAGTGCGACGAGTGGAAAGTCCGTCCTTCGCATACACCTTCTCGCGTGTATGCTGGCTAGGGTTTGGTCCCCCCAAGAGCATAGCCATTTGGGCCGAGTTGATCAACCATATTAGAAATGGAGGTTTCTGATCAGCCCTAACCTGACATTTTCGGATACATGAAGAAGTCCCATCCTTTTACAGCGTACCGACTAGTTGTATTTGGTTTCTTTCTTTTGGTCTCCGAATTAGAATGTTTTCCATACTAGAATATCAGATTAGTTAATTTATAAGAATTCACGCGTATAGTACTTCGATCGGTATAGCTATTAAGAGAGGTCCTATTAAGAGCGGTCGCGTTAAGTTAAACGCGGTATATTGAAAATACGGGTAGTAAGGGTAATATTGTTAAGTACTTGATTCTTAAAAGGCTATGTTGTAGATAACTAGTAAGATCCTACCCTCTTGCTCTATTAAATCCGGGATCGTATTGGTGGTATGGGGGGTTGTACAATATATGTTGTAGGGTGGCGGCTCGCTTGTCTCTTGAGAAAGGGTCTTGTAGGAAGATCATCGATCCACATTGTTCTTAATATATTCTGTACGGAGTAGTTTAGTCCAATATCCTGCAATCATTTTCACTGTAACCTGATAGTGGAGCAGATTTACCCCTGCTAAGAAAGGTACTAGTGCTGACACACGGCTGAAATTCGGCAAACTGAAACCTCTGACGTGTGTGATTCATGCTCATTCTCAGTTTTTTTTTGACAACACGACTTCCCTGGTCTATGTCTTTACGCCTCATTCTTTTTTAATCAAACGTCAAAAAGGTTCCCACGATGGTGGGAAAGGTAGAAGATAAGTATGTTCAGACGGTGGCTGCCTGATACCTCTTTGTTATTCGTTATTCTCCCGCTGACAGTTTTTTTTTTTTTTTCTGTCAGATTTATTGGCCTCACACTGGCGATATTATCCGCGACAGTAATTGGTTGTGTCACCTTTTCCCCGTTTCGAGATGCTTTTAGACATACTGACCATTCCAATCAGGTTCAAGCTATGTCGTCACTAAGAAGGTTCGGCGCCTGTTCAATATCCCGGGTTTCTTCAATTGCAGCGTATCCCGAATCTGATATGGAAATTACCAGGGTCTTATACAAGCAGCCGAGAAATATGGCTTTACTGGTGATGGATTTGAATACATACGAAGTCCGGTGTGGTGGTGTGGAACGACCATGCGTATGATTATCGGACTGGACGGACATCGCTAGGGGCTAATAGACCATCATTGTAGTGGTGACTGGAGAACTGATGAATACCGCGGCCTATGCATTCGCTCCCGCCGTGCTGGTAACGCCGCTTGGAGCGTTGAGCGTGCTCGTTGGGTGAGTCAGCCCGACTAATGATGGATTTCACCAGTGGACTGTCACGCTAATCACTTATAGTGCCATGATGGGCTCGTATTTCCTCAGGGAAGAGATCAATGTGCTCGGAAAACTCGGGTGTGCTGCCTGTCTTCTAGGCTCAGTGTTGTTGGTGCTCCATGCACCCGGCGACAAGGAAATCGAGACTATTGATGAGATCCTGCATCTGGCAATTCAACCATGTCAGCAACCCTTCCCGGAGTTGGATTATGAACCTACTGACACATCTCTAGTCTTTCTTCTCTACTGTGTTTCCGTTGCAATAATTGCCATTTACATCATCTGGAAAGTCGCGCCGGTCCAGGGGCGAACAAACCCGCTGGTTTATATCTCGATTTGCTCTTCGGTCGGATCCATATCCGTTATGTCGGTCAAGGCGTTTGGGATTGCAGTCAAGCTCACCGCGGGTGGCGACAACCAATTCACCCATGCCTCGACTTATGTCTTCGCGTTGGTCCTGGTAGTGACCACCCTGACTCAGATGAACTACTTGAATAAGGCAATGGGCCAATTCCCTGCATCGCTGTAAGTTTTCTTGTCTATCTCTGATAAGCCAAAGACGATATACTTAACTTTTTGACAGAGTAAACGCGATGTACTATGTTGGTTTTACAACGTGTACCCTCTCCGCCTCCATTATCTTCTACCAAGGACTGAACACTAGCAACTGGACGAGCATCATCTCAATGATATGTGGATTTCTACTCAATTTCACGGGTATCTCCCTCTTGACATTGTCCAAGACTGCGTCTCCCAGTGAAAAGGGTATGGACTCAGTGCGAGGGTTTAACACTCAGTCACTAGAGCTCTCCCACGGACGATACTCGCACGTACGAACAAGTAGCGTGGAAATCGAACAAGCCCTTGGAAGACGGGTTTCCGGAGTCCAACCATGAGTCCGTATAGGAGGGAGAACAAGGGATTATATATACAACCATGCACAGGTACAAACAAAGACAGAGTCAAATCTTCATCCAATGTCCGACATTGTGTAAAAATAGACGATGGTGGAATACCCACGATATGGCGTGACCTGAAATTTACAAATCTTGGTGTTTCCGTATGGGCATTATGCCTAAGTTAGTACTAGTGAGTCGACGCTTTCTAGCTTCTGAAGGGATTCCTCGGGGATGATTCTTATTTATTCATTGACTTTATATTTTTCTGCTAGTTACGAACTCCTGTACATGTACATACAATCAATTCAAATCTACATGTAATGCACATCAAAAACTCCTCTCCCCACAACTCATCACTTTCTTAGTCCAATGACTGCCAAATTACGCGGACTTTTACTATAGTCAAACACTGGTTGAACCCAGCAGTCTTTGACCGAGTCCTGTTCACGAAGGAATTGCCAGCGATCCACAACAATGATAGCCTCGACGAGTTGAGCACTGAACGCCATTAAGCTCCACACAACACTCATACGTTTCCTCGCGTGGAGGTATTGAGTCTCATAGCAGTGAATCTCCTCATCAGTGAGAGTAGCAATATGCTTCTGGATCTGGGAACCATATACCGGGTCTCGACTCATCTTGATCGTCGCAGCACGAATATATGCAGTAAAAGACTTAAAGGCGGCTTTAGGCAATGATCCTATGATAATAGAGTTGGTGCTAGCCTCTGGGGAAGTCCCGTCGGAGAGGACGTCTTCCGGCACAGGCAGCTTAGGAAGAATATTTCGATCAACGAGAATACGCTGGAGAAGAGCACGGAAGAAGTGACGGGTAAAGGATTGTTCACTGTCATTGAAGCCCCAATTGTATGGAGCTTGCACGGCCAGTGCACGAGCTGTGATGTTAAGTTTCACACCTGTCGTTGCTCCGGGGCTTCGGTAATTCTCGTAGTATTTAGACATAGGGAAGCCATGTGGATCGTATGATGTCCCGGTCTCTTCAAGCCGAGGGTGGAGGGATTGAAGAATAGGAAGCTCATGCGTATTTGGACCGAGGCGTTCCGTCAACAGATTGTAGCAACAGCCGATCATAGCGACAGCCACAATTGAAGGATTTACAATCAGGGATCGTAGACCATGGTGGACAAGGTTTCCGCAAGAGTGAAGGGAAACGACCATCAATCGAGCATCGCTCTCTTCTTTCCTTTCCCCATCAGCAGCTCCGAGAGGGGATGGATGGATGATGTGGTCGATAAGGGGCTCTAAGTGGCCATCTTGGATTTCATGCTCAATATAGCTGAGAGTGCCGCGGGTACGGAGCTCTGGCGTGGGTAGCTTTTCTCGTAATGGGCTTTTGGTACGGGATCCGAGTAGCTCGTCAGATTGAAGGGTAATCTTGCCCAGCATCTGGCAAAAAGGAACATCTGAGACATGCGAGCCTTCTATCGTTGGTTGAGGGGTATCCGTCGTTTCAGAAATAGTCACTTCCGTAGTTCCGTTGCAGCCATCGGACGAACTTTTTTCCTTATGGGAATATTGAGCATTCGGGTTCTTTGCCAACTTGGCTCGGATATCCATGCTCTTAGCACCGCTGATGTACTGATGCTTGCGCTCAATTGCAATGATATGCTTGTAGTAAGGCGAGCTGGCCAGTGTGCGTCCAAGATAGTTCTGTCCAGACCCAAAATCCACAATATGAGTGACTGGTTCACCTCGGCGCTTATTGACAGTGTCTGATAGAGATGAGACATGTCGAGAAAAGCATTCAACCTCGTGTACTTTTTTTTCGGTTCATGTGCATAGCAACTTGCTTGGGTAATTCGATCCTCTCCGAAGACGAGATGCACATTTCTCGTTGAAGTGTCAGTTGACGGATGTTGAAAATGTAGTCCAAGAGGCTCTGGGGAGGGAATGCTCCTCCATTCCAAGCACGGCTGCTTTGATCTACAGAAGGCTCGTCGGCGCCTCGTAAGTGGTCAATGTCCTCTCGTAGGAGTAGACGGATGGTGTCTTGAATATCATGCTGTTCGAAGAAGGATATCCAATCTTCTGGCAAAATTGTTGTATAGAGGTCGGGCTCCCGGGTCAGAAAGTCGACCATATGCACACCACCGCACAAATTCATAAAGAGCACCGAGGTAGTGGAGAAGCAGAGGAGGGCCTCCACGTAGGCATCAGGATCCTTCCACGCCCCAGAGATGGGTAGGGGGCGATTGAAAGCCATACAAATAGTGATGGTCAATTGTCTCACCAAAATCTTTATCAGTATTCTTCATGGGAGTTTATTTTTTTTTATCGGCGGGTGCGAAGGGGTAGAGCGGCCAAAGGTCAAATGCCTGATTTTTCAATGTTGATGCCTTATTATGCCTGATTATGCCTTATTTTGGACTGGCAGAAATCAAAATACCTGAATTACTATAACAGAGAGCTTAATAAGCAAAGTATTATCCAAAAGAATGAAGCACCATACAAATCTCCGTATTACCTATTTCTCGGCGTTGAAGCTGTTGCGACCGACCAAATCTAAGGAGGCATCTTATGCGGTCGGCAATAAATTCGAAAAAACTGATGATTTGTAGTTATGGTATGTACATATGTACATAGTATGTAGGAACATTGAAAAGATTCAATTTACAGTACACGATATGGAGCGGTATCAAAAGCGGTCTATAATTCAGGCATGTTAAGGCATCAGGCCTGAGAAATCAGGCATTTAACCTTTGGCCGCTCTGGCCTTTCGCAAGCGGGTCTTGGTGGATCTCATTTAATTTATGTAGCCAATAAGGTACACTTATTTTATCCAATATCTGATATGGTGTAAGTCGAGGTTAGTCAATATCTACTGAACTTCAACTAGGGTACCCTAATACCCATCGGTGACAATCACCGGCCCAATATTAAAGCTTCTCCAGGAATGAGTTTGTCAAGTGTTCCGTCGATGATACGTACGTATATGGCACAAATGATCGACGGTGAGTGTGCTAAATCATGCTTGTGAGTTACGTTAACTAGTTAGTTATTGTATTGGCTCCATTATTAAGCTGCTGCTCAATTAATGCCCCGATATTGAGGTTCTCTAGAAAGTCTGCCATATGGAGTGCACTTCGAATCTGGGATAGAAGACGAGAACTACCCGGGCTTGACCTATGGGACTGTGCTATTATTATATAATACGCTTATTCGCTTGAATTAATTTCATATATGCCAAGAGATTCAGGGTCAATTCCAAAGTTCATCACTGCAATGAAAGGGCTCCCGAGACAGTGCAAGTTTATAGACGGTTAGTGACGTGTGAAGGGACAGCCAGATCTTACAAAACCTCGGCAGTCGAGGTCCCCATGCGTCCCTCCTCAGCAAGTTTCTCCTTGTTCATGGTGTCAACGGTGTCAGATCGGGTCTCGCTGGGGGGAGAGGAGCGTTTCTCCACGATGTTGGTCTCGTCCGAATTCGTCATGTCGGCAGCATCTAAGAATTGTCAGCGTGTATTCATCACAAAAACAATTAATCACGTCAAAATGATGACAAGACCTACCAGGTTGAGGCTCCTTGGGCGGGGGGCAGCAAAAGCCAACAGTGAGGCAGATAATCATAAGAATAATCTCCTCGAGGACACCCATGCAGAGATAGACGGTGGGGTTGGGCTCAAATAGGTTGAACCGCGCCATGGTCGTGTAGTCACCCAAGCAGCCGTAGACGGTGCGCACCATGAGCAGTGGCGCACAGGCGTAGACTGAGTACAGGATGATCTTCTCGTTGCGAGGCATCTGGTTGCGGTAGATGGTCAGGTACCCCAGAATGGCCAGCAGGAGACCCAAGCAGCCGACGAACATGCCCAATGCGGCTTGGAGCATGGGGGGGATGGTGTAGCTGTCGAGGGCCTTGATAGCGCCGGCGATACCAAGGGCCAGCCCGACCAAGCTGACGAGGCTGACAAAGATGAAGATCCATTTGGAGAGCTTGTTGACCGAGGCGTTTCTGAACAAGACATGTCTACGTCAGTCTCGAGTCACGCGTAGGTGGATAAAAGGTTGCGACTTACACTCTTTGCAGCAAACCCACGGCCGCCAGTGTTAGGGGAGCGATGCCCAACAAGTCACATGTAATTTTTGTGGTGACAACATTGATCGAGTCGTGAGAGATGGTGATGAGCTGACATACAGCGCCAGCGATTCGGAGACAGGCGAGGATAATGAGGAATCTCCAACATGATGCCACGGCCTTCATTCCTTGCTGGTAACACAAAAGAATGGCGAGGAAGAGGGAGGGCACGAAGACGATGAGCTGCAACACCGCGATACCATCTTCATAACTAAAAGTCATCTTGGATCGAGAGGGTCCGGAGCGGCAAATTTATCAGATAAGTGTCTTGCTGATGGCGGATTGATGGGCAATCTAGATTACAAGGTCAGGGCAGGGAGGGATTGAAGGCCCTGGAAAACCGGTACAATCTAATGAAACAAATATGAAGGATAGGGCGAGAATTGGGAATTCATTCCAACACCAGCTCTTGCCTTGGAGAAAACGATACGAGGATAATAAATGGAAACGTCCAGGGGTAAAATAAGAGAGCGGCCACCTGTGATGGAACAGGCAGCAAGTTTACGATGAAAGTATTGCCATGGGTTCGGGCTGTGTGCACTTGGACACAAAGACGAACGAGTGATTCAAAGACAACTTGATGATTTTTCGGGCATCTCCATGTTGGGAACAACTAGCTAACATCGAGCATACCCGATTAGGAATGGGGGTGATGATAAGTGGATAAGGTGGATAAGGTGGATAAGGTGATAAGGTGATAAGGTCTAAGCCTTTGAGATCTCCTTGGCGGGTAACTCGATGTGGTAGCCTTATCTTTTTGCGCTATTCCGTTTTGGTCACCCGTTTGGTTCCTTTTGCCGAACTCCGAATTGTCCCTTTTGGGTATCATTTCCCCCCCAAGACTTGCCATCGACTAACCTCACTAGCTTACTCACTAGCTATCCACTAACCACCGTCCATTAGTGAGATTGATCGACGCAACCACCATCCTACTAGAAACACGTGCAAGGTCACTCTCCTTCCTTTGAACAGCCTATTATCTATCTTACTAGTGTCAACTGCCATCTCCGTTATCCACCCTACTTTCTCGTTTCCCAGCGGGAACTAGCACTCTTCAAGATCGTTACTACATGCAGACAATGTCAGTCCGGAGGATCATGACTTACCGTTTGGTTTCTACTTGTAGCAATCCCCCCCAGCGGAGATCCGGGCGACAATCTAGCCAGGAACACTGCTGACAACGGGATGGCATTCCCTTTATATAAAAGACAACAAGATGGGATGTCTGCTTTGTGGGGATGAACATGTTTTGAAGATACATCATCTCGGCCTTCCATCGCCCTGGCCTTCTCATTCTTTACACATTTAGCCGGCTTTTGTTTTCCTTTTACCACCAAAGAAAAAACAAAAACAAAAGACCAATCTATCACAATGGCCGAGAGCGAGCAGCGCCAGCTCGCATATTGGCTGGAGCAGCTCGAGGGAAGCCAGCCCGCCGAGCTGCTCTGTGACAAGCCCCGGCCGGCCATCTCCTCTGGCAAGGCGCAGATCCACCACTTCGCCCTCGATGACCAGCTTTACCAGGAGATCCAGGTCTTCTGCCAGGCATACGAGGCCACTCCCTTTGTGGTGCTCCTCGCCGCTTTCAGGGCGACGCACTACCGCCTCACCGGTGTTGAGGATGCCACCATTGGTACACCCATCCCCAGCAACACCAACCTCCTATGTGTTCGCACCACCGTCGAGCCAGAGGACTCGTTCCATGCTCTCGTCCAGCGCGTGCAGCAAACTAACAGAGCGGCCTCTAGCAACCAGGATGTGGCCTTCCAGAAGATCTTCTCGGAGCTGCGTCCCGGCGCCGCCGACAGGTCCCGTAACCCGCTCGTTCAGACGATATTTGCAGTTCACTCGTCGGAAGATGCCAATAGCCCACGGCTCGACAGTGTGACGATAGCCACGTCCAAGTTTGATATTGAATTCCATCTCATCCAGGAGGCTCAGCGCATGAGCGGTCACATCATCTTCTCGGATGATCTGTTTGAAGCTTCGTCCATCCGCTTCGTCGAGTCCGTCTTCATTGAGGTCCTCGGCCGTGGCCTCAAGACACCCGAGGCCCTCGTCTCGACACTGCCTCTCACCCAGGGTCTCTCAACATTGGCCGATATGGGCCTCATAGATGTTGCGCGCACCGATTACCCGCGCGACTCCAGCGTCGTCGACCTCTTCCGTAGACAGGTCTCTCTCAGCCCCAACGCCGTTGCCGTCAAGAACGCATACTCGTCTTCTCAGCTCACGTACGCGGAGCTGGACCGGCAATCGGATCAGCTCGCCCACTGGCTGGTACAGCGCGGGCTCGCCCCAGAAACCATGGTCGCGGTGCTGGCGCCGCGGTCGTGCGAGACAATCGTGGCCCTTTTGGCCATTCTCAAGGCCAATATGGCCTATTTGCCTCTCGACGTCAACGTTCCCGTTGGCCGCCTCGAGACAATCCTCTCCACTATCCAGGGAGACAAGCTCGTCCTTCTCGGCACCGGCGTCACGCCTCCCGCCCTGCAGCTCAAAGACGTGAGCTTCCGTCACGTCGCCCAGGTCTTGGACGAGCAAGGCCAGCTCTTCGCTGGCGCTCTGCCGATGCCAACGGCTTCTAGCCTCGCGTACGTCATGTTCACATCCGGGTCAACGGGCAAGCCCAAGGGTGTCCAAGTGGAGCACCGCGGCATCGTGCGCCTGGTGCGCGAGACCAACGTGGCCTCCAAGACGCAGTCAAGTGGCAACATTGCGCACGTTGCCAACCTGGCCTTTGACATCGCGACGTGGGAAATCTACGCCGCGCTGCTCAACGGCGGCACGATCGTCTGCATCGACTACATGACGGTCGTCGACCCGGTCACTCTGGGACGGGTGTTGCATCGCGAGGCCGTGCGGTCCTGCTTGCTCACGCCTGCTCTCCTGAAGCAGTGCCTTGCCAGCGCGCCATCTGCTCTCTCCGGCCTGGAACTACTCTTTGCTGCCGGAGACCGCCTCGACCCACGCGATGCTGCCCAGGCCAAGGGCATCATCAAGGGTGACCTCGTCAACGCTTACGGTCCTACCGAGAACACCACTTTCAGCACCATCTACAAGGTCTCGGCCAATGAGAAGTGTGTCAACGGCATGCCCATCGGCGTAGCCATAAGCAACTCGGGCGCCTTCACCATGGACCCGGAGCAGCGCCTCGTGCCTCCTGGCGTCATGGGTGAGCTCATCGTCACTGGCGACGGTCTCGCCCGTGGATACACCAACGCGGAGCTCAACAAGAACCGCTTCGTACATGTGACCATCAACGGAGAGTCTGTCCGCGCCTACCGCACCGGTGACAGAGTGCGCCAGCGCCCTTCGGACGGCATGATCGAGTTCTTTGGCCGTATGGACCTCCAGGTCAAGATCCGTGGTCACCGCGTTGAGCTGCCCGAGATCGAGCATGCTCTTCTGCGCAGCGAATCTGTCAGCGACGCCGTGACTCTGGTACACCAACCTGAGGGCGAATCGGCGGAGCTTGTTGGCTTTGTCACTGTTCAAGGTGATATCGCGGATGTCGCTGCTCAGCGGGACTCTCAGGACCAGAAGGACGCCGACGACGACGGCCGACTCGAGAACCAGGTCGAATCTTGGAGGGATCTATTCGAGAATGGCACCTATGCCGACATCAACACAATCGACACCACCAAGGTCGGCAGAGACTTTATGGGTTGGAAGTCCATGTACGACGGCGAGCTCATCAACACCGCCGAGATGAACGAGTGGCTGGATGACACCATACACCACATGAACCGCAATGGCGGACAGCCACGCAATGTCCTAGAGGTCGGAACCGGTACGGGTATGATCTTGTTTAATCTTATCGACAACCTTAACAGCTATGTCGGGCTTGACCCGTCTGCGTCTGCCGCTGCTTTCGTCAACAAGATGGCCCAAGCAAGGCCTGCCCTGGCTGACAAGGTCGACGTGCGCGTTGGCACTGCCATCGATGCCGACTCCCTGGGCGAGCTTAATCACCCCGACATGGTGGTGATTAACTCGGTGGCACAGTACTTCCCCACGCGAGAGTACATCTCCTCCGTAGTGGACAAGTTGCTGGCCATTGACGGCGTGGAGCGCATCTACTTTGGCGACATGCGGTCCTGGGCCATCTACCGCGACTTCTGTACTACCAGGGCCCTGCACCAACTAGGCTCCTCTGCCACCAAGGAAGCAGTGCGACACGAGCTGGCGGAGAAAGCTAAGGAGGAGGAGGAGTTCCTCGCCGACCCGGCCTTTTTCACCAACTTGATGAGCCGCCTGCCAGAGGTTGTCGAGCACGTCGAGATTCTTCCCAAGCGCATGAAGGCCACCAACGAGCTGAGCTGCTACCGCTTCGCGGCCGTCATCCACAAGCGCCAGGCCGCTCAGCCCAAGACTATCCAGGAGATCACCGAGGGCGCCTGGGTCGATTTCAAGGTCAAGCAGCTGGATCGTGCTGGCTTGTTAGGCCTCCTACGGGCGTCCTCGGCCGCCTCCACAGTTGCCGTGAGCAACGTGCCCTACAGCAAGACCATTCTCGAGCGCCACATCGTCGACTCGCTTGACGACGAGACCGAGGAGGGAGCCGACTGGTTGGTGTCACAGCGTGAGGCTGCCGAGCGCTGCCCAGCCCTGTCGGCTCTGGACTTGGCTGAGCTGGCTGAACAGGCTGGCTTCAAAGTCGAGCTGAGCTGGGCGCGCCAGCATTCCCTTCGTGGCGGCATGGACGCTGTCTTCCACCGCGTCGAGGGTCTACGCCCCTTGTTCCACTTCCCGACTGAACACGAGGGCCGGTCCAAAGAGTCGCTGACCAACAGTCCCCTGCGCCGTCAAGAGGCCCAGGTGATCGAGGCTCTGCTCAAGACAGCGCTGCAGGCCTCGCTGCCCAAGTACATGATCCCTGCACGTATCGCCGTGCTGGACAAGATGCCCATCAACGCCAACGGCAAGGTGGACCGCAAGCAGTTGGCAAGACGAGCGAGCGTGCTCGCCAAGGCGACCAAGGGCTCTCGCCAGATCGTGGAGCCGCGCACAGACCTGGAGCGTGCCGTGTGCGAGGAGCTCTCCAGTGTGCTCAACGTCGATGCCGTTGGCGTCACCGACAACTTCTTCGACCTTGGCGGCCACTCGCTGATGGCCCCGCGTGTTGCCGCGCGTATCAATCAGCGCCTGAATGCAACTATCCTCCTTCGTGACGTGTTCGCTCACCCTGTGGTTGCTGACCTGGCCAAGAAGGTTGGCGAGTCGCTGGGCAATTCGTCCCAGGACAAGCTGGACCAGGACTCCGGCGATGACGAGTCCATTGAGATCGAGGACGAGGAGGAGCTGCTGAGCATGTCGCTGGCCACCAAGCTGCGACACTTCAACTCTGTTGCCCGTCCGCAGTGCGTCAAGTCGCTAGGCATGGCCGGCGAGGACATCGAGGAGATTTTGCCCGCCACCGGTGTCCAGACCCGCATGCTCGTCTTCGTCGAAGAGGCCGAGGAGATGAACATCACCAAGCCCTGCATCGAGCACTTTGTTTACCACGTGCCCGACGAGCTCGACCCCGCCCGCCTTGAGCAGGCCATCGTCGACGTCACCAAGCGGCACGACGCCTTCCGCACCGTCTGGGTGCAGGTCGAGCACCCCCTGAGCCCCTACGCCCAGTGCATCCTCAACCCTGCGCACCCCCGTGCCCAGCTGCCCATGGTCCACAGCGTCGTGCATGAGTACGACACCAGCCCGGATAGCCTCTGGGAGCAGACCATCGGCAGCGCCCAACGCACCGCCGAGGAGTACATCCGCCTGGACCGCGTCGGTGCCGTTGTACAGGTCGTGCACTCGGCCGACAACAAGCACCACGTCCTCATTTTCTCCCTCTTCCATCTCATCTACGACGGTGTGAGTCTCGACTTCCTGCGCCGCTCATTCGCCCAGGCATACGAGGGCGTTCCTCCCAGCAACCTGCCAGCGGTCGGCATGCGCCTCCCCGTCGAGGAGCACTACGGGACCGACTGGCTTGCCACTAGCATGTACTGGATGAAGCGTCTGGCGGGTGTGGCCCCCTTTAAGGCTGGCCAGACGGTGCTCAAGGGTGCGGTTCCCGGAAAGTTCACGTCGATCCTCACCACCCAGGACACCGCCTGCGAGATCCTCGAGTCCTCCATCAGCTTGAACGAGCTCTTCTCCCTCAGCAAGACCAAGTTCCCCTCGCCCATGGCCATTGTTCAGGGTGCCTGGGCCATGACACTAGCGCAGACTCTCGTCAAGGCCAATAACGCTGGCCAGGAGCCTTCCGCGGCCAACCTCGACGTGCAATTTGGCAGCGTCTTCCACGGCCGTCATAGCCCCGAGGCCCTCCGCTGCGTGGCCCTGATGCTAGACGTCTTCCCCACACGCATCGTCTTCTCGGACGCGTACAAGAGTGAGGAGAAAGGCGGACCTAAGAAGCGCACGCACCGCGAGATCTGCCAGGAGCTGTTCACGCAGTACGTCGACTCCATGGCGTACTCGGAGATGCCCTGTCCCACCATCGACTTTGCCAAGCTGACGCGTCGCTTCGACAACACTATCATCCTGCAGGCCTACCCCAAGGACGAGGTCGATGTCGACGCCAGCGGACTACCCAAGACCAGCATGGAGACCTTGCCCGGGTTCACCCGCGAGGAGAACCTGCAGGCTCCCTGGAAGGAGACCAACCACGGCTACCCGATCTTGGTGGAACTCTGGCCTGGGCGCGACAGCGAAGACGAGAAGTTCCGCCTACGCTGCACGTACAACAGACGCTGGCCGGGCTACGAGTTCATGACGCAGGAGTGGGCTCAGGGCTTGCTGCTGACCCTGAACCACGCGCTCGATCAGATTTTGCACAACCCTGATGGAGAGTTTGACCCTGTGAGACTTGTCGAGACAATACAACAGTAGATATTTATAATGAGTGGTGAACTGGGATTATTCTATCCCGTAAAAATCCTGTATATGATTTGGAAATTTGGTTAGATGTTTGGCTTGGATGTTTGGCTTTTGGGACCCACTGTGATGACACATGTATCCACGTACATGCCAAGCGCCCCACTAGATAGGCATTTTTCACCAGATAACCCAATCTACAATTTATGTATCTTTTGTAGGACTTACCTATACAAAAGGTACCTAGGCATAACATACATTTTTTCAGCCCTCAAACTGGGTAGGGAAGATATAAGAAGACATATATAGTCTAAAGAATGTCTATATTATTTAACCAAATTTTGACAAGAATATTAAGTATACTAAAATAAAGGAAGTACCTGGTCATACAAAAGACACATAAATTGTAGATTGGGTTATCTGGTGGGGCGCACCAATACCAATGGACCTGGTATTGCTTGGCACGGCTACTATGCCTCTTTTGTCAACCGTAAATTACGGCGCAGTCTTCAGATGCCAATACGTAGTACGTACTCATGGTATTTGGTGAGGCGCTTTGCTTGAATTTTTGATTTGTGAAAGGATATATACTTGTGTAAACCTATATGTACAGTATATATATACTCTATAGTTATGCAGTTTATCGTTGTATCAAATATCTACATTTGAATGGTGCTTCCATACTACCCACTTAATGGTGGACGGAGGTTGCTTGATTCAACAAAGTTGGCGAAATCATCTGCCTGCGCAAGACCTGCTTGGCAGCTGATTCTGCGCAACTGGGCGGCAGTCCACGCACGGGTCGAGTGGCTGAGGTTGTGCATGCAGCCCACAGTGAGGAGAACCCAGCAGGCAAAGTAGCCACCGACGGCCGAGCCGCCGTTGTTCTTGGAGCGCTCGTGCGCCTGCTTCTGCTGCTGCTGCTGCAGCTCCTGCGCCGGGGAAGTGGCGTAGCCCATGAGCTGGGGCATGGAGGCGAGTATCTCGTCGCGCAGGCGGACGATGGTCTGGGTGGCCTGGTGCAGGCGGTCGGCGTAGTTGTTGGCGAAGAACCAGTTGCTGTCGGTGTTAGCGCCGCGGAGGAGGAGGTGGCTGATGGCGTGATTGGCGAGGATGCGGCAGACGCGCATGCTGTTCCAGACGGAGGCGATCCAGACATCGTGGTAGATGTGGTTGACGTCGTGCCGGCTGCGAGTCGGATCGTAGCTGTTGCTGGACGAGTTGGGTTTGGCGGTGAACTGCCACTCGGAAGGGCACTTGGAGAAGGTGCTCTCGAGGCGGTAGTCAATCTCGAACGCCTGTGAGAGGTAGCGCTCGAGGTGCTCAATGGAGATGTTCGCACCCTTGAGAGGACCGGAGAGCATGGAGGTAGAGGCGGGGGAAGAACCGGATGCAGTAGAGGGGGAGTTGGAGGAATCGGAAGGGGCGGCGAGACCGGAGGAGGAGGCGCCGGAACAGTTGGGAAAGAACGAGTAGCCGCCCGGGGAAATCTGTTGGTAGAGATCCAGAAGCTCGACCATGCCGCTGCAGGCGACCCAGTAGGGATCCGAGACGCTGATGGCGTTGGCGGCCTCGATGCGCAGCATGCGTAGGCTCGAGGGCATGGGGCAACCGGAGCGCAGGCAGTTGGTGAGGAGCTGGGAGAAGACATCCTTGAAGATCTGCAGGCCGGTCGAGGTGGAGAACTGGGAGCGGCCGCGTAGGTTGAGGAGCGAAGTGGCACCCTCAATGTGGTGCTTCCAGCCGTCAATAGAGGCCTTGCTGAACTCGTAGAGGGCGAGGACGAGGACAGAGACGATGGTGCTGTCGCGACGGGCGGCCTGGGGGTCGGCGAGGGCGAGATTGACACGCTCCATGGTGCGTGTGTACATCATCATGGACCTGGTCAACAGGTCGGCCTGGCTAGTGGTGCGAGCGAGCCCACTGAAGCCGACGGCCAGAATGGCACCCTCGAGCATGTCATTGCCGCCGTCGTCTTGCGCCAGCATGGCCGGAACGTAGTCGAAGAAGCCGGAGGAGGGACCGGATTGCCGAATGACGTAGTGAGAGAGGAAGAAATCGAGACCGATGATGACGAGAGGCAAGGAGAAGGGACGCGCTATGACTTCGGGCTGACTGCTGGTGAAGTTGTTGTGTCCTAGCCGTTGGCGGTCGCCGCGGTTGCTCCCGTCATCAGGGAACTGTTCGAGAGCCACATCGTCGCCTACGCTAGAAGCGCCGACATGTGAACGACGCCCAGACACGGAGGCAGGAACAGAACCAGCGGATCCTGAACCATCGCCCGATACCGGAATGGCGCTGGGCGAGGCATCCTGGTGGAGGGAGAAGAGCCCAGTCTCGTCCGGGTTGAAAGGATCGTGGAAGCTCATCAACTCGGGCATGAAGCTGCCGCTGGCAAACATCCCGACTCCGACATCGACGTCGCTCATGTCCAGCATGGTGTCGTCAACGACATCGGAGGGGCGGCTGGTGTGATAGTCCGGTGCGGATGTGTATTGTTGTTGGTTTTGTGGCTGTGGTGGGGCTGTTCGCTCCACCGAGAGGCGGTCGGTTGGGGTGGCCGTCAAAGTCCTCTTGGAGACTTTTGAGCGGGCGCGATTGATGACTTGGGTGCTCTCATCGCGAAAGATGAGGCTTGAGGGATCTCTATACCCGGGGCATTTCTGATTCATGCGACAACATTGGCCGCATTCTGGGACTGCTTTGTCGCACTTTTTTTTTAGGGGGGTTTAAATGTGAGCCAAAATGTCTTTTTTAACTTTTTTTTCCCCCTGATGATTTTCTGTCTTTTGTAAAGGGGTGCAAAGAGTAATGACTTACTCTTCTCTTCTTGGCGCGACAATTCTTGCAACTTGTTGAAGGACGACCGCAGTAGACCATGATAGCGATTCTACCGAGTTACCGAGTGGTGATGATGATCGTGGATAGGCGGGGAAATGTGACTGACTTAGTATCTGATTAAGACTTAAGAGAGTGGGGACTTGTGCAGTTCCTTGTGGAGACACCAGGTAAGGCTGGATGAGGTGAATGCCAAGTGGATGAGGATGAATGCCAAGTTCGGACAAGGATACGGTTAAAAAAAAAAGGATTGGAAAGAGAATAGCCAGACGATAAGATGATTTTGAAAGGGGCGAAAAACGTTCTGCCTAAATAAGCACACACACCCACACACACAATTTATTAGCGCCCGGCGGCTGAGCCGGAAGGACAATTATCGTGGTACATGTTGGTTATGAGGTTGGTTATGAGGTGAAAAGATGATCCATTGTTATCCATCGATCCGTTGCTTATGTCTCATCCCGTGACTAGAACCTCAGGATAGCCCACAAAGCCCATAGCCCAACCCAACCCAACCGGGCTGGCCCCATCGGTGGGCCATTGTGACGTGTTGGGACCCTGGAACTAGAGATAACCCGCGGTTCTCCTGGCAGAACTACGGTATATCAACCCGTGCTGCCCGGAAGTTAAGAAAATTAACATTATTTACCTCTCCCATTCATATCTATCTACTATTGTTGCAATCTGTTATGGCCTAGTCAGGCTAGTCCTACTCGACCTGGTGTGGCCACCCTTGCTTGTATTGTGGTCTACCTAGGTTAGTTGTACCCGACCTGGTGTGGATACCCAGTCTTGCCTATCTGGGTTAGCCGTACTTGACCTGGGCTAGACTGTTCAAAAGTGTTAACACCCCTGCCCCACACCACTGTGATTATATAATATTCTGCCGGTCAGAAGATTTTCTTTAATACCATTGTAAATGAAAATCTCTGACTCTTAATGATTGTTTACAAAAGGCTAGATATCAGTTTAGGACAACAAACCAAAATATCCAGACATATGACATGAACTCAAGAGAGTTGAGGTCCACCAGTTCATTTCATATAGGCGGTATAGGCGGTATAGGCGGTATAGGCGATAAGGGAAGGCGGTATATGGGTGGGGCTAAAGGGGGTGTTAAAACTTATGAACAGTCACTGTAGGTACCCCGGAAGAGACTACCTAGGTACCTACCTAGGTAGGTACTCGTGCTGGTGTGTCTTGTTTTGCTTTGCCTTGCTGCACCATGGACCCGGAAAGCCCGAAAAGCCCATTCGGGCCCATAATGGCTCCAAACAATACAAACATGCCAATTCATCGTAGTTATGTACATAATTAATGCATTTTTGGGTTTTCAATTACCGACTGAGCTATACATACAGCTTTACTTTTTTACAAGAGGTACTTGTTTTTGTCAGGGTTTATGCACTAAACAGAGGTACCATAAGTAATACTATAGAGAAAGCGATAATTCTATCAATCCCCTATTGATACTATATATAATTTGTAATATCAGCGTATGACTTCGTAACCTTTAACTATACGGAAGTTCCTCGTAAAACGGTATCTTGATTTATAAAGAAAATACCTACACAGGCTATATTCGTGCAACCTAGTATGTTGCAACGGCCAGTGAGGTCAAGCGAATCAATATGATGTGGATGGATGGAAATGATTATTGGTTGAAGATCCTCAGGAGACAGACTGCTGAAGAGTAGCCTCGGAAAAAAACAAATGGAAAAAGAAAATATGAGCAACGGCTTATATATACCTCAAAGTTCGACACTACTGATCCACCAAGTAAACGAGCTTGAAACCGCTTACCTCCTTTCTCCGAATCATCTCCAATCCTTCCAGGATGCCGGAAAACCCGCCCGACATGACCTTGGCAGGTTGGTTCTTGAGCTTGCCCTCGAGCAGGTACTTCTGGGCGCCGCCGTAGAGCTCGTCGGCAAAGATACGCGCATCAGGGTCCGCGTCCAGCCCGTAGGGGGCAACCCAGCTACTGCCCCGACCCTTGACGGTGGATCCTAGGATCCAGTCGGGCTTGACAACCTTGCGAGTGGCTTGCGTCTCGGGGTACGGGTCCAGCGCCGTGTAGCGGCCGCCCGCGCGGCCAATGGCCTCGTAGCACAGCTTCATGGACGAATTGACGGTGACGCAGTCGATGGCGTAGGCCAGGGAGTTCTTGGTGTAAGACCTGATCTCCTTGGCGCAGTCGGGGGACCGGTAGTCAAACGTCTTCTCGGCGCCGTAGGAGAGAACCAGCTCCTCGTGCGACGGTGAGCAGGTGGCGATGGGCCGGAAGCCCGCCAGCTTGAGCAGCTGTAGGGCCATGGTGCCTGTCGAGGTGCTACCGCCGTTGACGAGCACGTGGGGAGTACGGGCAGCCGAGTTGGGCGCGGTCAATGACCCGGGCACCTTCATAGAGCGAAATAGAGCAATGCCTGCAGACGACAGCGACGTGCCCATGCATGCGGCATCGGTGAAGGACATGTCATCCGGCAGACGCAGAGCCTGGGTGGCCACGGTCGAGGCGTACTGGCAGAAGCCGCCGCCGCTAGGCCTCTTACGGTCCATGCTGTCTGCGGTGCCCAGTACCCGGTCCCCCACCTTGAGGTCTTGCCTGGTCACACCGCTGCCAATGGCCACGACGACGCCGGCAAAGTCGAAGCCGAGAATGGCGTTGGGCACAGCGAAGCCCTTGGCTATCTTGGAGTCGACGGGATTGAGGGCCAGTGCGGCCGTCTTGACAAGCACGGAATCCGGCTCCAGGTCGATTACGGGCACATCCTGCGAGACGCGGAGAGTGCCCTCCTCGTCAGCAGCGATGATCGCGGTCTGCGTCTTGGGGATGGTGACGCCCATTGTGAAGGATGGTGATGCAGGCGGTAGTGTTGGTGAGGGTGGTGGTGACGTTGCTATTGTTCTCCTTGTTGTTGTTGATTGACCAGGGAGAGAAATAAAAGGATTATCGGAAATGACAAGAGGAGACAAAGAAATATGGGAATGGGTTGTAGTCGTAAACCAGCGACAGCATTAACCTCGTAGCTAATGTCTTAACAATGACAATACTGACATGTCTTTTCACGTGGTAGTTGTCGACTGCAAGATCTATATACACGTGCGCGATCTCGTACGATTGTGGCTCGAGGCGGGCTGAGATGGGAGAAAAGGCAAGCTCTTCTCTCTTCTAGGGATTGGCTTCAGAGGTTACCATCACAGTCCCGTCCGGCCGTCGCACTCGGGTCACTTTCCTATGGGAAAACAAGTCCACATTCCCATTATGGCAAGTCAAGAGACGGCCGCACGTGTTGGGGAGGAAAAGGACGAAGCTGTCGTCTCAAAGAAGAAACGAAATGTCGGGGCGGGATATATGGCCAAAAGCGAAATAGTTGTGGATCGCTGATACGGGAGTGGGTGGACCTTTGTTGCTTGTAAATGAAAATCACATTTGGACGTTGCTTGGTTAAGACAAGCACCGATGACAATGCAGCCGGCAATCCTTCGCGGTGGGAAAATAGATCCATATTGGGTATTAGGGAAACCAGTGTTGAAGAGGGGCCAAGAATAGGTCTGGTTTGGAGGCGTTTAATTTCGGACGCATGGATCTTACAACAAGCACTTGTAAGTAAGCACCTGAATCCCGTCGGATTTGGCCCCAAAAATCATGCAGAATCCTGTAGGATTTGGCCCCCAAAACCTTGTAGGATGTAGCCGTTAGACTGCACAATTCTCCCTATGACTAGCTTGTTCGAAGTTTACCTCCGTATATACGTTAACGTATGTACGTGTTATGCTCATTATCGCCATTGATGGTAGTATCCTTGCGTTTCATTCGACACTTGACATGGTGCTGAGTATCGGGTCGGCAACACCCTGGGGCTTGTCCCGCGTGGCAGAGGCAGGGTTCGGATCTACCCAGGATGCTTAATCGTACATATCGACCACGTGTGGACCAGCCAGAGTCTTGGAGTTGTCTCGGCAAGGCTTATTTTATTTAGGTCGGGTCTGTCGAAACAGGGGTAACCTTGTAAGCCCCACACATGTCGGTAACACATAATCCTATTGGCTCGCCTTTGCCCCGTGTCCTAACCTATTTAGGTACCTAGGTATCCGACCCACGAGGTCAATGCCCGAGCTAGTACAACATAGACAGGTAAGCTGACAACCTTGGAAGCTGACAAGGCTAACGCAGCCTTGCCTCGTGGATTCCTATACCTCCATCGCTGAACCGCAGGTACTTCAGAAGCCAGTTTGAGACCATATGTTACCTCCACATTATACTGCGGGTCACTCAACATTTGACTAACCGGATTAGGAAGCTCCGAAAGAGAAAGGATTGAGGGAGGTTCACAAATCTGTGGATACACATGTATCATCAAGTTCCTGAGCTCTTTCTTCATCGGGATACCACCTCAACAATTAAAGGGGTCCCCACGGAAGGGTCAAGGCTGAAGTTCACATCAAGGCGAGCTCTTGAGGTAAGCCATTTGAAATTGCCAAGGCGAGAGCATGGGTTCTCTCGATGGAGACCTGATCTGTAGCTGTCAGGTTTAAACATAAAACCTATCCATCATGGCATCTCAACTCGTCCGTCGACCTGGATCCCCAGCGCTTGCGGCTTCAGCCCTTTCTCCTTCATTCAGCATTGTCTGGTCTAATACCTATACCAAGTCTTACCAAGTCTCTTTGTGCCTTTTGATTCGAGTATACCTACTTGAACATCTTTTATTATATTCAATTCCATATACCAGACAAGTCAAGCAATATACACACCCCACCTATATATACTCCTATTTTCCATCATCTCCTTCAAAATGTCACCTTCACACAACGAGCCCATTGCCATTGTTGGCAACGCCTGTCGATTCCCTGGGGATGCCACATCTCCTTCTAAGCTATGGGAACTGCTCAAGGAGCCCCGAGAGGTGGCCCGGCCCATCGATCGTTTCGCGGCTTCGAGCTTCTACCATCAAAATGGTCACTACCACGGCGCCAGCAATGTCCGCGACGCTTACCTTCTGTCTGAAGACCCCCGCAACTTCGACGCCCAGTTCTTCAACATTCCCCCTGGTGAGGCTGACTCTATCGACCCCCAGCAGCGCACAGTCCTCGAGACTGTATACGAAGCCGTCGAATCCTCTGGCCTGGTGCTCGAGGACCTACGCGGCTCAGACACGGCCGTCTACGTCGGTGTCATGTGTGACGACTACGGCAACATTTGCTACGTCGACCAGGAGGCGGTCCCAACCTACGCCGCCACCGGCACGGCCCGTAGCATTCTGTCCAACCGTGTCTCTTTCACCTTCGACTGGCGGGGTCCGTCAATGACCATTGACACGGCCTGTTCGTCGTCCCTGGTCGCTATCCACCAGGCTGTTCAGGTTTTGCGCAGCGGAAACTCCAACGTCGCCGTGGCCGCCGGTGCCAACTTGATTTTCAGCCCGAGTATGTGCCTCTTAATGATCTCCCTTGCTACAAAAATGCTTTAGAAACTTTGCTAATGTTTGGACCAAAGACATGTTCATCGCCGAGTCGAACCTTAACATGCTTTCCCCCACGGGCAAGTCCCAGATGTGGGATGCCAACGCCAACGGCTACGCCCGTGGTGAGGGTATCGCCGCTGTCATCATGAAGCGTCTCTCCGACGCAATCCGCGACGGTGACCACATTGAGTGCGTTATTCGTGAGACGGGGTGCAACCAGGATGGTCACACTCCCGGTATCACCATGCCCAGCCAGGAGGCTCAGACCAAGCTGATTCGCGACACCTACCGTCGTGCCGGCTTGGACCTGAGCAAGGCCGAGGACCGTCCTCAGTACTTTGAGGCTCACGGCACTGGTACTAAGGCCGGCGACGGTGTTGAGTCCAAGGCCATCTACCACGCCTTCTTTCCCGAGGGTCAGACCACGGACGAGACTCTGTGGGTTGGCTCCATCAAAACCATCATCGGCCACACCGAGGGTACCGCCGGTATCGCCGGTGTCATGAAGGCCTCCCTTGCCATCCAGAATAAGACCATCCCGCCAAACTTGCACTTCAAGAGTCTCAACCCTGAGATTTTCCCGTACTACGGCAAGCTGCAAATCGCCAAGACTGCGCAGCACTGGCCCGCGCTTCCCGCCGGCGCCGTTCGCCGTGCCTCCATCAACTCGTTCGGTTTCGGTGGCACCAACGCTCACGCCATTATTGAGGCCTACGAGCCCGAGGTCTCTGCCGTGCGGGCTGAGGCTGCGGTTAGGGCTGCTATGGCCTTGCCTCTCACCTTTTCCGCTACATCGGAGAAGTCTCTAACCAACCTCATGGCCAAGTACCTAGAGTACCTGATTGAGAACCCCGATGCCGACCTCACCAGTCTGGCCTTCACCCTGCACGACCGCCGTTCTACCTTTGCGTACCGCAGCCACATTGCTGGCCAGTCGGTCGAGGAGATCTTGCCCAAGCTACAGAACGCTGTTGAGGAGCAGCAGTCTGGCAACTCGGCCAGCATCGTCCGCGGTACTTCAGCCAAGAAGCACCTGCTCGGTGTTTTCACCGGTCAGGGCGCTCAGTGGGCGACCATGGGTCGTGAGCTGATCCGCGCCTCGAGGCTCGCACAGGACATTATTGGCAACCTCGAGCAGTCCCTCGCCGAGCTGCCTGCCTCTGACCGCCCGTCCTGGTCTATCATGGAGCAGCTCATGGCTGACCCCGCCCAGTCTCGCATTGCTGAGGGTGAGATGTCCCAGCCGTTGTGCACTGCCGTTCAGGTCGTCCTGATCGAGGTACTGAAGCTGGCCGGCATCACTTTCGATGTCGTCGTCGGCCACTCCAGTGGTGAGATTGGTGCCGCGTACGCCGCCGGATTCTTCAACGCCACTGATGCCATCCGCATTGCCTTCTACCGTGGTCGTTACGCCTTCATGGCGAAGGGTCCTGAGGGCCAGAAGGGTGGTATGTTGGCTGTTGGTACCACTCTTGAGGATGCTCGCGAGCTTGTCGAGCTCCCCGCCTTTGAGGGTCGCGTCTCCGTCGCCGCATACAACTCCGACGCCAGCGTCACCCTCTCCGGTGACCTTGACGTCATTGAGGAGGTCAAGGAGGTCTTGGACGACGAGCGCGTCTTCAACCGTCAGCTCAAGGTTGACACTGCGTACCACTCGCACCATATGATCCCCTGCTCCGCCAAGTACTATGAGGCTCTTGACAACTGCAGGGTTCAGATCCTCAAGCCCTCTGGTGAGACCAAGTGGTACTCGCCTGTGTACGACGGCAAGCTCATGGAGCCTTGCGAGGCGCTCAAGCACACTTACTGGGTCGACAATATGGTCAACATTGTCCTGTTTGCTACGTCCCTCAAGTCCGCTCTCACCAATGCCGTACCTCAGCCCACACAGGTCATTGAAGTCGGTCCCCACGCCGCCCTCAAGGGTCCTGCCTCCAACGTTATCGAGGAGGTGGTCAAGTCTGCGCTGCCTTACACCGGCACCCTTGCTCGTGGCCAGAACGACGTCAATGCCGTGGCCTCCACCCTCGGTTACATCTGGGCTCAGTTTGGCCGCAGCTCCGCCGACTGGAAGGGTTACTCGGAGGTCTTCTCCTCGGGTATTCCTACTATTCTCCAGGAGCTGCCCAGCTACCCCTGGAACCGCGACCGTCTGTTCTGGTACGAGGCTCGCAAGTCGCGTGTCAACCGCCTTCGTCAAGACCCCGCTCATGTCCTGCTCGGTACACGCACCGACTCCACCAACAAGCGCGAGTACCGCTGGCGCAACTATATCAGCTCCAAGGAGATCCCCTGGCTCTCCGGTCACAGCATTCAGGGCCAAACCTTGTTCCCTGCTGCTGGTTTCCTCGTGATGGCTGTTGAGGCTGCTCGCGTCGTCGGCCGTGACCAGGCCATCCACGCCATTGAGCTGCAGAACTCCTAGATCCACCGCGCCCTGGGTGTCAACGAGGACAAGGGTATCGAGACACTCTTCACCCTGTCTAATGTCACTTCTGTCCAAACGGGTGCAGATACCTCTACTGTCACTGCCAACTTCGCTTGCGATGCCTGCCTCCAGAAGGGTTCTGATGTCTTCACCTCCATCGCCTGCGGTAAGCTCATCATGAGCCTCGGCACTCCCTCCTCCTCGGCCCTGGTCGAGTACCCTAAGGAGGCTGGCCTTGGGATGCTGAACGTCGACTGTGAGGAGTTCTATGCCTACCTGGCCTCCATCGGCTACAACTACGCCGACCTCTTCAGGGGTATCACCTCCATGAGCCGATGCTGCGACTTGGCTCAGGGTGAGATTATCACCTCTACTGCCAGCCAGAGCGGCCCCATGGACGAGTTCTTGCTGCACCCGTCCACTCTTGACGTTGCCTTCCAGGCCATCTTTGCGGCCATCAGCTACCCCGGAGACGGTGCACTGTGGGATCTGCACATCCCCACTACTATCCGCCGCGTCGTCATCAACCCTGTCATCTGTCCGATGAACGGTGGTCTTAACGAGAAGGTCCGCTTCTCAGCTACCTCCAACCGCGCTGATGACAGTACCTTCTCCGGCAGCGTTGACATCTTCCCTATACACAGCGACCACTCGCTGTGCCAGGTTGAGGGAATGGAGGTCAGCCCCGTGGCTCCCCCTACGGCCAAGGACGACCGCCACATGTTTGGCCACACCAGTCGCTGGCTCAGCACCCCTGACGCCGAGGCCGTGGCCAAGCATGTCTCAATCACCACCGAACAGGAGCAGGACCACCAGCTTCTCGACCGTCTCGCGCTCCAAGAGCTCCGGAAGGTGGTTGCCTCTGGTAACTCCGAGCATGTCCATCTCCGCGCCTGGGCCCAGGGTGTCCTCAAGGTTTCTGGCACCGACACCTCCACTGAGCAGAATGACATCTCTAGCGCCATTGTTGGCGAGGCTTCCGCTGGTGACCTCGCTGTCCTCAGGGCCCTTGGCTCTGGCGAGTCCGGCTTGCTGAACAAGTTCTACTCCTCGGCGTTTGGTGCTGCGGAGGCTCGCGGCTCTTTGATCTCGCTGGTTCACCAGATTTCCCGCCGCTACCCTCACATGCGCATTATGGAGCTCAGCGCCGGCAACGGTACCGCTACCAAGCCTCTTCTGGAGACTCTCGGTGCCTTGTGCTCCGCCTACACTGTCACTGACTCGACTGACGAGCATTTCGCGGCCCTTAACAAGGAGCACGGTGAGTACCTCTTCACTCAGACCCTCGACCTGGACCAGGACCTCGAGGAGCAGGGCTTCTCCGCCGCCAGCTTTGATCTTATCATTGCCCCCGCCGGCCTCCACAATGTGCAGGACCATGCTCAAACCATCCAGAAGCTGCGCTGGCTTACCAGGCCTGGTGGTTTCCTCTTTGTCCAGCAGATCACCAACGCCAATGCTGTCCACGTCGCCCTAACCGTGGCCAGCTTGGCGTCGCAGACTGAGGTTCCCGAGCTGTCCGAGTACGATGTTCTGCTTCAGGACACTGGCTTCTCCGGCATTGACTCTGTCACTCCGGACTCTGTCAGCCCCTTCAGCGTCTTCGTGTCTCAGGCCGTCGATGCTCAAATCAACGCCATTCGTGCTCCTCTGACTGCCGGCAACAAGACCACCATTGACCAGATTCTCCTCATCGGTGGTCGCCGCTTCCAGACCTCTCGCATGATCGACAACATCAGGAACACCCTTGCCCAGTACTGCGGAAACATCACGTCGATCCAGAGCATGCGCGAGTTCAAGCCGTCCCTGCTGGCGTCTAGGCCTCTTGTGCTTTCCTCACTGAGCTCGACGAGCCCTTCTTCCAGGACCTAACCGACCAGAAGTACGAGGCCCTGCAGACTCTGTTCTTCCGCTCGCGTTACATTGTCTGGGCCACTCGCGGTGCCAACGGCGACAACCCTTACGCCAACGTCATGAAGGGTGTCGTCCGCTGCTTGCTGATCGAGATTCCTCACCTTCACTGCCAGATGTTCAACATCGAGGGCAAGGTCAAGATCGACCAGCACGCCACCGTCCTGGCCGAGCAGCTGCTGCGCCTGCATATTGCCGACGGTTGGAAGGACAAGATCCCCACGTACAGCGCTTTGTGGACCTCGGAGCGCGAGCTGATGCTTGCCGACGACAAACTCCACATTACTCGCTACGACTCCGAAGCCGAGCTCAATGACCACTACAACGTCTTGCGTCGTCGTGTCGTGGCTGATGTCTCCACCGCTGACCGCGTGGTTGCCATCACCGCCGATAAGAGGCTCCAGCAGTTCCGCCTCAACCCCCAGGCTCCCATTGGTGCCGAGGAGGCCAAGGTCTCCATCAACGTCGAGAAGTCCCTGTCCACCGCTTTCAAGGTTGGCGACCTCGGCTACTTCTACCTCAGCATCGGCACCAACAAGGAGACTAGCGAGACTGTCCTCGCGCTGACTGACCAGCACCAGTCTCTTCTCACCGTTCCTGAGTCGCGCCTTCTGGCCGTCAATGTCGCCGCCAGTGAGCGTCGCACCCTGCTCGTTTCTGTCGGTGCCACGCTTCTTGCCTCGGCTCTCCTCAAGAAGTCCACTGCCAGCGACAGACTCGTCTTCCACGAGGCGCCCACCGTCCTGGCCGAGCTTCTCCGTGAGAAAGCCCGCAAGATCGGCGCCCAGGTCGTCTTCACTACCACAGATAAGGAGGCCGCTGGTTACTGGCAACATGTCCACGCTTACACTCCCGGTCGCGAGCTGAGCAGGCTGGTGCAGGCCAACACGAGCCTGTTTGTCAACTTCTCTCCCGCCAGCGAGGGTAGTGGGCTTGTCAGCCGCCTTAAGGCCCAGCTGCCGTTCCGCGCCCGCTACCGCACTCTCTCAGACTACCTCCCGTCGCAGTCCGTTCTCTACTCGGACACGACCGAGGCTCAACTCGCCAAGTCCCTCAAGGACGCCCATGATAAGGCTCTCTTTGAGGCCTCGTCGGTTGACTTTAGCCAGGTTGCCAATACCTTTGTGCAACAACTTGCCGCTGACCAGACTCTTAGTGAGCCCCTGACCACCATGGACTGGACTAATCCTACTCCTTTCCCTGCCAACTTGACCCTCGCCATAGACCAGGTGCGCTTCCGCTCTGACCGCACCTACTTCCTCGTCGGTATGACTGGCAGCTTGGGTTTGTCCACCTGCGAGTTCATGATGGAGCGCGGCGCCAGGCACTTTGCCCTGTCCTCCCGCCGCCCCAACATCGACCAGCGCTGGCTGGACAAGGTCGAGACCAACTTTGGCGCCTCGGTCAAGGCGTACCCGCTTAACATCACTAGTCGCGAGAGCCTGCAGGGCGTGTACAAGGAGATATGTGCGACGCAACCCCTGATCGCGGGTGTGGCCAACGCCGCCCTCATCATGCGCGATGGTCTCTTTATGGAGTCCAACGCGACCACCATGAACGAGGCTCTGGGCCCCAAGATCAGCGGTACCTTCTACCTGGACGAACTGTTTGCCAACATCGATCTCGACTTTTTCATCCTGTACTCTTCCCTAGTGTACATCACTGGCAACATTGGTCAGACCTCCTATGCTGCCGGCAACGGTTTCATGGTCAGCTTGGCCCACCAGCGTCGCAAGCGCGGCCAGTGCGCCAGTGTCATGAACCTGGGTGGTATCAACGGTATCGGCTACATCACCCGTACTGACCACAACATTCTCAACCGTCTCGACATCATGGGCTACGGTATCATGTCCGAGCTCGACTACAAGTACTTCTTTGCCGAGGCGGTCATGGCCGGTCCTCCCGACTCCGGCCGCGACCCCGAGGTCTCTGCTGGTCTCAAGTTCGTCAACCCCAAGACCGACAAGAACCCGCCCAAGTGGTGGGAGGACCCCAAGTTCAGCCACTACGTCATTGACAAGAGCGCTCGTGAGGTTGGTGACAAGACCACTGAGGGTGCGATGTCCACAAAGGCCCAGCTGCAGGAGGCTGCCACTGATAAGGATGCCTCCAACATCATCCTGACGGCCCTACAGGCCATGCTTCACAAGAAGCTCGACCTGCCGCCCTCGGAGAGCGTCCTGTCTGATGTCGCCATTGTCGAGATGGGTGTCGACTCTCTCGTCGCCGTCGACATGCGCTCTTGGTTCAGTAGCGAGTTCGATCACGACATCCCCATCATCAAGATTTTGGGTGGTGCCACTCTTGCTGACCTAGTCGAGGACACTGTTGCCAACCTGTCACCGTCCATTGCCCCCAACTTGGGCGGCGCCGCTGCTGCCGAGGAGGAGGCCAAGGTCGAGGCCGAGATACCTGCTGAGGCTGCCACTGCTGCTACCTCTGACGATGAGCCTATCTTTTCTGATGATGACACCCCTGCCACCACCGACACCGATGAGGGCTCTGTCACTGGCAAGTCTACCGCCGACGAGAAGGTCGAGACTGCCGCTGCCCCTACTGCGCCGGCTGTCGTTCGTCCCAACTTTGTCCGCGTCGAGAAGATGACCTACGGCTGCTCTCGCTTCTGCTTCCTCCGCCAGTACCTCGAAGATGCCAGCTGCTTCAATATCATTGTCCGCACGCGTCTGACCGGTCAGGTTGACGTGGCTCGTGTCCGGGAGGCCGTCTACAAGGTCGGTGCCCGTCACGAGGCCCTGCGCACCGCCTACTACGTCGACGAGGAGGCCGAGCCCATGATGGGTGTCATGCCCGACTCCAAGCTCCGGCTCGAGGTCAGTAAGATTACCCACGAGAGCGAGGCCGAGAAGGTCCATAAAGAGGTGTCCAAGTACAACTTCGACATCGAGAACGGTGAGGTCATCCGCATGCTGCTCCTGACTGTCGGCCCCCGCGAGCACCACCTCATCTTCGCTGTCCACCACATTGCCATTGACGGCTTCTCCTTCAACCTAATGATCCGCGATATGAACATGTTCTACCAGGGCAAGCCCGTGCACACGATTGCCTCGCAGTTCACCGACCTGGCCATCCAGCAGCGCAAGGACATTGAGGGCGGTCGCCTGCAGGACGACATTGTCTTCTGGAAGAATATCTACACCACGGTGCCTGACCCTCTGCCTCTCTTCCCCTTCCCTGGCGTCGGTGCCCGTCTCCCGCAGACCAAGTACGAGCACGAGGAGGTCGAGATAGTGCTCGACTCGGCCATTGCGCAGGAGATCCGTACCCTCTGCCGCCAGAACCGCTGCACCACGTTCCACTTCTTCCTCGCCACATTCCGCCTGTTCCTGACCCGCTGGCTCGAGATTGACGACCTGTGCATTGGTATCGCCGATGCCAACCGCAAGGACATCAAGACCCTCGCCACCGTCGGTTTCCTGCTGAACCTGATCCCTCTCCGCTTCGGCGGCCTCACAGGCAAGGAGACCTTCTCCACCCTCCTCAACACCGCCAAACAGACCTCATACTCTGCCCTCAACCACTCTGCCCTGCCCTTTGACCTGGTGCTGCAGGAGCTCGAGGTGCCTCGCTCCTCCTCCCACAGCCCCATGTTCCAGGTTTTCCTCGACTACCGTCAGCTCGCCCTGAAGACGCCTCCCATGCTCGAGTCCCAGACCGAGGGCGAGAGCAACTTCGGTGCCACCGCCTACGACGTTGTTCTCGATGTCACTGACGACGCCGCCTCGGACATTACCATCAAGTGGCAGACGCAGAAGTCGCTGTACAACCGCCGCCACACCCAGGCCATGATGGACAGCTACATTCACCTGCTGCACCACTGTGCCAAGGGTTCCGCCGGCTCCATCGCCTCCGCTCCCCTCTACCGGGATGAGCATGTCACGGCTGCCATTAAGGCTGGACGTGGTAAGTATCACATGAACCGTCCCCTACTCCTACTACTGAACCTCGATTAACTGTATTGTCTTTCTCTCTGTGTAGGCCCCCAGTTTGACGGCCAGTGGCCCGAGACCCTGTCCCTCAAGGTCGACCAAGTCTCTGCCCAGTTCCCCAACGACATTGCCCTGCGTGACGGCCTCGGCGACTCCATGACCTACAAAGCCATGGACCGCACCCTCGACCAGATATCCGAGGAGCTCGTCCAGGCTGGCATCCAACCCGGTAACAAGGTCGGTGTGTTCCAGCAGCCCTCGGCCATGTGGATTTGCTCCTTGCTCGCTATCTGGCGCAACGGTGCCGTCTACGTGCCTCTTGACCCCCGCAACGGCCTGTCCCGTCTGGCGGCCACTTGCAGTGTTGTGGAGCCCAGCTCCGTGCTCTGCGACAGCTCCACTGCCGCCGGTGTCGCCCAGCTCGCTCTCCCTGTCGGCACCAGCACCATTAATGTTGACCAGGTCCGCAAGACCAACGACTCTCCCGCTCGCCGTCCCAACTTGTCCAAGGGTGATTCGTCTGCCATCATTGTCTCTAGCAGTGGTTCCACCGGTGTCCCTAAGGGTATCGAGGTCCGCCACCTGAGCTTGCTCAACCTCTTCGAGGGTGACAGCCAGATCTGGACCCTCGGCCGCCCCAACGCCGTTCAGCAGAGCGCCTACAGCTTCGACATCTCTCTTGACCAGATCTTCACCTCTCTCGTCAACGGTGGCATCCTCTACGTCGCTTCTCAGGCCCAGCGCTCCGACCCCCAGGCCATGGCTGAGCTCATGGCCAACAACCAGATCACCTACACCATGGCCACGCCGTCCGAGTATGCCAACTGGATCAACTACGCCGCTCCCACCCTGTCCAAGACCACGAGCTGGCGCCGCGCCAACGTTGGTGGTGAGGGATGGAACGCCACCCTGCGTGACTCCTTTGCCGCCCTCAACCTCCCCAGCCTCAAGATCCAGAACTGCTACGGTCCCGCCGAGAACAGCGTCTGGTGCACTCGTCATCCCATTGCCTACCCTGCCGATTCCACTCTCATCCCTGCCGGTCCTGCCCTTCCCAACTACTCCTTCTACATCGTGGACAAGCAGCTCAATGTTGTTCCCACCGGAGTCCAGGGCGAGATCCTCATTGGTGGTGCCGGTACCGCCGTCGGTTACTACAACCGCACCGACCTGACCAACGAGAAGTTCATCGAGGACAAGAACGCCTCCTCTGTTCACGTTGCCAAGGGATGGAACCGCGCCTACCGCACCGGCGACAAGGGTTACCTGATGGTCGACGGCACCCTCGTTGTCCTGGGCCGCATCACTGGCGACACCCAGATCAAGCTTCGCGGTTTCCGTATCGAGCTTGAGGACATCGAGGCCACCATTGTTCGCGCCTCCAACGGCGTTCTGTCTCGCGTCGTTGCCAACGTGCGCGGCGAGGGTCAGGAGAGCTACCTGGTCGGCTTCGTCGAGTTTGCTGACGGCTACCTGACCGACCAGCAGAAGATCTACCTCGCCCAGCTGCTCAACCAGGTGCCCCTGCCCCAGTACATGAAACCCAACATGCTCATCGCCCTTAGCCGCATCCCCCTGAACTCTCACGGAAAGATCAACAGGCTTGCCATTGCTACCATCCCTATCCAATCCCAGGTCGATGATGTCGAGATCTCTACCGAGGTCACCGACACTGAGAAGGCCATCTGGGAGCTGTGGGAGGAGATGCTGCCCCAGTCCGTTATGGATGGTGTGGTCATCAACTTGAACCATGATTTCTTCCAGCTCGGAGGTAACTCCTTGCTTACTGTCCGCCTGCAGTCTCGCATCCGCGAGGCTTTTGGGATCGTCGTTCCTCTCCCCAAGGTCATCGAGTCCAGCAAGCTCTCTGCTTTGGGTGCCCTCCTCGATAACCTCTTGGCCAACTCTGGCATCAACTGGGACCTCGAGACTGCCCTCGCCGATGACATGCTCCAGATCTCTCCCGCTGACGCCTCCTCCACCACCCGCAAGAACGCCCAGCCCCTGACTGTCATCCTCACCGGTGCCTCTGGTTTCATTGGTCATCACATCTTGGAGCACCTCATCCAGGACCCCAAGATCGGCCGCGTCCACTGCATTGCCCATCGTCCCCTGTCTGACGAGCTGCCCCACCGCCAGAAGTTCAACGCCGTCGCCGCCTCCTCAGACAAGATCTCCGTACACGAGGGTGATCTGAGCGCTCCTCGCCTCGGCCTATCCGAGACCGAGTTCGCCGCTCTCGCCGAGCAGGCCGACATGATCATTCACAGCGGTGCCAACCGGTCCTTCTTCAGCACCTACGACCAAGTCCAGGCCATCAACGTCCAGTCCACCAAGGAGCTCGCTCTCATGTCTGCTGCTTCCCTACATGACCACCGCCGCGTCGTGCCCTTCCACTTCCTCTCTGGCACTGAGGCCGCTACCATCGAGCCTGCTTCGGACGGTTCCCAGGGCTACGTCGCCTCCAAGTGGGCCAGCGAGCGCTTCCTCCAGAAGTACGCCGATCAGCTGCGCCTTCCGGTCCACATCCACCGCCAACTGCCCGTACCCGAGGGTCGTGAGGCCCAGGGCGAGGAGCTCGACCAGATCCTCCAGGAGTTCGTCGACGTCGCCGCCAAGATGACCGAGCTACCCAACTCGACCACCTGGGGCGGTCACTACGACCTGATCCCCGCCGACCGTCTGTCTCGTGACATTGTCGGTCACGCCTTCACGGCCCTGGCCTCGACCGACAACCATATCTCCAGCGATAACGTCAAGCAGTACTCGCACCTGAGCTCCGTCCGCATGAACATTGCCAAGGTTGTCGAGAGGCTGGGCTCGCTGCCCGAGTACGCCCAGAGCGACCGGCCCAAGATCCCTGCCCATGTCTGGATCGGCAAGGCCAAGACTGCCGGCTTCCGCTACCAGTTCAGCACCATGAACATGGTCCTGCAGGATGCCGAGGGCAAGGGCCTCGCTATGCTGTCGCGATAGAGTGTTGACTATTCTATCCGGTGTGTTTGTTCTTGTATATAGCTTCACTCATCCCTCTCCCGGTTTTTTCCTATGCCTAAAATCCTCATGTTTACATTATCTTTTGCTTTGGCGTTATAAAAGACTTGCTACAAAGATTTTCCTCTCTTCTGCAGTGATGCTTTAAAATGTAATGTCTTGTAGGTTCTACTTTGCTTTAAAGCACAATGTATTTAATATGATCCGAGAAGCTGGAGATGTCGAATCATATAATCCATGGCTTTCACCTTTGTCCATTCTTTTGGCTGCGTGACGGCAAAGACTTGGAACATCTATTCCAATAAATCATCTCCTGGTTTCACTACAACAACGTCTTGGCCACAGTGAGCATCATTCATCATCTCAATTCTGCTTTTTTCGTAAGCAATGAAATCTGCTCTTAGGCAAGTCTAGCAACTTGTGGTCACTGAGACGTACGCACTACTTTTGACAGACAGGAAACGCGCAGAGACATATATCCTAAAGTGAATTTGGCAAGGGACTCATGTAGGCAAAACTTGCTTCGTAAATTTATGTAACAACGGAATAGGCAAGACAAATGAAAGGATCTATGTACATCGCCTCAGGACATTACTATGCCCTTTGATATAGCGGTTTCTATATCTAACTCTGGTAGTCGTAGACGAGCTTGGCCTCAAGCCTCTCACCGTCATCCTTGGTGACCAGGACCTGCCTGGCATGGTAGCGAGTGCCGTTGAGGACAACGAAGCCGCCAACCTGCTGGGTGACGACGCCCTTGGAGTCGAGGTGCTCGGTCTTGAAGTGCATGACCTCCTCGGTGCCGTCCTCCCAACCATGGCGGAGGTAGTCATCATCGAGGTCGGCGAGCTTGCAGATGCGGGAGCGACCGCGGATATTGCCGAAGAGACCGTGGTTGAGCTCGACGGGCTTCCAGTTGAGGACACGCTTCTCCTGGGTGACGGGGAGGCTGCCGCTGGGCTTGTTCTCAATGTCGAGCAGGATCTCACCGTTCTCGTCCTTGCGCTGGTCGATGGTGAGTGTGACGTTGGCCAAGGCAATGACCTTACGGGTCAGCCAGTTGACGCCCTGGACCTTGAGGATTTCGGCAGAGGACTCGGACAGGTCGTTGTTCTGTAGGTATGGTTAGCATACAGGACTTGTGTGACACAGACATGGGAGAATTTGGTGTCTCTTACAGCAGACCAAGAGCCGTTAAGGTCCTGGACGGTCTTGGAAGCGGGGGCAGCCATTGTGTCGAGGTGTGAGTGGTCTTGCGGTATATTGTTAGGCAAGAGTAGCGAAGATAGAGAGTTGATTGAATGTATTGTCTTCTCTCCAAGTTTCTGAAACCTCCAACACGTTGCTCATATACATTTCGTTGTTCATAGATGACACGCCTTGTGCCGTGGGCACTTGGTACGACACATCCCCCTTAGAGTATCCAGTTGCAGATGGACTAAAATACCGCTCGTTAGTTGGCGTAAGTCAAGCAATGTCAAGCACCACTAGCGTAATTAATCCCTGTTTGCCGCGTCGGGCATAGAAAGCCGGCCCTTGGGCCTCATGTCGTTGGGGCTGGGACAAAGAGAATCCGCCGAAAAGGTGTAGGCTGCCACAATAACTTTGGTAAAAGAACAAAGACACAAAATGTAAATACGTAGGAACATTTTCAAATGGAGAGACAACTTGCATCCTACTTACTTAAAAAGGACAGAGAGGGGATAAGGGGGGATACCACCACGACCATTTCCCAAAAGGGTATGCAGGATGTTCGGTTCACGGCATCGTCGTCTTGTTCATCTTGGAATCCACGATCCAAAGGAGATCATTTATTTTTGTCATCTTTTTTGTTTACATCTGTCTCTTTATCCCTATTTCTGTTTCTTCCCTACTTCGCATCGCTAGCAGCAGCTGTATCCACTAGGATTGGCGTCCACTGCAAGCTATGCCCAGAGTCCCAGGCGTGCTACGGGACACCTTTACAATCTGACGTCGGGCTCAACCGAGTATTGACTTGTGGGCCGCGATTCTCCAGCAAGAGGGATCATCTCCAACATCATGTACGCGGAGTCTGAGAAGCTGCCAATGCATGGGCAGGTCCGCATGCACTCACAATCACAATACGACAAACCTAGCTACCCACCTCAATACGATCAAGCCCAGTACGGCCACCCTCAACGTGGAGGTCCTCAGTACGGGGCCACTCCAATGGGACAACCTCAGTACGGACAGCCTCAGTATGGACCTCCCCCAACAGGACAACCTCATTACGGACAGCCACAATATAGCCAACCCCAATATGGTCAACCCCAGTATAGCCAGCCTCAAAATGGACAAACACCTTACGGACAGCTTCAACCCGGTCCCAATCCCATGTTTGGAGGGCAACCCATCCCAGACCCCAGCTACGACTCGCAAACTGGGATGACCACCATGGGAGGGCCACTGCCTCTGCCCATCGTGATCCCGCAGCAGCGCCCAGGGTCTCAGGAGCGAGGCTTCATGGCCGCCTATACGCCATCTCTGGAGTCGTGCGGCATCGACCAAAGGTCGTTCCTGCGGTTCATCGATGAGACTAACACGGCCTTGGAGGGCAACAAGTACCTCGCCGGCGTGCAAGTCGTCTCTCTTGGCGTGGGCTTCACTCCCGAGGTCATTGTCATGGGTGTCGCCGCGGCGGTGCAGGCGGGCGCCTGGGCAGCCAACAAGGGCTACGTCAGAGGAAAGTAAGTGCAACGAGACAACTCTCCTCTCAAGCCACGATGCTCATCAGCCCCCCGCTTAGGACCAACAACGTCATGGACAAGCACAACCGCGAGCTTTTCGCACCTCACGGTCTGTTCTGCATGATTATGAAATATGAGCCTGAGCTCAAGGAGCCCAAGAATCCCAGCCGTCTCAAGCAGTTTGCCTCACTGGCTGTCAACGGCTCGAATAATGGTGGCGGCAGTGCATGGATGCGTAACCACGTTTCCGGCGAGTCGCAGGGACCTGGCGGTCTGCCTACGGCCGTCGCACCGCTTGTCTACATGGAGAACCACCGCGAACACAAGAAGTACCTGTCCGATTCTCCGCCTGAGTCATTAGACTCCAAGATGGGTGTCGTCCCCGCTGGAGGCAAGATTTCGACCAAGGACAAGGCCAAGAAAGCCTTTGACAACTTCAGCGACTACCTCGACCGTCGCGCTCGCGCAACGTACATCGCCGAGAACGGCAACGACGTGCTGAGCGGGCCGGCTGGTCGTGGCTTCAGCAACCGGTACCTTGACCCCAATCATCCGGCCGTCAACGGTGGTCTCATCGGTTTGCTTTCCGGCGGCGTGTTGAGTCCTACCCCGGAGCAGCGTGCGCAGAAGAAGGCCGGCAGAATTGATGACGAGGAGAGGAGAGTCCTTGACGAGTACAACGACCGGAGGGAGCGCATTTTGAATGACCGACGCAGCCAATCCGAGACAGATCGGGAGTTGAGGCGGTTGGAGAGGGACTACGAACCTCGTCTGGAGCAGTTCCGCAAGAAGAGAAGGGCACTGGAAGGTGGTAACAGATCCATCAAGAACGTAAGTCTAACTCATGTTTCATCCTTCCTGCTGACTTGGTGGTGTTGTTTTTTTGACTTACCATGGCCTTTTGCAGAACATTTTGTACCTGACGATTGTCAACCTTCCTTCAGAGGCCACTCTTGCTGCTGCTTCGTCGACGCTGGGGCAGGAATATGGTCACAGTGTCACGACGGAGACGATGTCACCTCGAGCGTACTAAACTTTCATTCAGTATACATTCCCATGTCTTTCCCGCAGCGTAGAATAGCGGATGTTATGCGGAGGATTTCTTGATTTTTTTTTTTTTTGGCATCAATCTGAATGTTGAGTGATGCGAAGGTGTATCCCGGCCAGGGGTCGGAAATTAATTATTACTAATATTGCCGCCTTAGGATGTCTGCAGATGCCTGATTATATACCGCCTTTTGGCACCGCTCTTACAGTGTATTGTAATATATTGTAACTGAAGCTCTATTCCCACTTTATAACTATAACTTCCAAGGTTACTAGTTAAGGGCTGTGTTATGGTAATTCAAGTATCTGTATTTTCTGCCAGCAAACATCTAGGCATATTCAGGCATCAATATTACTAATATCAGTTTCCATGATATTGTGCTATACATTAAATACCCCAATTACACCAAAATGTAGCCTCAATGCCACGTCAATGTCAGGGCAACCATCATCAGCACAGACAACGCTGTTGGGGATGATGATCAAAACGCCCAGATAATCTATCCATTCCAGAGTACCCCCCAATACACTCTACTATTACAAATTGGTAGCGGATCCAAAATGAATCTTTAATAGAAAGTGTGAGAGGTTTTAAAGCTGCAAAGGTCATGTCGTATACTTGTCGAGGAGAGAGTCCTGCTCTCTTCTTACAGGCTAGCCTCGTGGAGGCGCACCGTGACCGTGTCGCCAGGAGCGCTCACCAGGGCCAAGCCCCACCTAATCTTCTGGTCAGCGTGGACATCCTCGAGTCCGTCGAAGCGCTGGAGCATACGGACGAGGACGTAGCCAGCCTCGGTGAGGGCGAACTGCTGGCCAATGCAGATGCGTGGGCCACCGTTGAAGGGGAGGTATTCCCAGCCGGAGCGGCGGGCCTCCCAGCGCTCGGGCTTGAACTCACCCGAGTCCTTGCCCCAGACGTCCTCGCGGCGGTGCAACATGTGCACGTTGTACAGGACGGCCCGGCCCTTCTTGATGTACACGGGGCTCTGGCCGTCGGGGCCGCCGCCACGGGGTAGGCTGGTGTCCTTGGTGGCGTAGCGGGCGTTGGTGGGCAAGGGCGGGAACAGGCGGAGCGTCTCGCTGATGACCTGCTGCAGGTAAGTGCAGGCCTTGAGGGTGGCAAACGTGATGTTTTGGGGGTCCTCGTAGGTGCCGAAGTGGGCGACGATAGCCTCGCGCAGCTTGCGGAAGACCTCTGGGTGGCGGGAGAGTAGCAGGGTGGTCCAGCTTAGCAGCGCGGCGGTGGTATCGCGGCCGGCGAGCAGGACGTTGAGCAGCTGGGAGCGTAGCTCGATCGGGTCCTTGGTGGTCTCGGCCATGGCGTGGACAAAGATGTAATGCTCTGGCGCGCCCTCCTCGGGCTGCTGCTTCTTCTTGTGGTCGTGCAGGGCCTTGGCGACGCACTCGTCAACGAAGCGGTGGACCTCCTGGCAGCAGTTTCGGAATTCCTTGTTGTCGTACATGAACTTCATCCGAGGCAGACGTAGGCGCTGCGCCATGTACCACTGGGCGCGGTCAAAGTTCTTGCCAAAGTCGGTCACCTTGCCGCCACTGGCCATGCGGTCCTCGGCGTCGCCCATGGCGGCCAGCTGGGAGTAGCAGCTCTCGCCGAAGAGCAGCTCGGTCGCAGAGTCGAGGGTCAGGCGGAAGTAGATGCTCTGAATGTTGACCTCGGTCCAGCCGTTGCTTCCGGCGGCGGGTATGGCGCGCATGGCGTTTTGGACGTGATCCTCTTCGAGACGCAGGTCGCTGATCTGATCACGGGTGAACTGGGGCCGGAGCATGGTACGCGAGTGCGACCACTCGGCGCCGTCGTTGATGAACTGCACACTGATTATCAGCTTGGGCCAGATCTACATGCACGCCAATGCATGAGAAAAAATTAGAACATACGATTCCCTTGCCCAACAACGGGCCCATACATCCCAGTCTCTCACCACCAACGGAGAAGTCCTTGAACTGCTTGGCCAACATGGCCTGGAGGTTCTCAGGGTCAAAGGTGAGCATGTTCTCCCCCAGCCCTCTCTTAAGACGGAAGGTCGAAACGTAGCGTCCGGCATTTTCGCGCATGATGTTGGTGCGGCTCTCGAGCAGCTCTGGCACCACCTTGTTCTTGTCCGCCTGGATGATCTCCAGAATATCGCCGATAGCGAGGGGGTCCTTGGACGGTGCCATGGGCGCTGGCTGGCACCCCAGGCGCTTGGCATTTTGACTGTGCCTCCATTTCTCGCTCACGATGCGCGCGATGAAAGCAAGGCCGGCAAGGACCAGGAGGAGTGTTGGAAGCCCCATGGTCGAAATACTTGGGATTAGAAAGGTGGCAGTTATGGTCTGAACGAACGTATGCCTGTGTCAAGCAGTCATCCGGCCATCCAACGTCAACGAGAAGTCCCTTCCGACAGCAGCGCCCATATATAGATATATCCCCTTTTCCCTTTCCTGCTTCATGGTCACTTAGTTTGGTCATTCTTAGTGAATCCCGGAGGAGTCGATATTCCACTCGGTACTCCGTAGTCAGCAATGCTTACACTGCACGGATCTACTGTGTTAGATCCTTCCGGAGGCGTAGCTGATCGGAGTGGAATTGCGGCATATGTTACCCAATTGGGAAATCGTTGCCCTACGTAGCTGACGCTTGGACCACACACGCTTTCGCCGTGCGCAGCCCAACACAAACACCGCTGCCCTGCCTGTCCTTCATGTTTCTCGTTTCGTTTTCTAGCACTCCGTACTGATGAGTCTCGTTGCGGTAAGTCGGACACCATTCATCAGCTTGAGAGTCCATCATGCCACCGACACCCATGACCGCGTCGTACGATGCTACTTATACAACTTTCCAAACACCTGCATTTCCCGCTTGCATTTCCCGCTTGCTACGCTAAATGGACTCATTACTGAACCATACAGTGCGCTTTGGGAAATCGTCACAATATGTCTGCTAATGGCAGCGTTGAGCCATCCCAACCAAGCAATCAATGAGAACGGCCTGGATAATTAGTAGTAGCACATGGCGAAGAGCTGTCAATGACATGATAGTTGACATCGTGGCTTTCCATATTCTCTAAAGTTTTGCCAGGACATTGCCCTTGCAAATGCCTTTTCGGTAGTTTGACCTTTTCCGCAATCGTTTTCCACATGAACTGGCGCTTGGGTTTTAGGTGGGTACCCGCTGATTACACGTGACGTGACAATACCCGAAAATATGTATAAAGTCGTGGATAAGCCTGATTAGTCACCTGGCATAATTTTGGTAATTATCCCTGTCACGTGAAGCAATGTATGCTGTCGACCGGGAAATATATATCTGACAACATCACACAATCAACTCCCGTCAAAAGTTTTGAACACCTACTCTTCACTTATCAATCTAACGTACTGTGATATTCTACTTGCAGTGACAAGCTAATATGGCCATGGTTCCAAATGTGACCCTGAGTCCTGAATTTGCCTATATATACGGGTCTGTATATCTTGAGCTTTTACCATTGACATAGGTTACTTCCAAGGCCTGATTGCAGTCGTAGCCTCGACATAATCGAAATGACCCAAGCCCGCAAGGAAGGACACGTGCTGTGGACCCTGGGGCATAAAGCCAGCCATGTTGAGGAAGTTGTGTGGGAAGCCGAGATCAAAGTCGTAGCCCTTGTCAACCTCTGCCACATCCTCGGAAGTGAGCTCCAGGCTCAACGCCTCCACATTGGCCTTGAGTTGAGAGACTTTGTTTCCGCCAACCATGGGGAAGATATACGGAGCCTGAACCGATTAGTGAAAGAAAGGATTATGAGATAAATGTGCTTTTACCTTCTGCAGTGCATAGGTGAGCGCAACGGACGTAATGGGGACTTGATGGCGCTTGGCGACAGCATCCAAGGCGGCCGACACCTGTTCTTCACGGCCCGTCTTGACATGAGGCGTTTGACGACCACCTTCCTTGGGGGCGGCATCAGGTGAGCGGAAGTATCCTACAGCCATTAATAAAAAAAAAATAAAAAGAAGGTTCAGTTCATGATGGAGAAAGACTTACCACTGCCGAGCACACCCCACGGGTGAATAGCCATGCCCTCATCCCGAGCCATGGGGATGATATCACGCTCGAGATCACGCATCATAGCCGAATACCGACCCTGATAGACGGAGAAAGGACGGAGACCATGCTCGCGCGCATAAGCATTAGCCTTGGTAACGACCCAAGCAGGCGTGTCGCTGATCCCCAGATATAGGATCTTGCCCTGCTGCACGAGGGTATTGAGTGATTGCATCAGCTCAGGGATGGAGGTGGCAAAGTCCCACGCATGAACATAGTACAGGTCAATATAATCGACCTGAAGACGCTTTAAGCTGTCGTCAATAGCCACGCGCATGCTCTTGGTGCCCGTGCCACCGTAGTTGCTCTGCTGCACGGGCTTGCCGAAGATCGGGCTCAGCGTGTACTTGGTTGCGAGCACGATCTCGGACCGTCGGCCTGTCTTCTGCAGCCACTCGCCGATCCACTCTTCGCTCTGTCCAAATTGGTACATGTTGGCGGTGTCGATAAAATTACCTCCCAGGTCGTAGTAGGCGTCCAGGAGTTCGAATGCCTGCTCCTTTGTACATTCACCCATCATGCCCTTCCAGTTGTCGCCCAGACCTGGATAACAATTTGTTATTGTGCTTTTCGACAGGAAGGAAAACAAAAAAAAAACAGAGTTCTTACTCATGCCGCCCAGTGACAGTGGGCTGACACGCACCGACGCCGAGGGGGCTAGGAGACGGTGGCGGCCTAGGACACTCTTGGGAGGAGGAGGTGGAGGAGGCATTTTCTTGGATTGGGTTTGTTTATGTGTGGATTTGCTGTAATAAGTTGTAGAGCCGCTCTGAAGTTCCAATTCACTTAATCTGGTTCTTTGAGGTTTGATTCGAATGCAACAGCACAGAGGGGGGAGAGGCATTTAATAAAGTGAGAGCCGAACGAACCCATCGTCGGATAGTCCCTCTGAGATTTATTTTGTTACTACGGCCTTAAATGCTTAACTCCTTATCTTTCTCTCTGTTTTGGTTGAAGTTCATCGGGTTCGATGGTGCATGGATGAATCGGCTTTTGTCGGCTTTAGCATCGCCAACAATCGCCCTTGTCTACCCTGTCAATCATCGTCGGAATTCGGGTTAACGGTGCATTCTTTTTTCAAGTGCTTAGCAATCCGACTAAATATTAACCTTGGAAGGTCCACGGTGTTTGATTTACTTAACTCCGTCCATTTTGTAATGCATGAAGGCTTTTAGCAACCCACGTCAGGGTGACCTCTTGTTTCAAGTGTTTAGAAATCAACTGAACTAGTTGAGTGCAGTGTTTTTGATTGAATTTACGATATTATGAACTGGTTGAGCCTCTTTAGTAATATATCTAGGAGTATTATCTTATATACTAATCGGATCTTACTCCATTCTTAGACGGAAGAAGCCTTCTATCATGATACGTATAATACGTATAATATAGGATTCACTATATAACTAGGTATAAGGACTTCTAAATTGAATTAAATCTGAAGTAAATCTGAATTGAATCTGAAGAAAATTGGCAGATCTCTTGGCCGTTAGTTTAGGGGTGGGTGAATCTTTAGAGGGTAGACTGTTGTGCCCGAACTGCCCGCTCTTTCACTCTTCACCTCTGCCCTCAATCCCTTTCCTTCTTCATACCCAACTCAACTCCTCTCTTTAGTTGGCTTCTACAGCTTCTCTTCTGTCCTATACGACGATGCGGCGGTGAACCGTGCCTTGGGACCTTTTTTTACGCTACTATGCCTGTGAGCCTCGCGATGGGCTAGAAATAGAATTCGGTGACGATGAGGAGGAGATTCTATCACCGCAGGCGCCCGAGTATGTTTCCCCTGTGGCCGGCTGCAGCAAACAGAAAGATGCACCTACCCAGGCCCCCAAGCACGTCCCCAATCTACCGGAATTCGAGAAAGAGAATGCTCCTCCTAAGGAAGACGAGACCCCATCAGCCGACGATTTTTAATATTTGCACTTTCCTATGTTGACGACATGCTCTACAAGACCAGATCGGCAGAGACAACTTGCGCTTCGATTACGGCCTCGATAGATGAAAGGTGATCGAAAAATCATGAGAGTGCCATCTTAGGTATGAACAATTTCTTTTAGGGGATGGAAAATGTGTATTCAATCGGATATCTAGGTGCTATCAGCCTAATTGCTCTAACACTTTCTATTCGCAGGACTATTTCATGTTCAAGTTCGTTCAAGCATATGGTATAATAACCTGGGATTGGAACTCCATACAACATAGTTGCACAATTAACTTCCCTTCTTATTCTATCCGAAGGGTTATAAGTTTAGTCTAGTCTGGTTGCTCACTGAATCTCAACTACCGCTGTTGAATTTTGTAAAGGACATGCTACGGTTCAATCCTGTGGCCAAGAGGGATACACATTTAGAAATACACAGCAAATACACAACATTTTATTGGCCTCTCGGTTAAAGTAGTCTTTTACCTATTTACTATAGTGGGGGAACCGCGCACAACTCAGAATCAGGTATCAAGGCCGAGATTAGGCGTACACATCCCCGCCATAATAACTCATTCCCACCTATATACGCTATCGTGAGTCAAGTTTCGGTTTTCTGTTATTATGCTGAGATTATACATTTGGTTCCTATATGATCTTCCTTACGATTTCCCACTATTTACTATATCAGTCGCTCTACCGCTCTACCGGTGTGTTATGCGTTTATCCATCTTGACTCGTCTGTGCTGTCAGACAGTTAACTAGCCATCGTACATCTCCATCTTCAATACGAATGTGAGCTAGGGTATGAAATCGTAACACAAAAGTGAATTTTTGTTAGATATACTCCTCTTATAGTAAGTGACAACCACCTACCTCTGTTCTAGGTACAGGAGGTGCTCTATACCTCACGGTAACAAAGTACGGTAGATATAGCAGGTATGCTTGAGTTGGTGACCACCAGCTAGAGCCTCCAAAAGGTTTAACTACATGTTAATATCCCTGAGCATTCAGCTCGAACATTTGAGCAACTTGGACACAACGAACGTCAATATTTCAATTGTGGCTTTTCACTGATTGCCCGAAATGGTAGTAAACAACCCCTGAAGATAATATCTTCAAAACTATTGATGACCTTGGTAAATAAAGTCACGATAACGGTAGTTGGCAAATTGCAAACACAATTGAACTGTCAGATTGATGCACCGCTCCCCCGGTCACAGCTTCTGCTCTTCTCCCAAGACACTCAGCAAACCGCACCACTATATAACCATCAGGTTGTGATGCGGTGACAATATACGCCAAGGTAATAAGGTGATCAACTAATTAACCCCGGACATAGTACGAAGAAGCGACAGAGATGGGGTGAAAAAGTAATCGCCGCCTTGCGACTCGACGAAGGACGGGAATTCAACCTGGGTATGCTGTCCTTTACCATCGGTGATGCTGAAGGTCAATCCTGTGTCATCAGCTTGCTTTGTAGATGGAAGCGTCTGGCCAATTACGGGATCTTGTCCTGGAAGAGTGCCTCCTGTGTACTTAACCTTCTCTGGAGGAAAGTCATCATCGTTGCACCACTCTTGAATATGGAGTCAGCGGCTTGATAGGAACTTTCTAAAGTAAGGTTATGGCTTACTGTTTTTAATAAACGAGAAGCCATTTCCAAGGCTGGTTTGGTAACAAACGAACATGAGGCCACGCTCTTGTGTAGTCGTAGGCTCAGTTGCAGGATCATGCTCCGGTCCGAATGGAAGACCGCGACGCATGATGTCGAACATATCCAGGTTGTTCACGTCCTTTCGAGGTTTGACCTTGCGCGTGTGTGATGCAAACGGGCACCTGAGCTGACTCTCTGGGTCATAGTCAAAGTCGTTGAACCTCGCATGCTCCGGGTGATCGGTATCGGGATACAGCTCAACAGGTGCTCCTAACATTAAAGATATATCTTAGTACATCGTATATATAGGGAGCTTGACTCGGATTGCAGCTTACCGCTTTGCCAGCGTCCCATCATCCGAGCGCCCATCTGGCCCGGAGTTAAATGGAGTTTCGCCCCCTGTTCTTCCACGTATCTAAGATCATAGCGTTAGATCATGGTTTCAAATATGAGACGAAAAGTGACCATATACCTGTTCCATTCTGGCACGAACTGTTTGAGTCTGCGAACCACCTGGATACTTCCGTTTCTGGCCCAATCGGGGTGCTTCGAATCCTCCGCGTCGTGTCCAAAAATGATGACACTAGAATATATAAGTATTCTGAGATATTCCTGAATAACAATGTGTTCCAACTTACCCGGGATTAGTGAGAGACTTGAGAGCACCTTTGGCCTTTAGGTCTTCGTCATCAAAGCCTGCTAGAAGTGGCTGTGAAACGCCGTCCAAAAAGCCAAAGCTGACATACGATTAGGCTAACGTTTTCTCGGTATCAGGATCTGGACTTACTGCTCATGGCCTCTTTGTTTGCCTGGCCTCTCTTGGCCGTTCAAGGTTATGACGTGACGACATCCTTGCTTCTCGCCCAGGTAGTTCTGGTTCAGATCGGCCACTTTTGCCTGGACTTCTTCTTTGGTACCACACACCAGTACCATCCCATCAATCTTGCTAGGTTGTGAGTTCTCAGAATCCTTCAAGAATTCTTTTCGCCATTCTTTCTCTTGATCTCTGCCTTCGCCCATCATGTCATGTTGCATACCCTTTATGTATATGTCGTCCATGAACGGTTCTTTCCATAGCTAACGAGATGTAAATGATTAGAGTTGGACCCTAGAGGCAGGTAGGCAGACAATTCCATTTACCTTGTTCATACCCACGTGAGTGAAAGATATGTTAACAGCAGCTAAGCTTGCATGGCTCTTAGATGCTTGAGACCTCGGAATATCCTTCGCATATTTCGGGACAAGATGTGCGATAACATCAAATGGGAATTTGGCCACGCCAACGGAGACGTCCACGGCAGCGTGCGCCACAGTTCCTGCAAGATCGATCCCGGTGTTCACCGTAGAGCCCACTCCATCCACTGCATCATTCAACACGCCGAACAATCCCCCGCCGTTACTCCGAGTGTTTTTCTTCGGATGTTCTTGAGCTTTTTCTTTGGTTTCTTCCGCCTTGACCATCTGGATGCACGTACGAGCAGCCATAGCGTGGGTGGCGCTAGTAATCACTTCATCCGCAAGGTTTTTAAGCACGGGTTTAAAGAGTTCGACATCCTCGATACTGAAAAAGTAAAACTCTTCGTATCTTTTCGACAAGCCTGGCCTAGGTTCAAGTCAGCATCAATGTCCTTGGTGGTTGCCAGGCCTGAAAACTAACCAGATATCTCCTTGGATATTGTCGTAATCTTCTTTGGCAACCATTTTTTTCGTTTTATGGATGATAGAAGACAAGTACAACGTAGATGAAGAAAACTTGGTTCAAATGATCCGGGAGGTACACTTTATAGCTTACCCAACGGTGCTGAATATCCATCTGCGAGGCCACCTATGGGCCACAATACAAGGAAAGTGTTACATCGTGTATCGTGGGGCTTATTCCAACGTTGGGAAGATACAACATTGGAGGCCCAATCACAGCTTCAGTCTCCTGTGGTTATATAAATCAATCCCAGTGGATATGAATGCTAAGTCGTACAATTGTCCCCAGACTCGACCTCCCTATGCTAGTCACCAATAGAAAAGCACATATTAAACGAAGTAGTTGCGGTGCAGCTGGATTCACAATATGATGACGTGGATCTTCTAGTACTTTGACTACTACATATATAGCTACAGACCTACAGACACACCGCTATCGCTTGATGACGGCTTAGTTTCCATCCCATGCATCTAACCTAGGCTTGATTGTGGAGTCTGAAGTGTGACTGATCTCAAGAGCGCGTTGTGATTTGATGCTACAGTGACGGTTTATTACATCATTAGGCGCCTCAGCCCCGGTGGATATCCTCAGTGCTCTTGGATGAGCAATTTTCAATTCTCGAGTATCAGAGTATCTAGGCCCAACACTTCTAAAGTAGTTAGGTACCTTTCTTAAAGTAGTCCCTTGTACGACCAGGTCAAATAATGCGGACCTAAAGCTAAACCGAACATCGCCAACCACCTCCTTAGATTTCACTATTATGAGTATTGACCTCGAATATGAAAGCTGCATAGAAAATTAAACCAGCTGATGCAATTCTGCAGTTACACCGCATTGGGTAATTTGAACCGAACATCTTCACCAACTGCTTCTAAGGATTCATCGAATGAACAGCATTTCTGCTTGGAAAGCTTCATTGAAAGATATATGAGTGGATGTAGTAGGGTACACAAGGTTGCCTCGTACAGATTCGGGCCGCCCTGTTGCGTTAGAAAAATGGTAACTGTAATACCGTAACGTAACTAAAATCTCTAATCACGGTTATTGGCTGAGGGATTGCCCCACTTAATGGGCCCGTGCTGTAAACTTAGGTTGATCCCGCTTGGTGCACCCGACAAGAACCGGACTATTCATAGACGTTCTAAGGCAAACCTTCCAAGGTTGGAATCTTTCCAAATCGGCGCTTAGATAGTATCCTTTAAGGTGAAAAACGGTATATCGCATCGGATTATTTTCAGTACTTGCATAAGCTTTGTGATATGGTTAAGTAAAATGGCATCTGACTGATGCGGATATTTCAGCCAGCCACACAGTGAAAGGACGGCACGAGCATAAGGAGAAAAAGCCCCACAAATGCATGACACGATGAAAAATGCGATAGAAAACTGTAGTGCGTCCACTGTTGCATCGATCTGCATATATACCTATATACCGGATGTCATAGATAATGTCAATGCAGCCCGTCACTCCCACGTATTCTTATACCATTCGTAAGACGGATTGATATTTAACGCTTATCAATATAATTGTGATGGGAGCACCGGTCAGGCTATGAGAAAAAAACAGTATGGTATGCGAGCACGAAGAGCCCCATCGGCAATAGAAGGGATGGTCAAGTGAGGGAAGGAATCAGAGATGGCATAGTTATTAGGTTGTTAGGTGAATTCGAGTAAACTGTCAATGTGATAGACCAAACGGACTATATCCGGCTGAATGACTATACTCTTTCTATTGGCCCATTAATCTAATAATATATGGGAGTGACCCAGAAACCCAGTAATAGCCCAGTAATAGTAACCCAATCCCGACCCAAGATCCCCACCCCAGTTTCATGAAGATCTCTCAAAAACATTCCATCCCATGGGGCCTCCAAATGTCCAATAACGAGCATTAGGAGACACAGCAGGGGTTTGATAACTGTCTCACCATGGAAATATAAATAAGATAACCTAATTGATCAATTGACCAATTAATAATAGCAAGAAATCAAAAAAAAAAATGCCTACGTTTTTTACTCATGTTAGTCTATAATAAATTGTCTACTAAGTATACACATGTTGAATAGTTATATATTTCTACAACTTCAACAGCGTACATCTTCTGGAATGCCTCAGTGGGATGGGCGAGAGGTGTAAAGAGCACCCGTTTTAGAAGGTCGGACAACAGTCAGCTAAGAAGGAAACAAGCAACAACCAACAATAAGAGATAGGATAGGACTCCAAAGGAGTGTGTATTGGGAATCAACCTGAGAGGGTGTGTGTAGGTGGATGTAAAACTAGCTGTCTCTCTGTAGACTACATACAGGCAATATTAGTATGTACATGTAGCCAGAATTCTTGAATTTTGGAAGGGTGTGGTCAATAGACGCGCAGAACGGACGAATCAGGATGTAGAAACATACTGGGAGTGCATTTAACTAGGGATTAATTAGGTCTAAGCTATACCACCTAGATATATCCCAGTTCCTTTAAGACCTCATTCTCAAATTCTTGCATATCCTCTCTAGTAAACACTTGGCCTTTCTCCCCTGCTTTGCGGATCCAACCTGATGATGTCTTCTTCATTAGCCAGCTTGGCTTAGGTTTGGATTTGTTGCTTCTCCATAAAGTGCTCAAAGGAATCTCGATCGCTAGAGTGGCATGCGAGGTCGCTTGGTTTTTTTCGCTTGGTTTTTCGTCGTCGCTACTGTCTTCTTCCGTTCGCTTCTTGGGAACCTTATCGGTTCGGGAGACTGCTTTGCGCTTCCTCATTTTGGGTATTGAGGGAAGTAGGTTGGTGGTGTGGGGAAGAGTAAAGATGAATTGTACAGCTAAGAGAAGAAGGGTTGACGCGGAAAAATGAAATTGAAGAAATAATATAGTTAGGGTTTCTTGATAGGTGATGGGATGTTGGTAATTCTAGGGGTAAGTGAAATATCGGGTTGCTCTTGTTGTGATTGGTTTGTTAGGCTTGTCTCGGCACGGCCTGTGGTTCCTTATGTACCGTATCCGAAACTGGGGTGGCACTGTGGCAGGTACTTCCGTGGGAGGGCGAGCGAGGTTGTCAGAGCTTCGTTGGTAATTGTTAGAACTTGGTTGGGATTGGGATTGTCCGGTTGATTCTGGGGTTTGATCTCTGCCTTGGTGCCTACTTCCTACCAAATGGCTTAGATGGTTCACTAAGTCTTGCCACGGTAGCGGGTGTTATGGAGGCGCTGGCTTTGAGAAAGCTTTCTGTGGCTTTGTGTAGGGTTGGTCGATGGATTGGCCAGTCGGAGGTGAAGGGGTTTTCGGATTCTGGAAGATCAGGTTGGTTGGGTTATTGGTGTAGGAGAAAGCTTAGATGATATTTGTTCTCAGAGTGGAAGTCGTTCGACCAGGGGTGTCCAAGCTCGATGTAGGTGTGTAGCCGGAAGGTGTGTTGGGCGCTTGGCATGGCTATATTATAGAGACACCGACGAACATTTGAACCTAATTAGGAAGGCGGTATATCATTGGACGTGAGAATACCTGCCTGCCACTGTGTGTTTCATATGACAAAACTTGGAAACTTGGATTTTTTTGGTCCGCTTTTGTTGAAAAAAAAAGGAAAAAAAAAAAAGAAAAGAAAACTCCGATAGGGGGAATCGAACCCCCCGGCTGCCGTGTGAGAGACGGCGATGTTAGCCACTACACCATATCGGACATTGGATGATAACATTATTCAGATTGAGCTTTATCAATTACAATATAGCGTCTCCGATCGTATGTTGCCCGTGCGTGCCTGTATATAGACCCCTTCTTTACCCAACAGCTCTTTAATTTCTTTTTGGCCCTCCTTCTTCTTCCTACGCCTCGCAGGTGAGGCATTTTTGCCATTGACCCGATTTACCGAGCTCCTCAGCTCTCCCCCCCGGCTGATCCTTCAACGTGACCCGTCGGTTCGTTTGCTTTGCGATCACGCGACAGCAATCTACCATATCTGACCTCGTCTACATGGCCCCTTTTTTTCAGCGCTTGGTGCCCGATATGAGAATGATCCGCGATATCGGTTGTTGAGGCTCACCACCTTAGATGCCCATCGGTCGGTCCCTAGCTGACCTCTGTGCGGGAAACAGGCGCAGCTGTCCAACACATTTTCAGGTCAATGTAGCGGCCTTGTGAATTTATCTTTAGAAGCGAAGCCGACACTGATCGAGATCCCGATTAGACAGGGAATGGATGAGAATCCCTTAGTGCGACCGCCTCACTGACTCCAGCTGAATGAGAAACAGAATACATATCATTGGGCCACGAGCCTTGTCTGAAACAGGTGGCCTATTGGCATCTGCACACAGCCCCTCAATGGAATAATATTCGACTATTCAAATGGAGTAAGCTTTGAATATCAGCTCTGGCAGGTATTCGGGCTTTCCTCTCTAGCAGAGCAGAAGGCAAAACCACTTCAGCCTTCAGTCACATCCTAAAGGCGCCTTTCAACACATCCATATCCGTTACCGCTATCTTGGCTGGGTAAATAGCTGATACTTTATCTCAATACGACTAAAATAATGGAAAGGCATATTCTATATTACTGCGCAGCAGTTCACTCCACCTAGGTCGGGCAAGACGCGTAATTTCCCATGCCAACGTACCCCGCGTCCACGCCAAAAAAACGCCAAAGAACGCGAAATCACATGGTAAGACAGATGTACTATCCAATGAGCGTACGCCACGCACATCGATGACATCTTGTAGGCCCCATTAGGCATAAGAGTCCTCGGCGAGTTTGAATTAGAAATGCACGAGGCCTATCATTTCTGCTCGAGATACGACTTCGCTTTGTTTCTACTAGAGAAACTACGGTTTTGGGCGAAATGCAGTATCACAGTATAGTGAAGCGACATATAAGGCACAAAATTTAGGTCTCAGTGGTGTATCGTTGCAGCATTGACAACGCATGAGTCAAGAACGTCGGCCATGTAGGTTTACGCAATCGTTGGGTATATAAATCCGAGCAACTCTCCATCCTCTGTTATTTTTAATCGATCCGAAACCGTGGTAATCATAGCTATTTGCAAACCTTGTTGTTCTCTTCCACCATTTGCTCTTCCTGCGATTTTTCTTGTTCTTCCACCAGATAACTCGAGTCTCCCCTTCATAAAATGAGGGTTTGGCGGGTTACTGGCGCAAGCTCTGCCGCCCAGTACCATCCTGGAGTAGGATTTTTGGCGCTGAATAGCAAAGACATCATTACGTTAAGTCCAGAAACGGCCCATGAAAGGGACACGGCCGTGATGCATATAAAAAGGCATGAAAGATGGGGAAACCGGAAGGCGACCCCATTGATCTCCACATACAATCTTCATTGTCGGGCAACCAAAGAAGCACAGCGGCGTGTCGACGCCGGCGAGCAAAATGTGATACTTTGGGAAATCAGATTGGACGGTAACGATGATCAAGATGATGTAGAGTATGCCGAAGTGTACGATTTGGTAGAGGAACTTGACTTTCAGATCCCTGAAATTGCAGAACGCAATGCGGAACACGAAGTCTTGTTTGTGGGTCAAATTCCGCGACACTATGTTACTCGCCGAAGGAGATTAACGAACAGGAAGGGGGGTAAGTAATTCAACCTGACGACATGTGACTTGAATCGGCGGTGATTTGCTAACTACTTTGGAGCAGAGAGGATGCAGGGAGGCTGGGTTTGGATGAACTGAGCAGTGAATCAACTACCAAGGTACTGGGTAATAAGAGGTGAAGAGCGGTTGATGAAGACTTTTTGGGAGAGGTGGGGGAGAACGAAGGCACTTGCTTGCTATAGTGCAATTGCGTTGGCATTTGAGTTTGTGTGAGGGAGAGTAGGCAAAGGGCTGTACGTTTTCAATGCATAGAATTGGAGAGATCTAGCTCGGACATGTCAGGCCTAGCACATGAAACATGCGAAGTCGAGGTCAAATTGATGCTATTTGAAGATGCGGTTGAGCATTGTGACACTATTCTTCCACCACCTCCCCCCCTCCTCTCCACCCAATCCTCCCCATCTCACTCTGCCTCCGGGACCTCTCGGTCCATAGGCCAACAGTTGGTGGCCTCTCAGGGCTTCTGGGGCCTTATGATCGTCGCGGCTGTGTTCCTTGCTGCTGGTGCCGGCTATTTGCTTTGGAAGAGGCCAGCCTCCGAGGGCGAGGATTATGAGGATGCCTCGTAAGTGGTAAACCATGATTCTCATAGAAACTATATTGGCGGATCTTTGCCTATGTATGCACAGAGGCTAATGTATCGTAGAATAGCCCCAAAGATGTCACTGTGGGCGAGCAGCCCAAGGGGACCCGCGAGGAGATCACCGAAGGGGATGATGTCGAAGCCCAGACCCCCAAGACCCCCAAGACCCCCCCGCGCCCTCCACCACACCCAAGAAGAAGAACAAGAGGCTGGGCTCCGCAAAAATCGCCAGCCTCAGTACCGTGGAGCGCAACACCGCCCATGGTGTGAGAGAAGTGTTTTCACCTGGACAGCATTAGGAGTTTCATCAAGCAAATCCATTCATATTCATGACGCTTTAAAGGAAGATAAACAGCAATTTTCGGTAATCTCATCCAATGACGATCATTCCTAGTGAGACCCAATTCCTCACCGTTAAAGCCGAGCTAAATAGTTCCAAAATCTCTTCCAAAAACTCCGAGGCGGCTTTGCGGGAGCACTATCACTCGCTTTCCGAACACTAGCCGCCATATCATAGGATGGAGGGCTTTGGCCAAGTTTGTCATTCATATTATCCGCCTTTCCATGACAGCAATTTCGCAAACTTCGTCCCATCTGTAGAAACATGACTGGTGCTGAAAGACAATAATAGTTTTGAGTCCGTTGGATGGTTGATCCACTTCGTATCTGACGATGTTAGCCACTACACCATGTTGGATGGTCAGAATTTCTTCCACAAATTGTGCTTTTTGGCCCAGCAATCGCTCTTCGGTTTTACCGTGCTACTGTCCCACCACGCCGCCGTGCGTGGTTCTATAAAGTCCCGATAACGAGGAGGTTGAATAGAGGCCGGGAGTTTTAATTATCAAGGGCACCAGTATGATTCAATAGTTACGGATAGTCTGAAGTATAGGACTTGGGACCGTTGCCCAACTAGTCTTAGTCTCATAAGGACATTGACAGAAATACAGGCATGACAAGCATGTGGGTAAATCTCAATGGCAGTAAAATCTCTAACTTAGCAAAAATAACCATGGTCCGGAACTGACAATTTCTGCGGACAAATTAATATGGAAAATGCATAACGTATTTCCCCGGTGAGCATCATCTCAAACAAACCTATACGAAACATGGTTACTTCATTTTATTCTCTCGCATACGTGCTTAATAGAGTTGAAGATGAGGTGGTCAGCTAATTAATATTTGATTGGGCACGTATTCTAACATATTGCAGTCTATACGGAAACACCACGAATTCTCCCATCAAAACCACGCACAAGTGTGGCCTTTTCGTCATCACTTCGACATATACTATAACTGCTGGATAGACAATGAATTACGCCATTCAGTTTACTCTGTCCAACTTTGGTTAGGGCTTTCTGCTCCTAGGTTTTCTGTCGAATACCCGAGAGCATTTCTTGTATACTTAGCTGCTTGATTTCTTCATACAATCATCCATAGATTCTACATTACCATCTCATCTTTCCCACAATTTCATCTCACTCTTCGCACTTCCGAAATTACCAACTGCATTCTCCTACATCATGGGTAAGGAAATCGGCATGCGTGAGACCGTTAACGAAGCTCTGCCTCCTCTACTGAAGACAAATTTCCATACGAATGCCAATGCCGTACACCCGCTTATTTACAACGACGAATTGAATTATTGGCCAAATTTCTGTCAAGATGTACGAACAACAATGGATAACCAACATTGGAGCAGCAGGGTTATCGGATACACCCTGAGTACCCGCGATCTTAATGATAATAAGGTCTTTGTCGGAGATGAGACAGGTGTACAGGGAAGGTTTCAACAGGCGATCGGCCAAACACTTGGAATAACTACCTAGGTATAGATTCAACAATGGTACTTGTGAAGTGAGAGATCGAAATTATTGCCTGGCAATATGAACCAATGAGAGGGTTATGTGTCGGGTGGCATACTTAGTCACCCGTAGAACTAACTGCCCAGGTGGCTACCCGCTGAAAAACTGGCATGGCGAGCTCGGATGCAATTGAGAGCTCGGAACCGATTGAACTAGACAATTAACCCCCAGGATTTTTACAGCTTGTATGAGATTTTCACATTGTTTTTCCGTATCGTTTTTTTTTTTCTTCTTTCAGTCCAAGCAGGCCTCGGGACAAAGCCTTGTTTGGAGGCGCCCTCTCTGCTCCAAAGGGGGCTATGGGACTGCGTAAACAATGATTACAAATTTATCTCATTGAGTTCATTAAATGTATATCAATCTATATATATGCAAATAGAATTCTACGTATAGGCCGCCGGCGTCCTATACTGGTAGGCGATCATGTTGATCATCGCCCTCGTTTTCATCCTTGTGCGACACCAATTGATAGAGGCCTTGGCGAAGGCGAAGGTGAATAGCAAAATACACGCCACAAATAAGGCAGCTAAGTACCATAAACACAATGGCCACCAAAGCCCATGGGCTGATATGTAAAGAGCTCTCCGACGATGATGCTGGTAGTCGTTGGAGTAGTTCCGTTACACCCAGACTCTCTCCGTTTGACTTGAGTGCACGTAGGCGGAAGAATGAATCAACCCTGGAGGTGAGTGGGATTTTGGTTTCGAACCCCTCGCGAGGAACCTGGTCCACAGCCGTGAAAGTCATCTTTCTGAGGTCTTCGCCGTCCCATGCCTCGACTTGCCATCCCGCTACCTCAGTGGCACCGTTCCAACTAACAAAGACACTTTCTGGGGTAATGGCAGTGTCGGGGATTGTCAGAGGATTACCAACCCAGTCGAATTTGAATACTCGGTAGGAGACCACACGACCAAATGTGAAGAGAGCAGAGGCTCCAAAGTGCACGTCGCATACAACATCGCCCTCTGGTGAGAACTCGGTGAAGGCAGCAGAGTGACCCCAGCCCACGAGCACATTACCTGTGTCGAGTACTTGTACGTTCCCTTGAGAAACGGCCATTATATCGTGCGGGTGGTGGAAGGATTGCAATAATGTTGCTTGCTGGTTTTCCGCATCCAGCTCAACGATCATCCCACGGCTCACCGCGGAGAGGTTATTGTTATTATTGGCTGCGTTGTCGAACAAGCTGAGACGGTTGGGTCCTTGCCAGCGAGCGTCATGCTGCCATGAGAAGTCGGTGGCAGCTCCACCTGAAGCATCGGCAAAGGTGTTCCGTTTTCCTCCTAATGACCAGAGGACATCGCCAGTGGTGCCATCTATACATGCAACAGTATGGAAATGGCGCATCGAAACCAGGTACCGGCCCTGATCATCCTTGTCTACACTGTTGATGTGCGAGTGGTCATAACCGGAAGTCCGTCCCTGACCGGCACCTCCAATCGGATAATAACTATCAGTTGGGTCGTAAAAGTCGGATACGCGCCACTGGAATAGCAGTTCTCCGGTTTCGAGATTGATTTCCTGGAACATCCCATCATACATCCATCCCAACTCTGGTCCGCCCATGGAGCTCAGATCCATCGGGGTAGGGTCGTAAATCATCAAAATTGCGGTATCATTGGAAGTGATTTGGAAGTCATGAAGATCGCCATCATATATGCCGATTGGAGACACCACATACTTCTGTGTATAGGTTGAATCGAGCTGTGATTGGACAAGGTAATTAGTGAACCATAATCATGGTAAGCTGGCTCAATATGTAACCTTACCATGTACCATGACCCTCGTCCGTAACCGTCGGCATTGTCTCCTTGCCAATAAGTGAGGTAGTCCTCACCCTTGTACCGCTGCATTTTGAAGTCTTGTGTCATCCCCTCGTTCCATTTTGTCCACACAAGTTCCCCGGCGGGATTCAGGATCATCGGACCGGGATGGGCAATTGAATCACCCCGAGGCGCAAGGAATGTGTACCGGGGATCGCATTTTGCATGAGGCGGGGTGACTTCCATAATGGGGGATTCTTGATCGAAGGAGATGTAACTTTGTTCTGGACCAAACCCTTGAGCTCCTAGATCATACCAGCTTAAGTCGGTACGGAACCGGAATCTGAGAAGTTGAGGGACCGCAAACACATAGAATACAATGAGGCCCCCAATGGTGGCGAGAATCAGAGCAATCCATTGGAGGGGAAAGCAGATGTGCAGAGGATCATGGCGAAGCCAGGAACTCGGGCGAAGCACGCCAGAAGAAGTCCGCAAGAACATTGACGCATCGCAGACAAAACAAGGGGTTCGAGTGAGGAGACAGTAGGAGTCTTCTCTGTCGGCAAAGGCCACGGCACCATGGTTTTATTTCGCATCCTGCTTTTGAGGTCGATCCCGTCTATCTGGTGGACTTCCTTGGTGGGGAGGAACCACTCGGTCTTGGCGACAGGAACAGTGGAAGGAACTGAGTTTGTACGCGTGTGGGGATTTGGTAGCTGACGGATTTCCATAGAAATGTCATGGTCTGCCAAGCTCCTCGTGGGTCAAAATCCATTCGAGACTTGCCCGTCTGCGCCAACCAACGACGATAGTATCTGCCGAGATGGAGATGGGTACTCCATAACCGGACGGTAATTTGCCTAGTGCTGGAAATTACGCACCCACCATCCAGTGTACAAGAACTTTGTACATACCGAGTATGTATGTAGAGAGGATATGTTGAAGGGCTCTAAGATCTCCTGGAAGTGAACTACAACGCCACCAGCCCCACGCGTCGTCATCCCCAAGTATGTATTTCATAGTTGGGGTGGTGTGGCGTGTGTTGGTTCCACTCAGATGTCGGAATCAGATAAGACAATTCCATGTTTTCTATGGAGTAGTGTATACTACTTTGTATAGTTATTCTATAATATGTTAGTTATAATATGTTGTATACTCGTATACAAGGGAAAGGATTCATCGGCAGTATAAGTGGTTCTATTGTTCACGAAATCTCCGGAGATCGGTCTTAATGTCTTGATTCGATATAGTCGCAAGATAAGGGAATATTAAGTCCATGAATATTCATCCAAAAGGAGAGTAAAATATCCAACGTACGTAGGACAATGCATTTAATTCTCCGTGTTTTGACTGTTTCGCCAAGACGTGTGGAGTGTTCGTCATTTACTATATTCCAAGGTTGTAGGTGGTCCACGTGTGTTCCACGCGGCTATTTTGGCATATAAGGGGGATTATCTTTAAACCTTCTGAGGTGGAATAAGAACGGCTTTAATTAAGGACCAGTAAATGTAGGACTATATAATATGTATCCTTCACTTCTCAGTAGTGAAGACACGGTAGGTAGTCCGGAGTACACAATATCATATCCCGAGAGATATATAACCATGAATTATATATAAATGCACACTCGGCATATATCTCCATCAAATATGTAGTATTCCGTAATAATATATAGAATCTAGAATCTAGAATATAGAACATAGAATATTGTAGTGCATATCCCTACTCCTTGCCGCATGAAGAAATCTCCCAGTAAAGTTAAATCAGGAGTATCGAATCAGGTTCGAGTATACCTTTAGTACTCCATTTTTAGATTTTCCCTTTACTCCATGAATACCATGGTGAAAGATATTGATATAATCCATGTATATATACAAACAATTCGATGTGTTATATATGTTATATGTTATATGTTATAAACTAGGTAACTAATTAGTTAAGTAGTTATGTACATAACTATGCACATAGTTATGTAAGGCACTCCGACCTGCAGAGAAAATAAACTTTTGGGCTCCACTTTTCGGGCTTTCCTTTCCTCCCCCCTTTTGATTGACCTCGGACCTCCCTTTGGTCTTGAGTCTGATCTCTGATCAACCCTCCCCCCCCGCCCCCCCCTCTTCCTTCTCCAATCCACCATGAAGGGACCACTGGACAAGAATATGGTGTCCCAGGATGTCGCCATCGATGCCACCGACCAGGATGATTGGGACATGCAGCGCCTGGGAAAGACTCAACAGTTCAAGGTGAGTGGCACATTGCACATTGCACATCCCCCCCGGAAATTACACTCAATATTGATCAACAATAGAGAAACTTCCGTTTCTACTCTATCTTAGGGTTTACTACGACGTTGATGGCCACATGGGAGTCGATTTTGCTGTGAGTTTGGACGTGCTATATTACGAGAGGACATCGGGAATAATGGAGAATGGCGCAGCACGAGTACCTACGGACTGACTGATGGCGGACGAGCCGGCATGGTCTATGTGTATATTGGATCGTTTGTGGGATTCTTCGCCGCCGTGGTCTCCATGGCTGAGATCGCCTCCATGTAAGTTCAATCCCACCTGCCTGTCGCGTATGGAGATTGACTTAGCCAGCTCTCCAACATCCGGTGGACAATACCACTGGGTCAGTGAATTCGCCTGGCCGAGATGTCAACGGTTCTTGAGTTATCTCACCGGTTAGCAGCCCCTCCCCACCTCGAATTACAATCCGACCATCTCCAGCGCTAACTCCGGTTTGTAGGTTGGCTTTCGGTGCTCGGCTGGCAGGCTGCTTTTGCGAGTATTTGCTACCTCTGCGGCACTCTGATTCAAGGGCTGCTGGTCTTCAACTACTCAGGTCCCTCCGGTTGGGTGTATGGCTTCGAGCGCTGGCATGGTACACTGCTCACCATCGCGATCGCTGCGGTCGGAACTGTGGTGAATACCTGGGGCTATAAGATCCTCCCTCCCATGGAGGGCCTCATCCTCGCCCTTCACCTCTTCGGCTTTGTTGTTGTCGTCGTCCTGATGTGGGTCATGTCTCCAGGACAGGCCTCCGGGGAGTCTGTCTGGAAGGAGTTCACAAACTCGGGCGAATGGCCGAGCATGGGCCTCGCGTGCCTGGTAGGCCAGCTGACTCCGATCTTCTCCTGGACAGGTCCGGATGCTGCTACCCATATGGGTGAGTCAAGCGACATGTCTCTCCCAATACGCGATCATGGCTAACATCTATCAGCCGAGGAGGTCCAGAATGCTGCCTTGGTGGTCCCGTGGTGTATGGTTTCGACCGCTTTGATCAACGGCAGTCTCGGTTTCATTATGCTAATCACCTTACTGTATAAAATGGGAGACTTACAGGATGTGCTAGCCCCGGCGAGTGGATTCTCCTTCCTCCCAGCAGTTAATCATGCCACCGGCTCCGTGCCTGCCACCAATGCTGTGGCTGCTATCATTCTTGTCATGGAAGTCTGCAGTGCTATCGGTATTCTTGCGACAGTCTCTCGCCAGACCTTTGCTTTCGCCCGCGACGATGCCTTGCCGTTCTCGAAGCATCTGGCTCACGTTAACCGACACACCCAAATTCCCATCTGCTCTGTGTTGGTGTCGACCATTATTACTGTGCTGCTGAGTTTGATCAACATCGGATCCACGGCGGCTTTCAATGCCGTCGCATCTGTGATGATCGCTGCACTTTTTACCACTTACATCTTGCCAATTGCTGCGGTCATTCGGGTCCGTTTTCAACCGGGTGGTATCCCCCCTTCGCGCTTTTCGCTCGGTATCTTCGGATTGGCGATCAATGTCTTCGCCCTGGCTTGGCTTTGCTTTGCCATCATTTTCACCTTCTTCCCAACCGCCAACAATCCCACCCCGGTGGATATGAATTGGTCTATCCTGGTTTTCGGGGCGGTGGTCATGTTTGCAATTGGTTTGTACATTGTCCATGGCCGCCGAGTATATCGTTCACCTGTGACTCAAGTGCGCAAGGTTGAATAAAGGCATTGGTCTTATTGGATCAATCTTGCAGCCCATTAGGTCCGTGGTTTGCGCCCAAACGCAGTATCTATTTTGGCACCAAGCGCTGGTCCATTTTTTTGCGTACATATATGGCATTTAATAGATATGTGGACATATTGACTATATATATAATTTGATACCCAAAGGAATCTCAATCTATCTGAGCAGCGCTGAGTCCGACATTACACCATTGAACTCCAAGCATGAAAACCGAGTGCACAAAGTACCTTTCCTGATTTCGACACGAAAGAATATTGTCTCACTTCACTTCTCTAGGGCGCTTTCGATGAATCTGGGAGTTCACGTTAACCCTAGAGAAATGATCGGACAAAGTTGATTTGACCATGCTCAGGTGATTGTGTTTTTGGAGTGTCTTGGAAACGCATCTATCTTTCAACAGAAAAAGAAAAAACGGCAACGATCTACCTGAAACGTTTGACAATAACAGGGTTCCGTAGTTCAACATCCCCTTTAATAGCGTACTAACCCGAGTGACAGTAGTGACCTATAAGTGTTTTTATACTTCACCGTTTGTACATACACAAAATTCCTGGACTGTTAAGAGACATGGCATCTCAAGCTCGATATGTCGATCGAGTCATTTCACCTTGATCGGTCATGGAATCTCCAAAGAACACATTGACTCCCATGTTTGCGATATCAAAAAGTTTGTTCGATCTACCGGACGACGTCAAAGCAACTGTACCGTAGAATCAATGTCGGGTGGGAAAAGAACTCACAAATTCGACAGTCTACTGGATAGCCCGACAGTAAAGCCTCCTACCAGTTGCAGTTGCAGTTGCGAGAATATGAATGATCTCTGGGCCAAGTAGGACGACCTACCTGGGTTCCGGACCACACCTCTCAATCTCATCCAACAAGTATCGGAATGTTTCATCGAATGTCATGGTCTCACGACCGAACTCGCAAACCACTATGCGTCTACTCCATTACTTTGCATTGTCGGAAGTTTCCGACGGCAAGGTGTATCATCGGGTGTATCATCGCGCAGGGGCACATGCCGATTGGGACTTTTTGACTTTACTTTTCCAAAGGGACGGCCAGGATGGGTTGGAAATCTGTCCCGGTCGCGAGGTAGTGACGGAGTTCGATATTGGGGACAAATGGACCAAGGCGAAGGGCCAGGACTGGCGAGTTAGTGTGCAACATTGGCGATTTACTCATGTCCTAGTCGGATGACCCGTTCAAGTCGACTTTTCATCGCGTCAAGGCCCCATGTGAGCCCGGGGACTATTTTGGCGACCGATATAGCATTGCTTATTTCGACCAGCCCTATAAGGATTCTTTGATCCAGGGACCCTCGAACAAGTATCCGACTGTGACTGGGGCTCAGTTTACCGACACCGCTATGAAACGGAACTTTGCTGCTTTGCAGGAGAAATCGAAGACGGTCGCAGCGGCCTAACTTGGGCGGGAACGCGTGGGCATCAAGTTTTCGCCTGGGGTTGGTTAGGAGTGGTTTCCGCACAGGGGTATTTTCGCATAGGGGTTGGCTCTGGGTAAAGGATAAGCGCAGGTGATTTGAGACGAGAGAGTTACGGCCTGAGAAGACAGTAACGCCGTAGTAGAAGTCAATGAACATATTACTCCTATAAGTTTCCGAAGTCCCACCAAGTTGAAAATCCGTCAATGTTTCCGAAAGCGGATTCGGAATCTGGATATCCCACATTGTTCTCCATATCAACAAATTGTGAGGGATCAGTCCATAGCCAGGGGGTATTGGTCATTAAACTGTCGGGCGGCGCAACGAGCTTCTCGCCCAACTCGAGGTCAGGAGAAGCTGGCGTGGAAGATATGTGCGGCATGGTTGGTGGAATGTGGGCAGCTTGACCACCATCCGCAGTGTTAACTGTGACATTTGGAGACATGGCAACAATGACCTCTAGAGTCGAGGCTAGGCTATCCTCCGCCTCTTCTGTTGAGACGGTCGGGGTCAATGATGGATGTAGCAAACCACCCGTGGAGACTTCGTGTGGCTTGGGTTTACAGTTGACTTGAAGAACATCCCACATTAAAGGTATACTGAGATGAATCTTCTCAGGCTCCCAATCATGATCGATGTTTTCCGACCCCGAAGCAATTCGAGTCATCTTGTCCAACGTTTCATCCTATGTGTGTTAGCATTGGTAGCTGCATTTTGGCCTCATGAGACCCACCAAGATTCCACAAGCAGGCGAAAAGGACACAAAGCTCTTCAGGAACCTTCGGCATTTTGTAAAATCAACCTTGGATTTGTACTTTAGTCGGGGATCCGCAGCACAGCAGTAGTACAGATGCACCGTAGCTGCGATGGCGGCAGCGTATCCGAAGAACGGATCAATAAGTCGCATCTTCTTCTCCGATACCATGTCTATCATGCGGACAAGCCAGGTAGCGTGCAGCAAGACCAATTCGGATGACCGTCTCCAAAAAGCGTTTGGGATTGCCAGATTGTCGTTGTATTGTGACGCCACAATGTAGAGGAAGGGATGATTCAGAACAGTCAAAATGCAATGGTAAGTGAACTGTAGCTTCAGCCATGGGCCCCAGTAGTTTCGGTTCGATCTCAACTCCTCTGCCGTTCGCTCGTAAAATTTGACCGAGTCATAACGATGGCACTGGGAAAGCTTGTTCTCAATTTCTGTAAGGTCGGAGAGCACCATGGCGTACATGGAATCGTGTCGCCACGGTTCTTTGAGCCTATTTAGAGCACAATCGGAGACGTATGTTCGTACTCTGCTCCAGACCCAACCAAAATGGGCAGCTAAGCTCCAAATCCCTATATCGGATGATTTCGAGCAACCAAGGTCGTCTATCGGCAGCGGTGGAGGCTTTGGCTCCGTCCCATCTTGCTTTGCGCGGTCGCTACTGGAGGCAATATAGAAGGTGCGCATGACCTCCGATGGGATACAGAGAAACCCATTTTGCTGTCCGTAAGACTGTTCCAGACATTGGAGACTCCAGAATAAACGCTTCTTTCGCTCGGTCATGGGACCTTCGCCGGCATGACTCGATTCGAGATCCAGCGTAGCTGACCGACAAAGATGTAGAGCGAGACCGAGATGGAAGCGACCAAGGTGTATATCCCCATCTACAATGCAATCAACATTTGAAATTTGTTTCCTTTGTTTGACTTGGTGGGGACCATACCTAGAAATGAGGAATAAGAGAGCAGACAGAGACTTTCAATGGTTTCCAGCTCCACTGTGCCGTTGGCCATACGAAGCATGACCAGGCTTCTTGCACTATCCCCATAATGTTGTAAATGGTCACGATCTCTTGAGAATCGTGAGGTCAAGGCTAGCAGGCAACAAACCAACTCCTCTGACAGATAGCCTGGGTCTGAGACGTCTTCACGGTCAAAACACCAAATTGGTTGTCGATGGCAGTATTCAAAGTAAAGATCAATAGCTTTAGCGATCGCAGATGATGACGGCTGAGAGGTTGAATCCTCATATCCAAAACCGATGAAGAATGGGTCATTAACTGTGGTCGGTTCAATGGATGGTGGACGTGTTGTGAGAGGATAGTATGTTTCTGAGGTTCCCTTTCCTGTATCTTGTGGCTTTTCTGACGGAATTGTTTGATTTGATTTGCCACTTAAGATGAGGTTTACCTTCTCTTCAAGGAATGCTAGCCTATCGTCCTGTAGAAAAGTCAATGAATGGCCACTGATAGCCACAAGCCAGCACATACCGACTGCCCTCCCCGAGACCCTCTAGGTATTGTGGTATAAAGGCATGCTTGATTTAGTCGGACACAGCTTGAACAGGACGGTTTCTCGGCCGGACATCGGGTCTTCTTTCTTCTGTATAGAAAAGATTAGTTCCACCCATAGATAGATAAATGTATTTTACCATACCTGCAGTTGAGACAGGCCTCATGGGAACGCAACCTTCCACGAGCGCTCTCTCGTGGCATCATTGTAAGGGAAAAAAGAAAGAAATGAAAGAAAGAAAAAAAAAAAAAAAAAAAGAATATGGGATTTAGCGGGGTATAGGGGGCTAGTTAGTAGTTTAGTAGTTACATACAACGTAGATTAGATAGTTGATGAGATTATGAGATGGATGAGATCGTCAAGATTGTCCCGAGGTCACCGGATTAAAAGAGGGGGAATATTTCAATCTGAGGGGAGATAAATAAGATAAAAAAAAAAAAAAAAAAATGAAGATACCTAGTAACTAGTTAATGCATCAAAACTCCTTAGTCCTGGAGACCTTGGGGTAAATCGGAGAAAGACCGTCTTGGTAGTCTTGCCCCCTCATAGGTCCACCGCGACATAAATCTAGAATCTGATGTGCATGTACTTTTGTATGTGAATATCTGAAAAATGAAATTTATACTAAAAAGGGGTAAATGATCCTGTATGAAGTCCGTTATAAACTACCTAGGTACTTTTCAAGGTTCCATACAAGCCTGGCTAATCATCCAGAAAAGTATAATACTGTCAAGCTAGCTATATAATTGGTCAATTTCGTTTTATAGTTCCCTTTGAAACTTGTAGAAATCCAAGTTGTTCATATGACCTTTGATGTTTTATTTATGTATCTCGTGATCAAAGCCTGGGATGTTATGTATCCATGGTTGCAAGTAATATGTAACATGTCATCTTTATAAATCAAGTCAAATCAAATCAAATCAAATCAAACATCTAACAAGGCTAAAAAGAAATACTATGTAAATCATTAAATCATTAAATCATTAAACCACCATAGTCTCAGGTGCCGTTGCTGCTATGGTGGGAGGTCCACCCCCACATCCTCCTCCACAACAACCTCCCGCAGTCAAAGCTGATGCGTCATTGCTTGTAAGCTTGGAGCAAAACTCCATATCCTCTTTACTCACTGCCTCCTCCTTGGGGAGTCTTTGTTGTGCGGGCCAAATTTGCTCCCCTGCCTCCTCTTCCCGCTTATGGTGCTCTGCGAGTAACCCGCGAACGACAGTCTGGAAGTTGACCGGCCTTTCTTCCGTGACGTTGAGTTGGCCATTAGTAGAGGCCTCTGTGTTAAGATTCTTTTGTGTTTCGACACAAAGATCTTTATTTTCAGACATCATGCTCTTGTATATTTGGTTGATGGTTTCAAACTCGTCATCGCTAGAATTCTTATTGCGGTAGACTTCATAGCGCATCGAGCATGTGGTGGGGCTCGTAGGCACGAGTCGCTGCATAAAGAAAAATTGCGGCCTGCGTACCCAATTAGCGTGAATCGGATTACATTGGAAGATAATTTCACTTACGAGACGGTCATCGCAGCATTGGGGAAATAGTAAGTGCTGGAAGTCTTCAGACCATTTGCAACCTCCTCGGGTGTGGATTTGCCGTCTTTGGTATCCACGACGTATGAGCCCAGGTTGGAAGTCGAAGGAGTGTAGGATTCGTTGTAGTTGTCTGCCAGGATCTTCCAGTTGTAATCTCCACTTATCTCCCAGGCGTGGTCGAAGGTATAGTCCTCGAAATTAAACTCTTTGAAACGTGGCTGTAAGTCGATTCCTTGAAAGGCATCTTCCCACGAAATCTCGGGGTTCTCGCCGGCATCTAAATTAAGCCAGACAAACCCGTTGACATCAATATGAACGTGGATCGGAAGAAGACCGTTCTTGCTCTTGTCGAACCCTTCCAGCTCTTGATACCCGGGCGCTTTAGCAAGTTTGCCATTAAGGCCGTAGGACCATCCGTGATATTGACAAGAGAAAATCCGTGAAGTACCGCCCTCTTCGGTAACCACGGGGAATGCACGGTGTCGACAGACGTTGTGGAAAGCATTGACATTGCCCTCGCGATCCTTCACCAAGATAAAAGCGTACCCAGCGATCTCGTATCGGAGCCAGTCGCCTGTTTTGGGGAAACGCAACGTGTGTGTAGTCAGAAGCCATTTACGGCTGAATATGGCGCGTCGCTCAAGTTCATGTATATCTTTCGAAGAATACCACGAAGCAGGGAGAGGGTGGAGTGGGGGATTCTCGCCGGCGGGGGTGGGACGTCCCTCTGTTTCCCCAAGCTCGAAGTAATTCTTAAGCGTCGACATTGTGAAGGTCAAAGGACAAGGTCAAGTAGAAAGACGAATCAATGTTTATTATCTTGAAACTCTGTTAATTCTACCATCTAGGCCGGAACGTGAGGTCCTTAATATAGGTATAGAGGATCTAGATACCAGTAACAGCTACCAGGATCATGAGTCCATACTTTCCCCATGAGGATATGCCATCTACAGCTTTGGACCGATCACAGGATCGGAGCGGAGGGTAAGCCGTGCATGGCCCGACCTGTTTTTAACATCCGATAGACCGTGCTAGACCATGATAGACCATGAAGATCAGAGGGGAATCGGTGGACGGGTTTAATTACCGCGCTAGGTGAACGCCACTCGGGTGGTCGGGTCTTTCCTACCGGGGGGCTTTGTGAAATCAAGAAAAGAAAGTATATGTTCGGAGAATATGAAGATAAATGGATACTATGTACCCTGTAGTGTATGAGTGTTACGAGGCTGAATGATAATACGATGTTCACTGTCTTGACTCTTGACTCTCCAAAACATTTGATTATCAAACTTCCCCGCATAAGATCTCAGCCGATCACATGACCGGCTCATATGCTTTTTTTTTTTTTTCTTTGTAGATGCAACCTGAAAAGGGTTTTTTTTAGAATTAGAATTCTGAATATGAATATGGCACTGTAGGAACTAAGGATTGAATAACAGAATTGAAAATTGAAAGATGTACAAGATGTACATTGTAGAGTTGAAGTGAAAGAGCCGGATTTTCACTCGGCTGGTAGAACCCCCCGCACAGGACAACACTTGCACTTGGCCAACATCATCCAACTAACTGCCTTGGCCTTGATCGGCGACAAAACAGATAAGACTTTGTTTTTTTTTTTTTTTTTTTTTTTTTTTTAATGTGTTTTAATGTTTTTTAAATGCAAATTGGCCTATGATGAGCTCAATGGGCGATAACCACACTATACACAAAGTTTCTTTAAAACGAACCCGGCAAGCTTGTGGTCCTTGTCGGTAGGTGCCAAGCCCCGATAAAGAAAAGAAATTGTACGGAGTGTATGTACCGAGATTGTCTAATATGTGATTTAAATAGTCGGAAGAAGGCACGATGTCCAGGCGAAAAACCGACATGCTCGCTGTGTCACAGGCTAGGGCAACGCTGCTCATACGGACCGCAAGCATCGCGTGTAAGGAGCCAGCCGATTTCGGCTCATGTGCAGAGCCAGGAGTCACAAAACAGCAGCAATGAGGTATCCATGCTTTCTATCCTAGTTGGACCGTTGGAATGAAGTGTGAAATTTGGAACTAAGCTGAATTTATCAGACTCCAGGGGATATCTCGAGTTCTGGGAGGCTGCAGCGCATCGAAGAAAGACTGGATATGATGGCAATTTTACTTCAGTATGCAATAGCCTTCACAGTTATGCCCCAGAAGTTCGCTAACCAAAACCCCTTTCAAATCCTACAGAGAAGGGTTACCACGGTCTAATTCATTACGAGAAGTATCAAGTGATAACCACCTCAATGATGGTCGCGAGCTGCAAGAGGCTTCTTATGACGACTTCGAAATAATGGATTGCCCAGGGAATCCTTCGCTGGACTCCCAAGAGTATATTTGACCTTTTCCTTCATTGACAATCACAAATATGCTAATGAAAACGAAACAGAAGCGGTCTTCCAGTTGCATTTATCGAGCAGGAAGTACAGACTTACCTTACCTACTTTCATGACCAGCCATATTGTCCTTTATCAAAAAGGTGGTTGTTGAGACATACCAGCTCATTGCCACCAGAGGTCGCATTCCCATTAGTGGCCCTCACTTCCCGTCTTCCTCGACGATCTCGTGGTCCTTTACACGAGAATACACCCGATGCGAAAAGATTCGCGGAGAAAGCTTGGCACCTTTTGTCAAATCAATACAAAGACGGCAGTATGGGTCTTTCATTTCTCCAGGGCACATTCCTCATGGCTCAGCTAGATTTTGCCGACGGAAAAGCGCATCGAGGGTACGCGTCTGTTTCTCTTGGATTACGTGCGATCCAATCCGCGGGGTTGAACAAAGAAAATGACTCGTATTTCTCGGATGACCCGGAGATCGAAACGAGAAAGCGCATTACTTGGGCCTTCTTTATGCTCGATCGCACTTATAGTGCTTCCCGAAATTATTCCCTGTCCCTGTCAGACAAGCAGTTCACACTTCCATTTCCTGTCTGCGAGACGGATGCACTTGCTGGTGATAATGGGTCATTAGCCCATGGGTCTTTGCATGATGGTCCTGGAAAGCAAGGGCAGAAAGTTGATCATGGCATTCTCGTATGTCTTTTAAGGCTGTATTCTTTATGGGGTAAAGCTACGGAGTATGTCTTTGAGCCCTTTGCCGACAGCTCCCTACCTCCCTGGCAAACTGGATCAGCTCTTGCAATCCTCGAGTCAGAATGGTTACAATTCGAAACCCATTTTGCAGATGCCCATCGATATATAAACGTGGATTTCAAAAGCCGCGCCCGAGAAACCCCACAGCCACGTACATACCTCTCGACCTGGGTGTGTGTCCAATTCCTTTTTCATTCCATCCAGGGCCTGCTGCACCATCCATTTGTGATCATGACCAAGCTTCGCAACTTTAACGGAAATCTGTCGGCAACATTTCTGCAAAAGTCGTTTGAGACATCACTCCTCCACTCCCGATGGATAGTTCGATTCATAAAAGAAATGTCAGAGGTCAACTTTGAGACCTGCGATCCGTTTCTGGGATATTTGGCTGCGATAGCAGCCACAATTCAGCTCGAGCACACTGGAAGCAAAAATCCGCAAATTGCTCTTCTGCTCAACAAAGAATTTCGAATTCTTGTTGACTTTATGACGGAGCTGTCTGTGTATTGGGAAAATATGAGCATTCTGGTAAGTGTGCCTAGCAAAATATGGAATTAAAGTACTGATGATGTTGTCTGTCAAGGTGAACAAAGTGAATGAACTTGCCGCTCGTCATCAGAATTATGGCTCACTCTATTATAATCAAGAGGGTTTCTCGGGTGCTTTATCCAAAATGCCAACCCCTTCGAATATGCCTAGAATGTCTGCAGAAGATGAGTGTCTCATGTGGGAGATTCTCGATTTTGGCTACTCATCAGGAGGAGATGTCGCAATAAGCTTCGGTAATTTGGCTATCCCCCAAGGCAGCCAAATCCAAGCAAATGAAGGACATCCCGCACAAAGCAGAACGTCAAGGCCACAACGGGTAGGTCAGCAAAACAAGAATGATCAGAGAAGGCGCTTGACCCCAACTCTTCCAAATCTTGACGAAATATCTGAATCCATCCACGAAGGTCCTTTGCCTGAGTGGCCATTTCAAACGCGAGGTGGTGGTGATATGATGGGGGCAGCAATGCCGGACATTCCAGATTGGATGATCTTGGGAGATTATATGGCAGAGCATTTGTGAGGTAATTAAGAGTAGGAGGTATGAGGGTTTCATAAGGTATTAACGTGGCCTGGTTAAAAGTACACGGTGACTCCAAAGTGTCCATGTCTATAGCAGGATTGGATTCTGCGGCAGTGCTCTACAACAAACAGAAGTCCGGAAGACTTTGAATGCGACGGGATGTGTTCTCACAGATCGGAGTCCTCCCTCATGGGCTGAATCTCACAAGCTGGTGCCATATTGTCTGTTCCGCCGTATGGTTGTACCCGAATTAGTCGCACGAGGCGACCGTTCCTTTGCAACGCTGGGGGTTATTTTATCATCAACTACTGCCATTGTTGCAGAGGTTCAAGCTCTTTGGGTGGGAGAATTTTTGACGGGAGGGCTCGACTTCCCCATGCACACTAATTCCACCCCAAACCAGGCTATCTCGCTTGGAAATATTTCGCTGGAGACCATGGAGAATGTTATCTCTGAGGACGTGGTCCTGGGCTCATTGACGGGAAAGGGCCTTGAAGTTAAGGCTATCCAGGTATGTTTGTTGCGCGAAACCATGAGGATGGTAATCTAACTATTGAATTAGTACAATGATATGCTCCTGCGCGATTTGGGACTGAATCCCCACCGACTCGGGGGTGGACCCTCCGCCGAGCTGACTGGGATGCACAGGCCTTCGGTGTATGCTGGAATTGTGGACGAGTGGAAGAGGAGTCGAGGTCTCACAAAGAAACCGTAGTTGCGCCGAGTGTTAACTATCCAGCCTGTTTATTAATTTCCTGTTGCAATTTGACTTGGTTAATATCGAACGTTAACTTTGACTGCGCCTGTGTAGGACAGTTGTAGAAACAAGATGACAAAGCAGGTCAAATGATAAGTCAGGTGACGGTGCTTACGCCTTCCTAATTTGGATGTACCTTCCCGATTGGCACCTTCCCGATTGGAAACCCAAGAGCTCTCCTCTCTCAATGTCCTCCCACAGCCCCTGGAGTCTTCGACTATACTGCGATGAACCGACAAAAGCAAACTCGACTGACCCGATGTCGCACTGGCTGCATGCGATGTCGGGTTCGTCGGCGTAAATGTATGTTTTTCTGGATTTGTGCAAGGTTCAAGGCTAATGGGAATTCAGGCGATGAAGGTAAACCACGATGTCGGAACTGCATTGACCGGAACTTTCAATGCCAGTACGGTCCGCAATTGACGTTTTTGGCGAAGAATGCACATACTGTTCAAGCGTTGGAGGTCCAAACACAATCTGCCAGTTATGATGCGATTCAAGTAGGTTTTCCGGTGACGATTGCATGGCAGAGACCTGATCCATATATATATATATTTATATATAGTTCGTCACTGAAGAGGCCCCCAAAGACTGCGATCAAACTGAAGATCATATGTTGGACGAAACATCGTCTCACATTGATGCGACTCCACAACAACAGCAAGCTGACCATAGCACACCTACCCATGCCAGACACGAAGACGCGCCATTCTGGCCGGAACTTACCCCCATACTGCGGATAATGAGAATTATAGAATCCTCAATGACAAGGATGAATCGGCGGTTGCGGGGTTATTGGCTCTTGGGATGAATGAACCCGATCTGGGGCTATCACCAACGAGAGTCGTCTTAAAGACTCCAATGATTTCATCAAATCCGTTGTATCAATCGCCCTTGACTTTGCAAAGTATCCAACCACCACCAGGATCAACTCTGGAGACACTCTCATCTACCGAAATACAAGGCCTGCTACGGCATTATCGTTATAAGCTGGCCTGCTGGGTGAGGTTTTCGAATTTACCGAGCACTGCACAGTGCTGACTGCAGTAGTTGGACATATGTGATCTTGGTCAAACATTTGGAATCCAAGGTCTTCAGGTTGCGCTGGGCTCATCGCCTATCTGGAACTCCATTCTTAACCTATCCGAAACTTCTTACCATCAGCTTCATCCACAAAAGTCACCCGGGGAGAAGCGAAATACATGCACTCGGCAGTCTGACTCAAATATGCAGACCGACATCACATACGTCGCACTGCTAAGCGTTATAGATCAAGTGAAATATTGTATCTCGAATATTTCCGCTACGTGGAACACCGAAAGAGAGTGCGATCATGATCTCATGAGGGCCCTAATCTCCCATGCCGTGGGCAGAGACATTAATTCCGCGATTTATTGGCTCTTTATCAGGCTTTGTATGAGGTCCAAAATAAAATATCTCGTTTTGGTCACTATTAACTTATTTGTTCATGCACCACAGATCTTGCGACAGCATTGGCGACCGATAGCGACATGCGCGTGCCGCTTCCCCCATCGTTCCCATACTTCACAGAAGTAGATATTGTGGCTGATCCATTTGAGATGGTCTTTTTCTACGCATACCGCCCTCTATGGCTCTGTGCGAGAGCGATCCAATTTGTACACAACGAAGAGGGTTCTTCTCATCTACCCCTCCTCCATATATGGACTCAATTGGTGGAGGAGCTGCAACAATGGTATCGTGAGCGACCACGGGAATTCCAACCCATGCTGGAATTAGAGATGGATGATCAGTTAGCTGGACCAGAAAGAAGTTTCCCGGTTGTTCTATTTGCCAATGGAGCAGGCTTGTTTGGCAACCAGCTGTACCATACGGCTATGTTGATCTTACTACACAATCGGCCTCGCACTGCACGCATCGCCGACTTCCATTCGGTTGCCATGTCGCCGCTGTGGCATGCGCAACGGATATGCAGTATTGCTCTCCACAATGATAGTCGGGAATGCTGGGATCCATGTCTCCTAGCATCCTTCCTGCTGGCAGCTCGCCGGATGACACATGAATCGCAACAACACGAAGTTGTACGTGGATTCGACCGCATACGTACGGTGACCGGGTGGGATGCAAACAACAGCTTACAGAACCTGCGAGCCGAGTGGTGTCTTCTTGATGAGACATGGTAAATGATATCCTTGGTGCGATTATTCGAGTTGATACCGATACTCACCCTGTTACGGGAAACCGCTGTCCACCAATAGTCCGGTGTGAGCGCGAGGACTGATATCCCCAAGCGAGTTCCAAGTCACGGATGCGCCAGCATGCGCCCCATCCAGTCTCGGCTTCAATATGCCGAATCAGATCGATTATAATGGCGTGTTCAGATACATGGCTGAACAGCCGCCCCGCAATCCATAGCGGCTGGATGGCGTTGTTCAAACATCCGTGATGCGGATTAGCGAGCGAAATTCCACAAATGCGCCTGGCATGCCACAACGCAGACATTGCAGGTGTTGGCTGCAGCTTGATAGATTTGGGCATCAAGTTTAGCAGCAAAATGCATGCCGTGTGGTATAGCTGGTTCGAAGATATAGCGGCCCATTGCAGAAAAAGGATATGGGGGAATGGTTTGGTCGTTGTTGTGTGGATTGGTAACAACTCCGGCGGTCGGTTGTCAAGCCAGTGCTGCAAATCGTTCCAGACTCGCAGCCAGCGGTGATTGAAGGCCTCCCCAGTGCAGCCATTCTGAACGGCCAGCTCCAGAAACTGAGTACGATCAGCGACCAGTTCGCACGACTTTGCACATAGGTATACGGCGTAGTTGGCGTGCATGTCCGGGGACCGCGCTCCTTCGAAGAGCTGTGGAGCATCATCCTCGTGACATCCCGACGCGAGCCATTTGTTAGGTCGGAGAAGAGTGCTCCGTGTCCCATCAGAGATCAAAGCACCACATAGGTCTAGTTAATCTGAATCAATAATACTCCCTTGTAATTTGACCATGAATGTGGACTCGTACCCATGCGTGCGTAGCACCAAAACACTGCTTGTAGAAGGCCACTGCTGAACCCATTCATTTTGAAGGCATCAAAAAGCGCCGCACACCCCTCCAAATGACGGTGCCAATCCTGCGCGCGTGCAGACATCATCTCGAGACAGCAGAGTAATACGCAGGCGGCGACAACTTTAGGATCGTGCATTTGTAATAGTGGGCTCAGCAGACGAATCGCTTCCTGGTAAAGCTCCAGGCTGTCAAATGAGTCTTGAATTCCTTCCTTCCTTTCCATTTGTCGGGCGGATATCGCGAGGATCGCATTCAGTAGGGCGGGGAATGATCGGGCCAGTGCGGGAATCTGTACTCGAAATGTACATTGCGAATCGAACATATCGAGCTGCGGTCGGGGATTAGCGATTGTTGAGAACACCACAGGCAATGTCACTTACCCATGGCGCCACCTGTCCAACATAGTTTTTCAAGTACTCAATGCGACGAATATTGGATAGCACTGGACGCGCTGATGTTTGCTCCCGGTCGCGCAACTGTGTAGCATCTTGTTCCTGGGTATCTGGACTCGGAGCTCGGGTCGGAGCTGCAGACTGCGCGATATTGAAAAGCATACACCGTAGCTCCTCCTGTGACGCTAAGAAGCCTGGATCATGGGAGAATTCATCGCCCCAGCTAGTAGCGCCCAATGGAGAAGCAAATGCAGCATCGTTGGAATTGGATGGAGTCGCGTCGGGTTGGGAGAAGTCGTTCATGTCGTAATGCGAGACATGCGGAGGAACTAAATTGAAATATCAAATCATCAAGTCATCAGGTCATCAAGTCATCAAGTCATCAACTCCAGATTATGAGGACAAGAGTAATTGAGGAAATATAAAGGAAGAAAGTCCTGGAGTTGAAGCTGAAGTGGGGAGAGAGACTGGGGTAGTCGGGGAGGAGACAGGAGACATCGGCCACTTACTTCCACTTGGATCCTCCCTCGGACACTTCAGGTGTCTTCAAATGTCTTTTTTTTCTTTGACAAGGATTTCTTTATTCAACTCATCTTATTTGCAACATTAGTTCTAATTTCTCTGAATAACTATCTATACAATTCACAATCCCCCAAGATTCACTCGATCCCAACCTAAGATGTACCTGGGCATGGGCACCCCCATACAGCTTAAATCAACAGTCAAATTCTCCGGGGTTGATCCTCGTTATGGAGTACTGCGTACTTCATCTACTCCATACAGGGTAAATCTCTTCAAAGAAAGGGATGTGAGCTTACAACGCAGTTGGCCATAACCCCTGGCACTTGCAGGAGAAACAGATGCAAGGGGTAGAATTGGAAGGGAAAAGACAGATGGCATCTCCTTGCAGGAAAGAGTCATCAACCTTCTGTGTTAGCCTTCCAGTCACTGCTAAGTATCTTATACCCTCGCATCTAGTATTGTTGGATCTCTGCTTGTCATCTACGTCATGTACGGTCTCAAACAGCTCTCCCTTCTAAGCTTGATGCTTCTCTCAGTATCGGCAGTGAAGAACCCCAAAAGAACCATTGTACGCCTGTTCTTTCTTACGTCTACGCTCGATTGCTAACAAGACCATGCAGGTGGGCATTGAGACAGCCGACAAGAGCCGTGGTATTGATGTGCCATTGAATGATTGCCATGAGATCGAGGAAGAGTGAGATCTCTTTCTCCAGCTACCATGCTTCGGTTGATACTAACGAGTAACAGGGAAGTTCTTACTGTGTCTTTGAAAAAGCCATGTCGTCTCTTCACGTAAGTCCGGAGACAATCAAGCAAGCCGGCTCTCACTAACCGTACTATAGCGGCCCTGACTGCACTGGGCACAACACATTCTTGAGCCCTGGCGAACACTCTTCCAAGGACCCAATTCCTGTCATCGAGTCGATCTTTTGTCAGTCATCATTTTGAGGGAATACAATGGTAAAGATGCGGGTTCGGACTTGGTGTCGGCATTGTGTTTGGCTTGAATTGGTATATAGTATCAAATCCAGCCTTGTATTGTTGAACAATATTTGTTTCGGTTTGCCATTCTCCTCCCTTAGACGGCACTAAACACGATTGTCGCAATGGAGTACCTAGTCCAGCTGCGATAAAGCAACTTTCACATTTATAACGAAGCTTCCTGCTCATCCACCACCAACACCTTGATACTACCATTCCGAGTGTCAGCGCAAAGCTGGATCGCGTCACGAGCCTTTTCAAGAGGGAAGACATGCGAAACAAGCTTCTTCAGATCCAAGATCCCACCACTCATGCAGGCAATTGCTGGTGGCCAGGTGTCACGATAGCGGTTGATGAACCGGAGATCAATCTAGGAGAATCAGCAAGGAATATTCACACTACCAGGACACCAGTACAACCAACCTCGGCGAGAGAAAGATGCATAAACGGTAGGTTGTTCATAATCGCTTTTCCTACCCCAATGACCATGACGGTGCCTCCCCGCCGTACAGTGTACGTCGCAGTGCACACACTGCTTTCCACCCCAGTACACTCGAGTATGGTTTCTGGGGCAACATATTCGCCTCGCCCAAAGAGAGCACGAATGGCCTCTGCATTCCCCTTTGAGTCCTTGGCACGGTCTACCTCATAGGTGATGCATGCAGGGACAAAATCTTTCGCAAAGGCCAGTCGAGAGGGCTCCAGATCTGTCACCACGATAGGATGTGCCCCCGAGGCACGGGCTGCAGCTAAGGCTATCAAACCAATGGGACCTGCACCGCATACCACCACACCACGGCCCAACGAAAGACTAGCCGACTTGATCCCGTGCATCACCACCGACAGTGGCTCCAGAAGTGCGCCTTCCGCAAAAGTGACGTTGTCCGGTAGCTTGTGGAGCCACTTCGCAGGGTGGTTTTTGTAACGCTGAATGGTACCTTCGTAAGGGTAAACGCCGGCAAACTGGACATCCTCGCACAGGTTATAACGTCCATCATCACAGAGGAAACAGTGTTCACAGGGAACACCGGGTTCGATAGCGACTCGGTCACCTATCAAATTATCAGCTCGAAAAATCTTCAAACAGAAATACAACCTGTCTACCTGGCTTCAAATTGTTGACCCCCTCGCCACATTGCAGAACGATCCCCGAGGCTTCATGGCCAATGATGCAGTCACCTTCGAACACCAACGACCCAATGCGCCCGGTCTTCCAGAAGTGAAGATCTGACCCACAAATTCCAGTTGCTTTGATATGAACCAATGCCTCGCCTGGTTTGGGGGCATGAACAGGGGCGTCGACCGATTTTAGCTGGTGGTCTGCGGTAACCTGCAATGATGGATTGGGATGGGAGACTTTGATGGGAACGCGATCGCCCACTAATGTTCTCATGACCTGCTGATCGTTTAGCTGATCTAGAAGTACCGGAGTCATTATGTGTTTTCTGTGTAACTCATAAAAGTGGGTGATTTCTATTCTTTAAAGACGACGCATGATCCCAAAGAGTACTTGATCTAGTAAGTTGTGGCTCGAGATACCTGTTTTGGTGTTGGATGCAGCTGCCAGCTTACCGTTGGGGGAGGGAGCGGTGGGGTCCTGGGGGATTTCCCGATCAGGAAATATTAAGCATCACCACTCGCAATATTTCAACATGCTTTCCCACCAGTTTTGAGCATTTGGACTATTGTTCAGCTCTGTACGATTTTTACCATGACTGTCGAAGTTCAATGCACCGGTGTCAATGATGCCTATAGCTCTGCAATGCCTATTGTCCACAAGCTGTCAAAGGACCATGACTTAGTGTTGAAAACCTTTCGGCTGTTGATTGCAGACCTCTGCCAGCAATTTAATGGCGGACATCCTGGGTACTATCACCGTGACATTATCTTAGTTGGGTAAAAGCTGATTTGTGTGATGGTGTGCTAGTGGTGCTATTGGTATGGCTGCTATCGGTGTCGCGTTATGGAGATATGTTATGCATTACGCACCCCATACTCCGGGATTCTTCAACCGGGACCGTTTCGTCTTGTCGAATGGTTAGTTCTGCAAATATCCTTCTGGTCTGATATGACTCTAGGAATGATGTATACTAAAAGAACGTCTAGGCCACACCTGTCTCTTGCAATACTCTTTCCTGCATCTTACAGGCTACAAGGCCATGACTTTTGAACAGCTCAAATCATACCATTCAGACCGCACAGATGCCCTATGCCCGGGGCATCCGGAGATTGAACATGAAGGAATTGAGGTAACAACTGGACCATTGGGTCAGGGTATTGCGAACGCTGTAGGCCTGGCGATGGCGACGAAGAATCTGGCTGCTACCTACAACCGCCCAGGTTTCGATGTGGTAAGCAACCACACTTGGTGCATGATTGGCGATGCTTGCTTGCAGGAGGGTGTTGGTCTCGAGGCAATCTCGCTGGCCGGACATTTTCGTCTAAACAACCTCACCGTCATCTACGATAACAACCAGATTACCTGTGATGGATCCGTTGACCTCACAAATACCGAGGATGTGAACACAAAGATGCGTGCTTGTGGCTGGGATGTGATTGAGGTGGCAGATGGCTGCTTCGATATCGAGGCCATTGTTCATGCATTGGAGCAAGCTCGCTCATCGAAGCAAAAGCCTACCTTCATTAATATCAAGACAGTCATCGGTCTAGACAGCAGCGTTGCTGGAACCGCAGTGGCTCACGGTGCTGCTTTTGGTGCCGGGAGTATCCGTGATATGAAGGTTTCCTATGGCTTCAACCCGGAGAAGCACTTTGTTATTAGCGAATCTGTGCGCCAGTTTTTCCAAGATATTCCTGAGCGTGGAGAGAAGTGGGTCCAAGAATGGGATCAGCTAGTAAAAAGCTATGCTGTCCAGCATCCTTGTTTAGCGGCTGAGTTCAGGGCTCGCGTGCATGGCGAGCTTCCGGCTAACTGGCAAGAGTATATCCCAACGAGCTTCCCTGATGGACTCACTGCGACCCGGACCGCGTCTGGTTTGGTATTCAACCCGATTGCCAAAGAGGTCAACTCTTTCATGGTCGGTAGCGCGGATCTCTCGTCATCCGTAAGAATGATCTGGCCTGGCAAAGTCGACTTCCAGCACGTGAGTGAAAACAACGGATATCAGCATAAACCGGGTCGATTGCTAACTGTACCATTAGCCCGAACTCCGCACAGCCTGCGGCATCAATGGTTCTTATTCTGGCCGTTTTATTCATTATGGTGTCCGTGAGCACGCGATGGCTGCTATCTCCAACGGGCTGGCATCATACTCCCCGAATACCATCATTCCGATCACATCGACGTTCTTCATGTTTTATATGTATGCTGCACCCGCGGTCCGCATGGGTGCGTTGCAGCACCTTCAAATAATCCACGTCGCCACCCACGACTCGATTGGTACGGGCGAGGATGGACCGACCCACCAGCCTATTGAGTTGGCCAACCTATATCGCGCGATGCCAAACCTTTTATACATCCGTCCTGGCGATAGCGAGGAGACGGCTGGTGCGTGGATCGCTGCTATTGGCGCCAAGCGAACCCCAAGTATCATTTCTACCTCTCGTCAAACCTTACCCCAGCTGCCTCAGACGCGTCGTGATGGTGTAGCTCTCGGCGCATACGTCCTATCCGAATCTGAATCGGCTACTGTCACTTTGATCGGGGTTGGGGCTGAACTTTCTTTCGCAGTGGAGGTTGCTGAGCAACTAAAGGTGCAGCAAGGCATTACGGCGCGCATTGTTAGCTTCCCTTGCCAGCGCCTTTTTGAGAAACAGTCGGTTGATTACAAACGTAAGACACTTCAGCGACACCGGGGTATACCAGCTGTGGTGATTGAACCCTATGCACCAAACGGGTGGGAACGTTACGCAGATGCGGGCATCTGCATGACACGCTTTGGTCATAGTCTGCCAGGCAAGGCGGCTTACAAGTTTTTTGGGTATGAGATTTCTACATTGACAACAAAGGTCGTCAGATACTTGGAACGGCTCCGGGAAGATGAGCTGCTCCACGGCGAGTTTGTCGACCTGTGAACATGATATGTGATGTTTTGGATCATCTTTCATGGCAATACGGTCTTGGTATGGGGTTCATGAACCTTTATAATTAGTTCAGAGTTGCCATAAATTCTCGGATATTTCTTGTTCTACTTTCAATCCAATTGTATACGTATTCTGTATGTAGAGCAAACTAACTAGTTAACTAGTTAACTAACTAACTAGATAAGTCTAACCAAGGTTGGGGACTAACACTCTTCTGTGCTAATACTGAACTTTTTCTTTTTCTTTCTAATTCCTGCCGTTCCAAGTTCTGTTGATCTATTGGCCTTTAGTTCCATCCATCCGTGAGATCTACCCGGTGACCCCGGCCCAACTACCCTGCGACCGTCTGAAATTCATAGTTAGCTATTCACTTCCTGCTGACTTTACCCCTCAGCTTAGCTCAAGTCAAATCGGGTGAAATGATCTCGAGAAGCTGCAGAGAGGTGACCTTCTTTGTGGGGAACAATGGAACATCTGCGCAGCCCGACTACTCATGTAACACGCTAGGAGTAACTATTCAAAAACAAAGTATCACAGTCAGAAGATAGACTGATCAGCAAACCAATAATCGAATAATACATAATTATTCCAGACAAAATCATGAAACCCAGACCGTAGAATGCGGTGACGAGAAACTCTTTTGGGAATTTCAAATAACCTTCAAGGTGAAGACAAGTTAGACTAATCTAATACACCCGATGTGTATTATGAAGATCTCAATCATCTGAATCATTGTAGAACATCAGGATGATAATGATATGCGGGAACGGCGGGATATACTTGGTTATCATATTGCCGACTATCATTCTAATACTCCATAGTGTTACTATATTATTATACCTATTGTAAAGGTAAAATTATATCAGATGTCCTCAAAATCAAAAGACTAGAACCATCTGACCCTCTTTTTATTTCATTTCTTTCCCCTTGACTCAAAATGTGCCTGACCAATAACAGTGAGCTCGTGGCCCATGCCCTGACGCGGGGGATCCAGCGCGGGTTCGATCGACAAGAAAAACAGCGCGTGGGTTGACCTTGCAGAATTGGAATATGCGGCCACATGCGATGAAAGACGTTTCTAACAGGATGTTGAAAGAAGAAAAAAAACATAAAAATTAGAATAAAAAAATGAATTAAAAAAAATGAAATGAAAGACTTATAAACTCGTCAACTCGTCAAGTCAAGAGCTTCTTTTTTTTTTTTTCATATTCATCTCAAAAAACATGGCGCGCTCTCTACTTCTTCTTGCCCTAAGTCTGGGTGCCACTGCAATGCCTGCTTCGTCCGGTATGAGCAACATCAAAAATATTGTGGTCTTGGTGCAGGAAAATTTGTCTTTTGACCACTTCGCTGGTGGTCTTGACTATGATTCCAGCATTGATGGCCCACAGAATCCTCAATATTGTAATCCGGCCAATGTTTCCTCCCCGTCCGAGCAAGTTTGTGCCAACCCTAATGCGAAGAATATCGCATCGGACGACCCCAATCACAGCATTGCGGGTGGTAACATGCAGGTTTTTGGCACCTACCACCCCCTTGTAGGAGCCGAGTCCTCCATGGATGGTTTCATCAGTGAGCAACGTGCCTCTTACCCAAAGGATGACCTAAACCGGGCAGCCGAGGCGATCAATTACTTCAGCCCAGACCATATCCCCGTCTTCAATACTATGGCTCAGAATTTTGTCTTGTTTGATCGCTGGTTTGCTGCTGTCCCGGGTCCTACCAACCCCAACCGTGCCTACTTGACCTCTGGCACTTCCCATGGCCATGGCCACAATGACGACGACTTTCTCAACTCGGCACTGCCACAAAAATCCATTTTTGAGCAGCTATCAGAAAAGGAAATCACTTGGAAGAATTATGAGAATTCGACACAGTCCAAACCCTCATTTTTGCCCGATGCCATGTTCTATGATTGGACCGCGAAGAATGGCAAGGACAATGTCCTTCCCATTTCCCAGTTTTATAGTGATGCTAAAGCTGGAGCGCTGCCACAATTTACTTGGATCAACCCCGAGTGCTGCTCCTATATGTCAATGCATCCCCCTCCCCAATCAATATGGGCGAGAACTTCGTCAAGAGCATCTACGAGGCCGTCCGCAATTCGCCGCAGTGGAATGAGACCCTCTTTATTCTGACCTGGGATGAGCATGGTGGTTTTGCTGATCATGTTTCACCTCCCGCTGACGTTCCCGCTGGCGACAGTCTGACCTATACGGAGACTGCTCGGGATGGTGAACAATACACTTTCCACTTTGATCGCCTCGGAATTCGGGTTCCTACTCTCTTGATCTCCCCGTGGGTTTCCAAGGGCCTGGTCCAACATAAGCCTAGTGAGGGGAACGAGTTCACGCATACTTCTATCCTCAAATTTGTCTCTGAGCTTTGGGGATTAGATAGTCTATCCCCGCGCGTGGACTGGTCGCCTTCCTTTGGGAACCTGATCACAAACAAGTTCAGAAGCGATACTCCCGAGAAGTTGCCAGATGCAGCAGACTTTTAGGTATCAACTCTCTTATGTCAACGGTCGCAGTCTGGTACTCCTAGCTCACTTTGATTAATTTCAATGATAATGATGATGATAATGAAAATATAATACACACAATAATCCATTGCTGAAATGAAGCATTTCCCCCTTTGAGCTAGCCACAACTTATGAAGACAGAAGTTTGGAAACCCATTAAGATACACATACTACCTTGCCTAGTTAGGTAGTTATATATACTGTATACTGCACCAGGCTTAGGATGCACTTCCGGGGCCACCCGTACTCACCCGGAATCACCCGATTACATAACCCAACATCAGACCCCCACACCTAAGGCAGGTGGATAACCTCCTTCTCAAATCCTCCAGAAAAGTTTAGTCTTGTCAGTAATGGACATGGCAAGGCAGCTTATACAAAGACCTTATGTGTCTGGGACACAGATATTTGAACCCGAATCCAGAAAAGATTCAACGCGCGACTGTAAACTGCAGGTTATGATAATGACCCGGTTTGAGAAGAATTGATAGGCATAAATGTCTTCGACTATCATATGAGTGAAATCGCTAAGACATAATGCTTGGGGATTACGCTGTCTGGCTCGATGGATAAACTTGTGTTAGCTTCGTTGGCTGGAATGTTACTCAACGTCTCACAGTTTGAAGAGGTGTGACATTTCATATTGTCTATTGTCACGTTCGCTAACTAACAATTTCATATTAGAGACATGAGATCCTAACGTTTGTTTCATTCGATATTATCGAATAGACGTAACGCATGCAACAATCTTGAATTGCGTCGGTACATGACATTGTTCAGAGGTGGGAGGATCTACAGTTGGATCTACCAAGCCACGAAGCTTCATCCATCAAGGGAAAGGTGACTCTCTTTCGGTTCTTATCTCTGCCAATGACAGCCTTTTGGATACCTGATATCAACATGGAATTCTCCGAGCCCACCAGCCCTGTTATGCAGTGATCCTGATCAACATTCCATTTCCCAGTTGATCGGCTGAGCGGGGCGGTTCGTGCACCCATATAGTGAGCCAAGCAGAGGAGACCGTTGTCATTTCCCTCGAATTATTTTTGAAGCATGTCCCGCATCCGATCAACACGGCCTCGAATTGCAGCTAATTGCAAACCCCTGCCTAATACCTCCGCGGGCAGTGAAGAACGACAGTGAAGAAATCCTTCATCGAGCAGATGTCTAATGTCATCAATTGAATACCTAGTAAACCGAGGAATCAGCACGGGTCGGTGTTTTTGGACGTTTGACTTATGAACCCCACCATATCGATACATCTAGGGGTTCAGCATCACATTGCTGGGACCCCAGTCTACCTGGATTCCAGGTATGTGCTCGTGCGCTACCTTCCCGGCACGCCAATTGGGTGGATGATTGTCAAGGAGATTTATTTCGTTATGCAGCTAGCTTCCATTAGCTTATTTCCTTTTCCGAGGCCGATCATGGCGTTCTTTTCCACCGGCCGGATTGAATATAAACCCTTTTCAAAGGACGGTCTCCCCATTGCTTTTACACACATCCCCGTTGTACTTCCAGATCCCTATCACGCCTGTAGCTATAGAGTCGTGAGATCTTTTGCATCATGGAGCCCAAGGAGTATCCTCCTAGTTTCATCAGCCGGAGTACATCCTTCATACCCTCCGATCAACAGTCCGACAGCAGAATCATTCTAGACGATGAGAAATTGCCTCCAGTCGATGGAGGAGTTCAAGCATGGCTGTTCCTTATGGCTTCTGCAATGCTCGAGTCTCTAGTTTGGGGTATGTGATCATTCGTCAAGGACGAATTGTTGTCGAGACTGACACGCGAGTAGGTTATGCATTCGCCTTTGGTATATTTCAAGACTACTATAGTACACACGAGCCATTCCAAGGATCTGGGAACATCGCAATTATCGGGACTTGTGCCATGGTGGGTTGTCAAGATACTCAAGGTCCCCTTCCTCTCGCTAACACAACGCCCAGGGTATCGCATACTTGATTGCTCCGTTGGTAATCATATTGATGATTTTGGTGCCTAAGATTGCTCGCTGGGTTTCTACTATAGGAGTTACTATCATGTGTTTGTCTCTGGCACTGAGTTCATTTTCTACCAACGTCACGCATCTTATTTTGTCACAAGGACTTGGCTTCGGAATTGGTGGCTGTTTTGCCTATACTCCCACCATATTATTCATGTCGGAGTGGTTTGATAAACGAAAAGGGCTCGCTTTTGGTATTGTCTGGGTGAGTTATAAAGAATAAGCTGTACCCCGAGCTCCTTATGACAAGTGGACCTGATACTTACATATATATCATATATCATTAGGGCGGGTCGGGCGTGTCTGGGATCGTCTTCCCACTTGCTATCCAGTGGCTTTTGAACCAGCATGGGGTTGAAGCCACGCTTCAAATATCATCAGCGGCATTATTCATTCTTGCTGTGCCTTTTCTCTACTTTCATCGACCGAGGCTGCATACCACAGAAATTGCGTATCACCGTCTGAATTTTCGCTTCCTGTACAACAAAGTCTTCATCATTTATCAGCTTGGTAATACTTTGGAAGCAATCGGATATTTCCTGCCCACCATCTACCTTCCGACATACGCACGCAGTCTAGGTGCGAGTGATTACATGGCATCTCTCACAGTCGTCCTCGTCAACTTGTTCACGGTGTTTGGCTGCGTCATCATGGGATTCCTTTCAGACCGATATCACATCACTACCTGCATCTTGCTCTCAACTGTCGGTACCGTTATCGCCGTCTTCTTTATTTGGGGGTTCGCTGCCACTATCCCCCCTTTATACGTCTTTTGTATTGCCTATGGTCTCCTCGCCGGAGGCTTTTCCTCCACATGGGCGGGGGTCTCCCACGAGGTGCAGAAGGCCAATCCATCAGCAGACGTAACTGTCATCTTCCCATTCATGGAGACAGGGCGTGGAATTGGCAATGTGGCAAGTGGCCCCCTAAGTGAGGCTCTGCTCAAGGCAGACAACTGGCGAGGACATGCGTTGGGTGCATATGGAACTGGCTACGGGGCACTCGTCGTTTGCACCGGGGCAACTGCATTGATAGGAGGCTTTTCTGTGGTGGCCCGGCAGTTAAAGTGGATATAAAGACTGTGGCAACATACAATCATGTCCCGTGAGCCCATCATGTTGTGATCAAGGGATCTTCCATAAAATCTGCAGCCAGGTGTCCTGTTAAATGATCATCCGTAGGAACAAAAGGATAATAAATATATGATTCTGAGAATGGTTTGTTGATATCTTGAAAAGAAAATATACATAATGTTACATAGGGGTCCTGTAAATGTGCCAGTAACCATGTGCAGGTACCATGCGCAGGTACCTTGCGCTAAACAAATCACATATAGAAGGTATCGGATGTTGATGACCTCGCTGCATTACTTCGTCACCCAACCCCAGACCTTCCAGTACCATGGCTTGGGAGGGTCAACTTCCTTTTCGTAGTGCAAGCGACCAGTGTCAATATCGGCATCGGCTGAACGGACAAATGACGGACGGAAAATCACCTTGTGCCCGACATAGAGCACCACGAAAACGATGGGACAGATGTAGGCAACGAAGAAGTCCGTCACACGGAAATGTGGGATGAAAGAAGTGAACCCCTGGGTGAGGGCGATAAGGATATTGAAGAAGAGACCATACCAAGCGAGATATGGTTGCAAGATGGCCTTATACGGAAGTGTATCACGAGAAATCCCGCGGTTTGCCAATACTCGCATGAACGCAATATGACACGCATTGATCGAGGCCCATGTGACAAAGCCCGCAACGCTCGAAAGGTTCACGAGCCAAGTGAAGACTTGACCAGCGTCATTGGAAACGTTCATGAAACCCAACAAACCAAACAAAGCGGTGAATGTCACACTGATATAGGGAACACCGTGCTTGGTGACCCAACCGAAACAGGCTGGAGCAAATCCTTCATGTGCCAATCCAGTCAGGACTCGACTGCCACTGTACACATTGGAGTTTGCGGCGGATAAAACCACGGACAAGAGCACACCATTGATCAAGCTCGGAAGAACCTTGACTCCGGCCAAATCAGCCGCGATAACCATAGGTGAGGAGGATGCGTTGGTTGTCGCGGTGGTGAGTCGGCCGTTATCATAGGGGACCACGAGCCCAATGAAGAAGATCGTCAAGACGAAGAAGAGAAGAATTCGAACAAACGTCTTGCGGATAGCCGATGGGACTGTTTTTTGTGGGTTTTCGGTTTCTCCAGCTGCCACACCGACAAGCTCCGTGCCTTGGTAGGAGAATCCGGCTTGGATAAGCACCGCCCAGAAGCCAACGAATTTACCCACAGATACTGGTAAATCCGGACTGTACGTGGCAAAAGCCCCCGGTGTGCTCCAGTAGCGAAAGCCTAGATAGCCCTGTTCCCCAACTCCGACATCGATGCAAATGGCAAAAATGATGAAGCCGATGACAGTGGCCACTTTGATAGTTGAGAACCAGAACTCCACTTCACCGTAGAAATTGACGGGGAGAAAGTTCATAGCCGTAATCAATACCCAGAACGCTCCGATGAAAATGGCAATGTTCAGACTAGGATCCCAATATTGGATGATGGTACCGGTGGCGGTTAGTTCGACAGCAAACGTGGACGCCCAATTGAACCAATAAATCCATCCCATGGAAAATCCGAGGCTTGGGTCGATCAAACGGGCTGCGTAGGATGTGAAGGCACCGGGGATTGGGATATAGGTCGCCACTTCACCCAACGAGCTCATGACAGAATAGACGATGGAGCCGACAAATATGTAGGCGATCAATGCGCCAGCTGGGCCAGATTCTGCAATGGCGGTGCCGCTGGAAATAAAGAGTCCTAGAGAGGTTTAGATTCGCGATTTTTCAAGCCGAAGAAGACGTAAGGATAGTAGAGTATACCTGTGCCGATAGTTCCACCTGTGACAGAGGTAAGTTAGCATCTCCCGTAACCTATTTTGATTGAGAAAGCAAAGACATACCAATCGCAATCATCTGTAGATGTCTGCTTTTCAGCTTGCGCTTTAGTTCCCCAGGGTTAGAGGCGTCGGCGTGATTTTGCTCGGCATCAGCCTCCTTGGTGTCTTGAAAGGCATTATCCGATTCTGCAGAGATCGCATTTGCAGAGATTTTAGTGTCATCGTGTACTGCGGAGGCATCGTGGGAGGCCATATCGGACATGGCAGGGCCACCACGTGGGAAAAGGGAGGGGGTGATATATCTTCAATTGAAATTAGATTTAGATAAGATGAGCTTAGTATCACAGCAAACAGCTGGATGTGTCAAGACGAAAGTTCAGAGAATTTTCTGCAGAGGCTTTCCAAGAACGGGCTCGGTGGGGTTCCGAGAAAACCTGGAAGATTCATTGGTGGAGCCAAGAATCTTTAAATGTTTTCGGTAAGTGGCGCCGAACTAGTTGCCCAAAGAGGAAAGGAAGAACATTTGGAAGGTTGTAAAATAGTACATTGAAGGAAGTACCCATGATCGTTTAAGGTACTTGCTTAAATATGTGAAGTACCTATCATTTCTAGGAATGGGTTCCCACGAGGTACTTGAAATAAAGTACACAGTGAAACATTGTAGACTAACTATATAAACACATAACTAGTTATACACCTTGGCTAAAGATGGAAATCTAGTTGTATGAAATACTATGTACATCTAGTATGTGCCATGAACACTTTTTTTTTTTTTTTTTTTTTTGTTTTGTTTTGTTTTGTTTTGATTTTTTTGCGAGCAGCTTCAGGGGTAAGGTCGACGGCTTGTATCTTAGGAAAACCTCGGGGGGCTTGGCATTTGCAGCCTCGGAAGTCAGGCAACAAGACTAACACTCACGTGACCTCACCGCCCGAAATACCAGGCCAACAAAGTCCAACCTAAACATATGCAATAACAACCAATCTTCCAAACCCGCCATATCTCGTATTCTAGTGCTCCAACCCTAGTGCTACACATATACTTCACTTCTACTTACCTATGTAGGTAATGTTGATTCGGATTCGGCCGTACTGCTGTCAGAACGGCCTGGTCCTAGCCCCAAGTACCTGTTTCAGGGGTCAGATCAAATTTTGGCTTTGGAACGCTTAACATGTCCCATCTCCTTTTTCTTTGGGTCGGAAAACCCAAATGTGTACGCCCCAATCTTGCGCATCTGAATCTCCTCTGCGCCGTCTGACGATATATGTTTTCAAGAGGATAGTGACGAGAGTATCCATCACCCCCGTGAATCTGATCGCTCAGCCATGTCTCCATAATCAGCCGGTGTGGACGAACCCGAATCGCTCGGTCGGCAGCTTGACAGCACAATCGATTTGCCCAGAAGTTACACAGGTGCTGGGCTTCCGATGCTCGATGCTTCGGCCCAGGCAGTATCATGCGGCCCACAGGAGCTGGCTGCTTGACGAATTCTGTTCTCGTGCACAAATGTTTGGGCCATAGCTAGCCCCTGGTCGACCGATCCGAAAACCGCCGACCCAGGTACCCATACACTATTCAGTTCCACCGTTGCGTGGTCGGTGGGCATGTTTAATGTCCACTCATAACTAACGATACGAACCCCTCTTGTGTTACGAGGAACCAGGAACGCCGTAATGCCTTGTGCTGATCCTGCTTGGCCTGAAGTTCGCGCCAAGATGAGAAAATGGGTGCAATGATGCGCCCCTATCTGCCACTTCTTTACCCTCGTAATCTCGAAACCTCTCCGAATTTGACGGGCTGTAGGAGACATTAACGTTGCATCACTTCCGTGGTCGGGTTCAGGAAGTCCGAATGTTGTTGATTGCCAAAATGGTGGAGCATCGAAATATCCGGAAAATTTCCAACGATACTGTGGTCATTCTGTAAATCATTAGTCACCACCGAACCACCGCTGTATATCATCGAGGACAAGTGATAGCCAATAGTGGACATCCATAAGTTTACCTCTGGATGTGACTTCCCACCATAGCCCACGGTAAAAACCCGAGGAATCAGCTTGAGTACGCGCCTTGCCCTATCGATTTGTCAATCTCTGCGACTATATTGTTCATGTCCGAAGGGGGTGTTATTACTGTTCCGGCTACTTGTACAACGTCTGAGCATAATGTTTTCGAGGTCGGAGTGAGAACCATCCTCAATGAGGTCCCCTTCTCTCGTCAAATGCTACCTGATACTATTACGTCTCGTATTTCACAGACTTTTGACGCACAATACCGTTGTCTGTGTGGGTTTTTTTCCCCTTTGACATCTCCCCTATTCCAAAATGGGAACCGGCCCGACTTCATGAAGAACGTGCAGACATCTCTATCACATCTGTCTGAAGACGAAAAAATGAGTGGAATATAAAGGGAAAAAGAAGCGAAAGTCACTATTCACCCATAGAGGATCATCGTTATGTTAATTCTTCAGCTGTTGGCAGCGTCAACGCTAAGGTTCCACCCAGGCCCCGTGCCCTTAAACAGGGCTTGGAAGTCATCAATCCGAACCTCTTATAACAGGTGAAATAGACGATCCTAAGTCATGGACACATTCTTCAGACCCACGACCGAACTAGTGTCCATATGGTCAGGCATTTCTGTTGGCACGGACGTGCCGCGATAGGTTGGAGAATATGCCCACTACACGAGGCCCTTCCCCATCCACAGAGGTACGACTCTTGAGGTTACCGACAGTATGGATTCCAATCACGATTCCGAGTTCATTCGGCCTAGTGGCGGATTGTCCTTCTCGACAGTTGTGGAACAACAATTCAAGAACATCAAAAAGGACTTACTGAGAATTGGAAGATTAGCATTTGCATCTTTCTTCTACAACGTGCTTTTTCTCTCCTTTCAAATTTACCCACCATGTATTGGTGGAAAGCCATTATCGCACAGCCCATTGTGGCCATTGGCGTGATCGGGTTGATATATGGGGTGTGGTTGGCAACATATCGGCTATGGTTGTCACCACTGGCCCATTTCCCAGGACCAAACTGGCCGCTCTGACAATGTGGTACGAGTTCTATTACGATTCGTTCCTCGAATGCCAGTACACTTTTCGAATCGCCTAAATGCATCGTAAATACGGCCCGATTGTGAGAATCAAACCTTTCGAACTACACATCGACGACCCGGAGTACTATGAGATCTTATACTCTCCTGACAAACCGAGGAACGAGTCCTTGCATTCAACGGGCATGTTTGGGGCACCTGCATCCGCTTTTGGCTCAGTCGATCACCGCTGTCATCGGATACGCCGACAACCTATGAACCCGTTCTTTTCTCATCAGCGAATTCGACAAGGCTTCAGCGCAGCTCTCTAGATCAAGTTATGACTTCACAATGACTGGATCATCCCTCCCGGGGTACGATATCTTCATCTCCTATCTTTTTGTGGTTGCTACGGCCTTCTTCTGACGATATACACTGGACACCTGTGGGGATGACCAGCATATTCATGCACCACAATCAAGCTATTTTCCCAAACTCGCAAAAGTTTATCCCAGAGCGATGGATGGACCCAGAGCAGAAGAAAAACCTCGAGAAGTATCTGGTTGCCTTTAGCAAGAGGTCAAGACAGTGTATTGGAATTCCGTAGGTGGATGTCTTTCGATTGTTCCACTCTAATCGTATACTAACATCCGTTGACCAGTCTTGCACGGGCGGAGATTCTTTTGGCACTCGCCACCATTTTCCGCGAGTTTGAGATGGAGCTCTATGAGACTACAGTAGATGACGTTCGAGTCGTGCGAGACATGTTCAATGGCCACCCTAGGAAAGGAAGTCAGGGCGTTCGCGTGATGATAACAGGCTGGAATGGACACCCTAGGCCAACTGGAAAGTCCCTATGAAGGCTCTTTGACTTTGTTCTTTATTATCTGTTTAATTCCGAGTGAGCTCCACGAAGATGTGACTCGCTGCTGAAGACTGGCTCATTGCAACTACAGAAGTTACGCGGAAATTCCAAAACCTTCCAATGGATCTTTCTCTGGGGCTGGTTGGGCGAAAAGGTTAGGCGTAAACCCGGGATATAACCGGCTGGCAGATTGGATGTAAGCGCATAATGCATCCATACATAGGTACCATCAGACTTTTGAACCCACAGGTAAGCGCACCAGGGCTTTACACGAGGTATACGTCTGTCCTTGATTTATATGATATATCTTTGCACTCTACCGATATTTCCAGTGTTCAAAAGCCAGCTGCGCTCTGGCCAGGAATGTAGTCATGCTTTCAACCCCTTACTTTGAATTCTCCGTCCTCGACAGTTGGTACTAGAATACTCCGTAATCAGTGAATTTCAGGATGTGGACGCAAAATATGAAATCCAGCAGGGCAACAAGAAAAAAAAAAAAAAAAAAACGAAAACGAAAAGATAACATCAAGGGCGCAGAACCGTCAAGCCGGAAGATTCTCAGCTGGGCCTTAGGACGGCTTAATTCTCCGAACTTCGATGTGGCTTGGGGCTCAACGTAAACTGCGATCTTCGAAATCGGATTGGGTACTTTTTATAGTAGTCTATACCTACTCTCATAGTGTTTAATTTATAAGTTTAGTTCAGTGGCGTCAAGTTCGCCTCCTACGCAGGTACTATAGGGTAATATCTCTGACCAACCGAGTGCCTTTAGATATGGTCGAGGGGATGACCTGTGTCTTTTAGACTAGGTTCCGTATTATTCTCCGTTTAGCCTTTTCGTCACTCCCTGTGAGGTCTTCAACTCAGGTCAAAGGGGGCTCACGTTTCAGATGCGGCGCTAGGTGAGACAATATTCACCTCCATTGTATCACAGCAGACATGTTCCTTCATACATTGCTCCCATTTGAGCATCGTGTAACATCTTCCATGGATCCTGACGCACCTCGTACCAGGACTCTGGGCCTCAGCCTTCAGTTCATGGATGCAATAAAAATACCCTTAAATTTCTGTCTGCATGCCCGCATGTCTATACACATGTTGTGAGAGGAATAAGTTGGTATGAGTTGAGACCTTGTCACACCTGAGAACTGGGGAGGGGTGCAAAAGTTAGGAGTATCCAACGAATCACCATGTAGGGTCCTCGAGAATGTTATGGATCATGTTCCAAAGGAGAGGTATACAGACGCGGTGATACCAACCCACGCGCTTGCTCTAATTTGGAATAGAACCATCATTCCTAGAGCGTGGAATCTGGTTAGATGTGTCGATGAGAATGATTCAACCCAATTGGTAGGTTCCTGTATTGCACTCAGAGTACATATTTGCCCGTGGTAGCTTCCCATCAATGGTCTATCTCTGCAACTGTTGGCCGTCCTAGCAAATGTTGCTTCTGGTTTCTTTTTTCTATTGATTCTTACAATGCATCCAAACCACAATTATCGCCACTCTCGACGATCCGCTTGTGATCGTTGTCGCGGACAAAAATTGCGATGCGAGCGCGATCATATGAATGGCATGTCTTGTGAGCGATGTCTTAAGGCCCAAGAGATATGTATCACAAGTATGAACCAGCCTGCAACAGTCATTTTACCCTCCAACCATGGGCAAAATGTAGTTGCCCGAGATGACCGAGAGAACCAAAGATTCAATCCAAGGCATGAATCAATGTCCGTGCTTCACAAATCATCCGGGTCCGGAGTGAAGAAGATGGTGCATTCTCCACCTGGAATTCCAAGGAGACACAGTATGAAAGAGCACCACTACTGGGGAGGAGTACCGACAATGCCCGTTTTCCCTGAAGGACGCTTTCACTCATCCTCAGCGGACTTTGGGTTTAATATGCCCCTAGAGCTTGGAAACATGATGGTCCCTGTTGAACAGTGGAGTGATCCCCTTTCAATCTGGTCAACCGATGCTTATAACCTCGTAAGTTAGTCCATGAGGGAGATACACCGGCCATCTACTGACTAGTAACTCCTACAGCCTTCTGATTGGATGCCATCGGATCAGCAATATCATTGCGAGGAAATTCCTTCTTTTCCCTCAGCTTTTACCAGTGATGTCCCACCAGGCGCAAGGCAAGCCACTGAAATGGCAATTCCCGAGCCTTTCCAAATCAAGCATCTCAATTATGGCGAGAAAGAATGGCCATTTGGTATAAAGGATCTTCCAGATCCTGTATGGGTAAATCAGCCAGACCTTGCAACTATAACCAAGCCTCCCCCAACGACAACAAGCCAGGCAATTCTTTCCCCTATGAAAAACATTCGCAAGAGTCTCTTGAGATTGAAAATGGGACTCCTTGAAGATTTGCAGCTGTTCGAGAATGGATCAATGCTCCTACAATCGTCATCCCTTCTCTATGAAGATTCTAATCTGTCAATTGAGACACTCGACCTTCCAATATATCGTCTACTGGAGCACAGTTCTTGGCTTTTGGCAATTATTCGATATTCGTGTGGTACAACGGAAGACACCTTGGATGTTACATTTGCTACTCAACGATTTGAACCGGAGAACAGCGGATATGAAGACTGTTTGTTTATCCTCCCGGATGGCGGCGACAGTGGCGGGGATGAAGGTGCCACCACTGTATCCCCACATGATTCCGGCTATCATACCACGACGACATCTCCGGATCGAACAGCGTGTTCTACAATCCCGAGGTGTGATATCGCCCTGTGGCTTGGAATATTGGAGGCGCATTGTTCACTTGTTCGCATATATCGTGCTGTTTTCATGCGGTTATACCAGCTGTTTCTCATCATCCCTCCAGCTGATGCCGCCACGATTCTGTTGTTACCGAAGGTACGCTTTGGGCAGTTTCACTTGGATGGAAATCTCATTGTCCAAGTTCAATTATTGGTTGAGTTCAGCTCTGCAATGATGGGGAAGCTTGACCAAGCCCTTAAATTACGTCCGAGCTCAACGCAACCCCAAGAGGATCGAGAGTTTGATCCATCCGAAACCCTCTGCCAGAAGGATTGGTCAACCTCAATCCGGGACATTGTCCTAGCACAGGAACAAGATCCCTGTGAAATGTCGTTGATGGAAATAATGGACTGCTTGCGGCAACTTGTTAAGGACACGGTACTGCCGTTCGTCGTCTGAATTTTCCTTTTTTTCCCTTAACAATGAATGGCCTTTGCTTATATATATTATTGTCTTACCTACTACCACTCTTCTATTATATATATATATCCGTAGATTTAAAATCATTCATTTGTTAACACTGACCCAATGGTTGTCCTGTACTTTCTCTATTTGTCGCCGCTTCTCCTGCTTTCTCCTTAACTGCGCTCGGTCTCTTCGACGCTCTCTCTCGCCGCTGGGTAGTTCTTTTTCACCATTCCATGTGCACAGAAGTATGCGTGCGTAAGCCTACGCTGCTTCTTTTGTATCTTGCGGGTATCTCCAGACGCCACTGCCCGCTCGAGCGCTGCTATACCCCTTTGAACAGGCTTGCGAATTGCAAGGGGAACCTTTACCCGACATATTAGCCTGCTTCTGATTTTCCCCAATATCAGTGCTTACCTTAATACACTCGCTACGCCGACTAGAACAGTACTCGCATTTCTTTCGCTTCCGGCCTTCCGCTTCGAATTCACACCCGGGAAGGTCGAATGATCCCGCGTTGATCAGTGCCTCCCACCCGTTGAAACATCGTACGCATATCTCCGCCGGTGTCTTACCTCCGCTGCTTGACGAGCCCCCCGTGGATCGAGTGGAGGTTGTAGGTATGCTCCCTATCTTATCACTCTCTTACCGTTCTGTTGGTGGGTGGGACGCCGTACGTATTTGGGCCTCCGACATTTGGGAAACGGACGTGTTAGGTGGCTCCGACGTTTGGGATACGGACATAGACGCGGACGTGTTAGGTACGTCTATGGTGTGAAGAATCTCCTTGATTTCATCTAGGAGGAACTCGATCCGTTGGACTTTAGTAAACTTCATGATTAGGACGTGGGTATGGCGTTGACCCTAACAATTGTTTAATAGTATGTACGGCAGGTGCGAAGGTGTATCCCGGCCAGGGGTCGGAAACTAATATTAGTAATGTTGATGCCTTAAGATGCCTGAATATTTGCCGGCAGAAAATATGAATTCCTGAATTACCATAACAGAGCGCTTAAGTAAGTAAAAAGGTTGAAATCCAACATGGGGATGGATGGCGATTTGTACGGGTCGTATTTGTACGGTCGGGATCGATAAGGATAGGTGGCGATGAGGACAGATAGTGACATACGGTCAGGGGGCAGTGGAATCGATGAGATTGGCGATATGTATGGTCGGGGGTTTGAAATTGTTGAGAGTATGGTGTGAGAGGCTTCAACGGCTAGAAACGGAAGATTTCAAAGATTTGTGTGGTGGGAATAGCTTCAATATTACCCGGGAGGCTTCCATTTGAGAGCTTCATTTACAATACACTGTAAGAGCGGTGCCAAAAGGCGGTGTATAATTAGGCATATTAAGGCATCTTCAGGCAGCATTATTAGTAATAATTAGTTTCCGACCCCTGGCCGGGATACACCTTCGCAAGGCGGTGAATTAGGCGGTAAACAAATTATATGGGTTGGCGCGATGGCGGTTAAAACCTGCCGTAAGTATGGCCTTTTATGATCCTTGTCCATATTGAAAAGGGTCTACTTGGTCCTTTGTTGAGTTGACCCTCAGGACTTGGCACTGTAGAATAATCCAATCGTGAACGGATGAGAAATGGGAGCAGAACGGCATCAGACAAACGAAGGTCACGCAGAGTGGGAGAATATATCCTCACGCTCATTATTATCGTAAACCGGGCGACCAAAGTATGATGTATGAGTACACTCAATGAGCAACCAGATATATTGATTTGGAATGGAAACCACACCGTGTTCGATTTCTTTGAACGCAACACCATACCATGCTATTGATGGGATTGCCGCAGTGATTAAAATGATCTGTGCAGGGATGAATTGCTGCCCTAGATACCCCCTGCATGTTCGGACACCGAGTCCGAGTCCGATCCTGATTTAGAATTCATATAGAAGTCCCTGGAGTACGGAGTAAAGCAGACTGAACTCTACCATTAAAAAGGAACGATTGCCTCATTACCACACAGATATATACCTTTTCAAACAGAAGAATAGACGCCTTGACCACCCATTTTCCTAATCTTCTACCCCGAGAATGGTTGTATCTAATTTCCAAGATGTTCCTGATCTTACTGGAACCTGGGTATTGGTACGATTTCACTAGCTGACTACTTACCTAACGAATGGGCTAATAACTACGATGATTAGAACCGAAAGCTGTCAACCGATCCAGATGATGTCTTCGTCTTGGTAAGAGAAAGGCTGAGTCAAAGGTATTGGTTCCGCTTTACTAAGAGGAGAAAACAATAGCAAGGCGTACCTTGGGTTGTCCGAAAGGTTTTGCGACACGCCCGGCTTTCGTTGCAAATCGGCCAGACCACTTCTCTATCCGCTAAAAATGGCCCATGCGCAGAGAGAAACTCCAAGGAAGGTTCTGATCTGGCCGACCTGGAACAAGTCACAACTCTCCGTATGACACAAACTGTGAATCCAGGGGGTTTGACAGTGAAGGGATTTATTCAGTCGATGGAAGCCCGCAGGCAGTTTCGCTGCCTATATTCGGAGATATTCAGATGCAGCTCCAATTCGTCAACATATCCGCTATACTGGAAGACTCCATCCGTCTAATTCTGGAGGTGGCTAGCCTGAGTAACAAGGTCATTCAAGAATTAGCCCAGAATACGTCAAAGGGATGGGAAGCGGAAGTGATTTGGGGATTTGAAGAGCTCGATGGAAAGCGATATTTGACGCGACACATTAGCACGACAAAGGAGGAGAAGAAGGTTGTTGCCAGGATGGTTTACGATGGTCCAAATTAGATGCCACCTACATAGTACCTAGTTAACTAGGTCACTATCTTGATCATTTCGTATGTTCAACGCAAATCGAAATTTTGAATGAACCGCATAAAGCCACTATAAACAGCAGTCTCATCAAACGTCCATGTCCCTATTTTATTACCTGGTTATGTTGTACCTATCGACCGGAGTTGACAGATATCATAGCGAGGTATCTTACGTTTGAAGTCTATCCACTTGGCAACAACCATGAACTACAAGGAACAGCGAAGAGCTAAGTCTTGGGTGTACAAAGTGACATGGGATTCCAATTGTTGATCAAAGCCTATTTAATTTCCAAAAATGAATTGAGGATTTGGTCATGCTTCTTTCAGGCCTTCAAGCCCAATTCAAACTCTCATTTCGTGGTCATAGGGACGACGAGCTTCTTTCCAGAAACCTTTCCATTTCGTAGCATGTCCAACCCTTCCAAGATCCCTTCAAATTTGCCCGGAATGATTTTAATTGGACATGCTTTAAGCTTCCCATTATCTATCAGCTTTTGGAGTTCTGCATACCATGACCGAGCCCAGATCCCAATCTCGGGTCGTGGTGGAATGCCGTATGGGTCTGGGAGTTCAACACCTCTTCCAGAGATGGCACCCCCCATGACTAGTTCGTGCTTGATTACCTTTCGCGAGCAAAGACCTTCTTGGTATTGCTCAAGTGCACAATATCTTCCCCCAGTACGACCAATGGCTGCATAGCATATCCGCAGTGTTTTGGCTTCCGCAAAGGGATCAAGGGCATAGCGCAAGGTGTTTTTTGTGGCCGCTCGAATATCTTCGGCGCAGGTTGGAGAGTTGTAATCAAAGACAAGATCAGCCCCGTATGATTTCACCAAGTCGTGGTTGTGAGGAGAGCATGTGGTGATTACTCGGTGGCCACAGCTAGGTAAGATGGATCAGTGACTTGAATATACAGAAGGCCATAAGGAAATGAAATGCTTACAGCTTCACCATCTGGATTGCAAGTAGCCCTATAGTGCTACTTCCGCCGTATACCAGAACGTCCTCGGGTTTGGATGCTGGTGTGTGAATTTCTCCGGGCAATTGAAGCGACCAAAAAAGAGCAACCCCAAGAGTCGCAATAGCGGTCCCTGAAAGGGAGGGTGCATTCACAAGATCCATACCCTTAGGAACATGGAAAATAAGATCCGGTTCGGTTCGAATGTAGTCGCAATAAGCTCCAGACATTGGATCTGACATATTTGAGCCTTGGACAGCACCAAAAGCCTGATCTCCGAGACAGAATCGTCCCTGTGCAGCAACCTCGCTTCCTAGCGCAACCACTGTGCCTGAAAAGTCACACCCGTCCCAGAGACCTGGGGTCGGGAACCTCAATGGCATTTTATAATCACAAGGGTTAAGGGCCACTGCAGCAGTCTTCACCAACATTTGATGGGGCTCGAGTTCTGGGATGGGCAGGCCATGAGTGATTTGGAGAATACCACCTTCATGTTGAATGATGCCGGTCTGATTTGAGGGTATTTCATCCCGGGTTGCCATTTTGTGAGTGTAAAAAGAAAGCTGGTAGAAATTTTAACCGTTTGTGAATTTGGGAGACTCATTTATATAAAATTCAATTCGTCTCACTATACGACACAGAACACAACAATAATAATCAAAAGAACAGACCATAAAACAAACAAAAAGCAAACTAGCACAAACTGGTCGGACTCTGGGCATGCAATGGCGAGTTTAAAACTATCGATTCTGGTCAAAGTTATAACTCCTGCTACCTCCTGCCTTTCTAGACAACGATACCGGGGTAACACGGTCTCCACGAGAATGTATAGTTGATTACTGGTTGGGAATTCTCGTTTATTGTCATCAGTTTAACATGATAATATTGTATTAGGGTCACTTCAACGCTAGCCAAGAATGGCAATACCCCCTGAGGCAAGATTAGCGCCCCCAGTACAATATATGATATTGCTTACGCCTTTCTCTCCATACAATATGCCTTGGGTTGTATTGCAGGAATACAGTTCAATTCAGGCTGCATTTTGTCCTTGTCAACCGATGGATTGGGATGGTTTTGCGATTACATCCTTTTCCATTATAATGTGCGAGGTTATGAAGTCCACAGATGTCAGTTCGAATCTCAAGGATGAAGAGATCAGATATCTTTACAACATTGAAGTTATCTCTTCATACGATTATTATTTCAAGACATCTCACACTTCATATATGCAGTATAGTATAGTAGTACAATACATACTGTTCATAGATACAAAGGTAAGCATCAAAGTGGGAGAACTTTGCTGTTAGGGTTCCAGCTGAATTAACACGTTAATCTTCTTGAATCTTGGGGGAAAAGAAACAGAAAATGGGGAATGTACCAAATCTGATACAAGACAAAACAACAAGCTCGTCCAATTCAAAACGCTATGTATCACCAAAGACTAGGAGAGCAATCGCTCTTGGGCTTCGGTGGTGGTTTAAATCGAAATATCATTCAAATGCCTGACGCTGACTGCATAGTCGGGTCTGGATCGTCAAATGTAGGCAAAAGAAAAGAAGAAAAGAAGAAAAAATTGAGACAACTCTTGGCTCCTGGTGTTGATCTCCCAGAATACAGTGAGTGTTCTGTCTAGTTAATTTCTATTTACGGGTATTAACGTTGATATATCAACATCAATTAAGTGAGCCATTCCACCCCTTCACATTCTCAAAGACGAGACAGGTCTATATAGAAAATGGTAAGAAAAAGTAGCTTTTGCCCTGAAATTCGAGTTGGGTATACCATCTGAAGGACATATTCCGCTCAAATAACAGCCGGAGAACACTAGGATATGTACCTGTAGAGCTACCAAGTGTATTTGACTAAGGATAGATATCTTCATAAGACTAAAAATGCACAAGCTGCGTAAGACCGCGGATAGTGAGAACAAACAATGATTCGGTCTATGGTGACTGATTGTCGCTCTAACTCTCTATTCCCATACACCCTCATTCATCCTCGGAAAATCTAGCTTTAATCAACCTGGGGAGGAGAACCTGACCGTCAGCCCTGCGCAAGTACTCTCCCAACAATACACTCATTCCTGCTTGTTCGGCAGCATTCACCCACTCGTCTAGGGAAACGATCTGAAACTGTTGGCCCAAGCCCGATTCCATCAAGGGCATAATCTCATCACGTCCTATCTTCATCTCGCCAGATTCATACAGGTAGGTCACACACCCAATAGCTAGTTCAGTGACGCTAGATTGGTGAACTGCTTCCAGTAGTTGGCTTGCGGCTGACTGTACAGAAATGAGATCGAAGACCCCTGACCATGAGCTCGAGTCCGGCACCTTCTGGGTTGTTTTGGTAAACCGCATGACATTGCCCATGAGGTCAAGTTCTGGTGCATCGGTACCGGTGATGCTCGATGGACGGTGGATCCATACGGGGAGACCAAATTGGCGGTTGATGCGTTCCAGATAGACTTCGCTCACCCACTTGGCAGCGATGTACCCATCTGTTGGTCGAGACGGAGGAGGATACGACGAGACAGACGTCTCCCCGAAACTTTCTTGAGCGGCAAGGCGCGCCACACCAGCCGTCGAGACAAAATGGAATGGAATACGCCGGGGCAATGCAAGTTTGACGAGTTCCTTTGTCGATGCCACATTGATCAGCTTAAGGGTTCGGTATGTTTTCATGAACGATACATCCGCGCCATTGTGAATAACAATGTCTGCACAGGAGAATATCGATTTCGTGTCGGAATCCGAGAGTCCCAGTTGAGGAGCCCCTAGATCACCAAAATGTAAATGAACTTTCGGATGAGCAAATAGTTCAGGCAAATCCAAGGATCTTTTTCTGACAGCAAGACAATGAATGAATGAGACCTTTTCATCTTCTATGAGCCTCCGGAGGATTTCCTTGCCAAGGAAACCAGTTGCCCCGGTAAGGACAACAGTCTTGATCCCCGAGGCGATAACGTGAATGTCACTGTAACCCAGAGAAGTGAGGTCGGATGCGACTTCAACTTCTGTATCCCAATTCACATCTAGCTCAAGTGCGGGACGAGATATGTCTTGAATCATAGCTGCCATTCCACGTAGAGTGCTGGCTTCAAAAGTTGATACAAGTGCATAGATGCACCGAGGTTCTCCTTGATCAGAGCTTGCAGGTTCACCAGGGCGAGCGAACTTCCACCAACGTGGAAGAAGTCGGACAGGGAATCGATTGAGTGAAAGCTACTAAGTTCCCGGGGGAGTGCCTGTTCCCAGAGGTGACGCAATGACTGTTCAAATGCCGTGAGAGTGGTGTCGTCCAGTAGCTTGGATGAAATCAACGGAATGGGAAACGCGCTGATTGCAGCACGATCAGTCTTTCCCGAGGTATTTTGGGGAAAGCTTTCAACTGGAATGATAGCAGCAGGTCGCATATGATGTGGCAGTGGCAGCTCTTGGGAAAGGCGCGCGAGAAATTGAACCGAACTTTCAGAATCGTGCGTAGGAGCCATTAACACGAAGGCAACTAGAAATTGATCACCCCCGGATTCCGTTGCGTCTGAACGAACAGATACAACAGCTTGGGTGATAACTCCAGCCGAGGAACTGACGATCGCGGTCTCGATTTCTTCAATATTGATGCGAATTCCCCTCAATTTGATTTGGTTATCCCCGTCCATGCGCCCAAGAAGAATAAGACCACCATCGCGATTGAGTTTTCCCCGATCTCCAGTGTGGTGGATTGTTGTCCAGTTCTTCTGCTGGAAGAATTTGCTCGCGTATCGATCATTCGAAAAGCGTTCAGTAGTTTTGGTGCCGTCAAGATAGCCCTGAGAAACTCCTGCGCCGCCAATAACAACTTCACCAGGAACTCCGATAGGAACAGGATTTAAAGTTTCGTCGACAATGTAAACAGAATAGTTTGGTAGAGTATACAGCGCTGGCGCAGGCGATGTTGATGTCGAATCCAACAGGTTGTAAGGGACTTCACTGCCCGAGCATGCAACACTGATCTCGGCCGGCCCATAAGCATTTATCAGTTTGAGATCCGGCCGATGGAGATTCTTAATCTCTTCAATTAAGCCATTTGACATGAATTCACCACCACAAATCGCAGTCGACAAGCGAGAGTTACTGAGGTGAGAGCGACCATGACGCACCCAAGCGAGATATTCCGTGGGCGTCGCAAGCGTGCATGTCACATTCTCCGATGCGATAAGTTGTGTGATAGCAACGGGATCGCCTCTTGTGAGATCAGATGCAATAACAAGGGTCGCGCCCGAGCATAGGGAGACCATGATCTGCCACAAAGACGCATCCCATGCATAAGACGATTGATGCAGGATGATCTCGCTTCCCTGTTTAAGTTTCCAGACTTCACTGCATGACTGAACGTGGTGCACATATGCCGAATGGGCAATCATGATTCCTTTTGGGACACCAGTTGATCCACTGGTATACATGATCACTGCTGTCTGGCTTGGGATAGCCATATTTGGGACGCCACGTGCAGTAGAGCCGTTTAGGCCACATACGTCGATGGGTTTCGCCGTGGTGTGCAAAAGAGGGAAATCAGAGATGGAGTTTGTATCAACCAATACCATCGGTGCTTGTGTTTCCTTCATGATCATCGCGAGTCTGCTCATCCCTACCTTTTTGTCCAACGGGATGTAGGCACCACCGACACGCAAGATGGCTATGAGAGAACATATCCAGTCTGCACTCGGTGACTGGAAGACCCCAACACGGGTACCCGCGCCAACTCCATTCCGTAAGAGCTCGTTGGCGATAACATCGATGCGACGCTGGATTTCAGCATAGGTCAAGGGGCTCCCATCGTGGGGTTTCAATGCGACATGGTCTGGATAGCGCAAGGCAACTTCATCTAGGCGGTGGACGATACTCATAGCATACTCGTCTCGAAGCTCCGGTCCTGTATCGCATATTTAGCAAAATACCTTCAGGGGGTAATCAATGCACTTGCCTCGGCCCGCAGTCACTGCCACTTGGAGGTCTTCTTTTGAATGTAATTCTGGCCACGTAACCCGAGTGGCTGGGTTTTGAAGAAATGACCGGAGAAGATTGACATAGGAACTGAGAAGGATTTCAGCATGTTCCATTCCATATAAGCTCTTCTGGGCTGACAGGTGAATTAGCGTCTCGCCAGCACCGACATTGCCAACATCCAGACCGAGGTCAAAAGAAGTTTCGCCGCCGCCCAAAAGTGCGCCATCGGCCAAACAACCGCAGAAGCTTCGTGATTGCTCGACTTTGGGTCGATAGTTGAAGAGGGTCTGGCATAGGGGGTTGTGTGACGCGGATCGTGGGACGTTGAGTTCTGTCAAGATCACATCAAATGGCACACGCGAGTGGGAAAATGCACCCTGAGTGATGTTCCGGACCTCCTTGAGAGATTCTCCAAAGGATTGACCTGGCTGCTGAGAGAACCTCACAGGAAGAAGGTTCAAGAAAAGTCCCATGCTCCGCAGGATGTCGGCATCCGTACGGTTCCCATCTCCGAGGCCGATGCAAACATCCTTTATATCAAAGAACCGTAGAAGAAGAGTCTTCCAGACTGCCAAGTGGAAATGGAAGGGTGTTGATTTGAACATTCGGCAACACCGGTCAATTGAATCCGACAAACTGACATCGAGGCGAATCTGGGCAGTATGAGACCCGAATTGAGCAACATTGGGCCGCATGGGCTGTAGGGAAAATGGAAGAAGGGGAATTGTGGGTGGAATATCGGTATATTGTGCTCGCCAGTAAGTGAGGTCCCCACCCCAGACGCCCTCTTCGTATTCACGAAGCTGTCGCATACTAAAGTCTGGATATTGAAGTCCATCTTCGGAAAGGGGTTGTCCTTGATACGCCTTTTCCACGTCTGACCAAAATACTTCGAAGCTAATGCCATCCATGTTGATGTGATGGAAGCCGAAGATTAGCCAGTGCTTTTCTGGGTTGAGTGAAAGCAGCCGCACACGCATGATCTCGCCATCAGAAAGTCTGAAAACATGTGCCTCCATCTCCTTTGAGGCCTCTTCGACTTCTGTCTCATCCGAGATTGCAACGTGCTCCAACTGCAAGGTAGATTTCGTCCAAATGCCTTGCATATGATTTCGCTCATCGTCAGTGAAGAAGAACGTACGCAATGCTTCGTGATGTTGTGCCGCGGTTTGTACAGCATTCCCAAATTCTTCAATTCTTAAGCGGCCAGACAATTCAAATGACGGTGTAATGTTGAATGCGGTCTTGTCCTCGACCAGGTGCTCTAAAAACCAGAAGCGCGACTGCCCGTAGGACATCGGCACAGTTCTTTGGATTTCACGTTTTGCGGGGCTCATTTCGCTGTCGTCAGTAAAAAGGGATGATGAAGTGTCGTCATTATTCTCAGAATTTGAGTCTCCAGTAATTAAAGACGTCGCGGAGCTGCCGCTATATGCGTTCGTTGCGTCCGGGAGTGCAAACTTCAATTCCATGGAGCTGGCTCTGCTCTCTGGAACTATTATATCGACGGGCAGATCTGCGGGGACAGCAGCTGTTGCAGCGACAGAAGGATTGGGTTGGTGCGCTGGTAGCTTCACAGCCTGATCACCAGGAATCAAATTGGGAACCAAGGACTCTGGTAGAACTTCAGCAGCAGTGGCCAAAAGGTCACGAATCGACGCCGCATTAAAGATTTTCAACACAGGCATGTCAACACCCAACTCCTTAAGGAACCATGACCGGAGGTCAACGGCGACCAAAGAATCCACACCAAGCTCGTCCGGACTCATGTCCAGCATAGGCTTGTTGGGGTCAGCCTGAAGGGCCGACTGGAGCTTCAACACGAAGCCATCTAAAGAACACCATTTAGTTCAGTTATATATTATACTTCACGATGAACGTACCTTGCAAGATCTCAATAACCTCCTGGTTTGAAGTTGCCTCGAACAGGCGTGTTTTTATCAACACGCCAGATTTCCCCTTTTTGTCTGCCACCACAAGATTGCTAGACTTGTAGACCAGGTGTTGGAACATTGGGTTAGCAACCCAACTCTTCGACTCATCGTCGTCAATTCTGAGCCCACAGCATAGCTCGGCGCTTCCAACGCGGTCTAAGCAGGACAGGACACCTTCAGCAAACACCTCATGGAAGTCTTGCTCAGACATCCATGAATGGCCGACTCGGTATAGATATGATTGTTGACCCATGTTAAGCTCTCGCGTCACATAGCCGTTACCGACGATGGCGCCGATGTTAATCGCGTGCGCTGCCAATCCACGGTTTCGGCGCTGGGCTGCCAGACTCGCCATAAACATATTCGCGGCATTATAGGCAACCTGGCCGGGATTTCCTGTCATTGCAGCCATTGATGAAAAGAATACCATGAATTCTAAAGTGTCATCTGGGAACAACTCGTCCAGTAGTGTACTACCTTCAACTTTGGGACGGAGAACCTTCTCAAGGCGAGGCAGATCTAAATCAATGAACATCGTGTCCTGGAGCACCATGGCACCTTGTGCAACACCAGCGATAGGGGGCATGGTTTCACTGATGTTTCGATGGGTTGCTTGAACGGATTCTCGATTTGTTATGTCACTAGGCATGTTAGCTTGAACAACAGAGGAAAATTCGAAGAGCTTACTTGGAAAAGACTCGAACCGTGCAGCCATTGGCAGCCATTCTCTGCAGCCATTGGTCATCGATATTTGGATTGCGACTCGATAGCGCGATGTATCGTGCCCCCTGTCCGATCATCCATTGACAAAGTGACAAGCCGAGCCCACCTGTCAGCCCAACCAGCCAGTAGGTTTTGTCCTTTGAAAATTTGACCTTTTTGGTAGCAGGGCGAACTTGGACAGCAAGCTGCGATGCATCCCATGTAACTAAAGACTGCTTCGTAAGCGAGGATTGGGCACGAATCAGGTCCTCAAGTCCTAAAGGAACAAACTTGTGCATATTTACTGGCATCAAGTCGTATTGTGCTCTCGTCCAGGAATTCTGGAGCTGCATAGCCAATTGGCCTCTATCTGAGGTGTACTGAGAGTGGGAGCAGTTTGCAGTTAAAGTGTTCTCACTCTCGAAATGACACTCGGTCGGCAAGCATGCCCTCAGAAGGGTAGCCACGTCAGAGCTTCCACCCATATTGACAAGCCGTGAAACATTGACAGGTAACTTGCTCAGTATTTCACGCCGGGTGGAGTTTGGGTGGATTCGGATCCATGGCCACGAGCAATGACCTTCCTTTGTTGTCAAAAGTACAAGTTGAACGCCCCTTTCGTTTGCGTATTTCGTAAGGACGGGGGCAAATGAAAAGTCAGAGTCTAACACAGCCAGCGTAGTTCCCGATTGAAGCTGTTGCAGCATAGACAAAGCAAGGAAATGGAAATAGAGGGTGAGCATCGATCGAATTCCTAGCTCTTCGGAATCTCCACATCGCACAGCCAAGCCATGTGGCACACGAACTTGAGAGTCTAGGGTATGCGATAGGGCAATCACCCGCTCGCCATTCCTCGAATTCTTCCCAACCACCAAAAAATAATTGTCCGATGGTGTGATACGGATGGCACGTAGCAAAGAGTGAGTCAGATCGATACTCACATCATCCGGGAAAGACGGCGAGATTCGAGGGTCCTTTTCTTCAATTTGATATCCAATTTCTGTCGGTTGGATGCTGACCACAGCCCCGGCACGTTCAACCCTGTTAATGATGAGGCGCCTTGAGGAGTTGTATCGATCATTTCGACCAGTATTGAGGCGGAATCGAGGAACTTTGAGCTGCCCATTTTGCAGCATCAGTTCCCTCTCGTTAGACCACAATATCCCATCGAGCTGTCCCGCTTGGTCCCAAATTTCGGCAGCTTCCAAATGGAGCAGCTTCGTCGCAATGATATTGGCGTCAGCATCATGCAGTGAATGGAGGTTGAGGAAATGGATATGGAGGTGAGTCATTTCCATGGCCAATGTGCGTTGAACTCCTGCAAACATGTTGCCATAGGGGTTCTCCCCTTGGGCACCGTGTCCCAACCATAGAACATTTTTGCTTTGTTTGAAGAGCTCTTGGAATGACTTCAAATTCTCGGGGACATATGTTTCAGAACTGGCTCATCCAATTCAATCAAACTGATCACTGATCCCATTACCGGCAGGTTTGCTGGGACAAGGTCGCCCAAAGAACTGGCTGTGTATATGTTGCCGTAGTGGGGACGGACCGCAGTGGTGATATCAGCCACCATATCAGCAGTCAAGGATGTTTTCCCTCCGATGATTGTCAATGAGTTCACACCCAGTGGAACATGATTAGCGGCCAAGGGGTCACGAAGGAAATTGACACGGTGATCGACAGCCTGGGTAACCATGACCGAAAATGGCACAGGCATGGTTTTGGAAGACGAAACCAGGGCTTCGAAACCAGAAAATCCAGCCTTTTGCATCAGTTCTTCCCAGTTCTCCTCTGATACACAAGGTGATAATGTTCTTCCCTCCTCGTAACCTAACCACCAGCCTGGTAGGCCACCAAGAATGAGGCCGAAGCGCATCGCATCGGAGTTAGTGAGTTCTAGCATGATCAGATAGCCACCAGGCTTGAGTAGCCGGCGAACATTTGTCAGCGTCAATTCAAGCCTCCTAGTGGCGTACAGAGCTATAGGAGCAATCACAAGGTCAAAACAACCATCTTCGTAGTCCTGTTCTCCGATGTCCTTCTCGATGTCCAAAACCTTGAAGGCCATTCTGGATTGATAATCCGAAAATCTTTCACGGGCGTCATCGAACTGCGAGTCCAAAATATCAGTGTATGTATACGACGCAAACGAGGACCCCATTGCACGCATGACTCGATCCGAAGTAGCGCCGGCGCCAGCCCCTATAATAAATCAGTATCGGGCGCAGTTTCGACAACGTGCGTGGACTGACCAATCTCCAAAACGTTGACATGGGGGTATCTATGGCCGATTTGGCGAGCCGCCTGAGCAACAGCATCCAAGTATGGGTCTATTCCGAATGTGTTGGCGTAGAATTCCGCTAACATATTGTCACGCATCAGGATTTCAAGCAAATTCATATCCCCCCGAATGATAGCAGGAAGGTTTTCGCCAACCGCAGACAGCAGTTTTATGTCGATACTACCGGAATGACTACGTATATCAGTCAGTGTGATTCAATTTCGGTTTGCAAGATCAACAAAAGAAAAGAGTTCAAGTTCTCACCGATCTAAAATTGGAGCAACAGTCTCCATTGTGTCATTTGCCCATTCGGGCTTTGCGAATTTGTGTCTTCCATTCGCAACGGAGGCTGTACAATGCTTTGCATATGAGAGAAGATGTGTATGGTTCCAAGTAGTATTTGCGCGGTCGGAGTGCTCAGGCGAGTTTTCGAGCTTTTTGAAGTGGAAATGGGCGACGCGTTCGAGATCCAGTGCTAGGGAGCAGTCTTGGGGATGCATGTCTTCAGCTTTCTTTGGTTGCCGCCCGGTGGGCCTATCGACATCCCAGATCACTTCTGTGAAAAAGGGAACATCGTTTGTGGATGTCAATGGACTCAATGGGGTGGTATGGAGTCCTTCAAGTTGAACCAAAGTATGCCTCCCGTCTGCAGAAAATATATCAACATCGCCAGAGAGCTCGGCAAACCGGGCATCTGTGACTGCAGAATAGAAGGGCAGATCTACACCGGGGGCACCAAGAACGGCGCAGGCGGCTGGATTAATGCGAAGCCTATCGATTCGAGTGGGAAGGTAAAGGGTGCGTAGACGCCCATCACCTGGGAAGGAATAAGCAAGCATGATGGACTGAATGGCACCATCAAGAGAGGCTGGGTGAATGATCAACGGTCTTTCAGTTTCAGAATCCACTGGGACAGTGATCAAACCAGATGCCTCGTCCATCTTTCTACGCAAGGTGGAAAGGGCCTGGAAGGGGCCGGTGTAGCCAAACCCAAGTTCAAAAACAGAGTTGTAGAAACGGTCACTTTCCAGATCAAGGAACGAACCTTGCGGTGGGGCGTGTGGTGGGAGAATATCGTGCTTCGGGTCCCCCAAGATAATTTGCATGGTGGCAGATGCGTGAAGGGACATGCTGGATGACCCCTTGTTGGCGTCGGAGTGACAGGAAAAGGACGCCGACACACAATTGGCCTGAACTTGATCGATCGAAAGTCTGAAAATTGTTTCCACCCCCCATTTTCTTCAAGCACCAATGCTTGTCCGATGACCACATCATGGAAGTCAATCAGTTGCACAGAACCTAGGCCATACTTCTGAATCACAGACTCAACCGCGGCCGATATATACCCAGCTGCAGGGAATACCATTTGACTTTGGACCTGATGATGTGCCAACCAAAGAACCTCCCTAGGATGAAGATAGTTCCGCCACCGTACCTCATTGTCTGTGCCGTCGGGGCATTTGACACCCAGTAGGGGATGGAATGGTTCCCTTTCAGTGCGGATTGCGGTAGATGATCGAGATTCGTGCCAATAAACCCGATCATGATCCCACGAATACGATGGAAGGCCCTTGATGAGCTGTGGAATGCTTTGCTTTTGCATTGTCTTCATTTCAAACCCTGTAAAGTCCACGACACTCTCACCCAAGGCAATCCACAGGGCACCCAGTGTGGATGAGAAAGCCTCGCTGTCATTTTTACCACGGTTCAGGGTCCCAGTGTAAGGCAATGGCTGACCAGACACTTCTTGGATTGTTTGCATTGCAGGTCCTTTCAACGCTGGATGAGGGCCAATCTCCAAAGCCATGTCAAATGGGCCCGCTGCGCCAACCGCATAAGTGACAGCCTGGGAGAATAGTACGGGCTTGACCATGTTGTTGATCCAGTATGTGTCAGCGAGATTGTCGTTCACGTTATCAATACTGTCACCATATACACTAGAGATCCAGGTAGCACTGCCACTCGGTGGGCGCTGAATGGCTACACCACACTTTCGGACTGCTGCGATATAAGGAGCTGCACAAGAAAGCATGTGATGTGAATGATAAGCCTTGTCCACTTTCAACAAGCGAGCAAATTTTTTCTCGTCTTCAAGGGTTTCCCTGGCCTCGTCGATCGCATCAGCGTCCCCGGAAATTGTGACGCTGGTGGAAGAGTTGCTAGCCGCCACACAAATTCTGTTCGCGAGGGACGGCATCTCGCAGAGCTCCTTTGCGTCTTCAAAGGATGTCCCCGCAGCCATCATTGCCCCATTCTGTCCTGCCTGCCCGGTTGCATATTGCAGAGACCAGCCCCGGTAATAGGCAATGCGAATAGCATCCTCTTCATTGAGATATCCCGCGGCATACGCTGCCGCAATCTCCCCAGAGGAATGACCGACGACAGCGGTGAGTTTTAGATTGGCGGCCCAAAGAAGCTGAACCAATGCAATCTGAATCGCGGTACAAAGAGGTTGCGAAAACGCCGCCTCGCCAATACGAGAAGAGGACTTGTCTTTACCAAGCTCCTCCCTCAATGACCAAACAGGGCGATGCTCAGTGGGTAGTTCTTGCAAAGACCGATCAAGGCGACTGATGCAATCACTGACCATTGGCAGGTTTTCGAGCAATTCAGCTCCCATCCTTGCCCACTGTGCTCCTTGACCTGTGAACACCCCGAGGAGTTTTGGTTCGCGGATACTTCCCGTTTGCGTGCTTGGTGTTATTGCCGAGGACACCGCCGCTTCATCCAGCCTTGCAGCAAGCTCTCCAGGGCTTGATGCAGACACTGACAGCCGTACTGGCAGAGTAGAACGCCGGGAGTTCAATGTCCATGACAAATTGCGGATATTGATATCCGAATGATTTCGCAGATATGTTGAGTATGCTGCAATGTTGGCGAGAAGTGACTTTTCGGATGAGGCAGAAAAGTTGAATGGTGACACGGCTACAGAGCTACCATCTGCGGCGTTGCTACCACGAGCAAGCAGGTTCGAATCAAACGCTTCCAAAATTGCATGTGCATTCGCACCACCAAAGCCAAAGCTATTGACACTAGCACGGCGGGGTGTGTTTTCTGGGAGCTCAGGCCATTCCTTAGCAACTTGAAGGATTTCAAGGTCGCTGTAGAAGGGAAGTACTGTGGAACTTAACTCGTTGAGCAGTAGGTTTGGCGGGATGACCGCATGTTGTAAAGCAAGGGAGGCTTTGAGGACCGCTGCCAATCCAGCCGTGCCCTCGGTGTGACCGATCACTGTTTTGATGGATCCAACATACAAGGGGTCCTCCTGGTTACCATCGCGGTGGTATTTGGCTGTCTTTCCAAAAAATGCAGTACTGATGGCCTCCGCCTCGACTGGGTCACCTGCTGGAGTTCCTGATTTGGTCAGCAGGGTATCTCACTGTTAGACTAGGATTACGTACCGGTACCATGGGCTTCGAAATATTGTGGTCGGTCAGTGGGTTTAGAAAGATCGAGTCCAGCTCGAGCGTATGTCGTGCGAATAAGGTCAGCTTGAGCCACAGGGTTGGGCATCGTAATTCCTTTGGTGCGACCGTCTTGATTGGCACCCGTCTCCCGAACTATACACTCAATGTGATCCCCATTTGCCAATGCGGCACTCAATGGTTTGAGTATGACGGCGGCAATTCCATCTCCACGTGCATATCCATCTGCGCCTTTATCCCACATGCGCGAGCGACCCGTCGGGGAGAGCATCTTCAGCTTGCTCTCTGCGATGTATTGCTCCGGCCCCAGCAGAAGGTTGGTTCCTGCTGCCACCGCAACATCAGTCTCACCAGATCGCAGGCTCTGTACGGCCTGGTGTAGGGCGATCAGACTAGACGAACACGCCGTATCGATGGTCATCGAGGGTCCGCGCCAGTCGAAGAAGTAGGACACTCGGTTGGATAGAATGCTTCGGGCAGTTCCCGATGCAAAATAAGTGGGAAAGTTCTGCACATCCCGACCTAACATATCGGCATAGTCGTTGGTCATCAGGCCAACATATACACCGGTGTTCGACCCTTGTAGCTTTTCCATGGGAATTCCGGACGTTTCCAGGCCCTCATAAACAGTCTCGAGCAACAGCCTCTGTTGTGGATCAATCGAGTTCGCTTCCACCGGCTTTGTTCCAAAGAATTGTGCGTCAAACAATCGATGATCGTCGGACAACAAATAGGAATGCCGAACATTTGTAGTGCCATGGTGAAGGCCATCAGGGTGGTAAAACGCTTTGGTATTGAAACGACTTTCTGGGATTTCGTTAAGAACATCGCGAGGTGCCTTCAGAAGGTCCCATAGCTTCGAGGGCGTTGTTGCATCACCCGGAAAGCGGCAAGCACTTCCCACGATGGCAATCGGCTCTCCGGTATGAAGACTACCTGTCATCGTGTAGCTCAGGTTTCACTGACTCTGCACAGGTTGGTGCGACGAATGTGCGACTATACGTATTGCAATGAAAGGTCTATAGGGTATCAATAATGGGCAGTCGGGATCAGACTTCTCCGCAACATTCACACTCCAGTTGCTAGCGACGGGGAGCGGTACATATCAATGTGCCGAGGTTCACTTTGGTTGTCATATTAGCACAGTTCGGACATCTAATCTCGCATCAGCTTGCCACTGCTTTCAGCTGGTTCCGACTCCGATGCCTGCCTCCGGGGTTGTGATATGAAATGAAACAAATCACGATGAAGGTGTGGGATCCACCAATTTTTCGCCATGGGTGCTCAGCGACTTCCTTGTATTCTCTCGATCCATGTTACCCTGGAAAGATAAAATCCCCCAGGACCTAGGCTTCCAGGGGTTTCCACTCCGGCTAGTTTGAAATATGAAGACCGAGTCCGAGTCCGAAGGTCTTTACCCTGTGCATTTGCATGTTGGAGATGTAATCAAGAGAAGCAAACCATCCATGATGTGCCAGCGTGCGGGTAGGGATCAGAAGCATGTGTTCTATGGCATGGCCCCTAGGGTGACATTACACAAGAAGACTTCAAGCAGAATATGCGCCTCAATGATCATATTCCTACAGAGTCAGTAGTCGGTAGGTTCAGGAACACAGTTTAAGTCTGAGATAAATTAAATACCTAGGTGGAGTTCCAATAGTAGAACACATTTGTCCCGGATTCCACGCTTCAGTTCTCGGTTGCATTTCCATGTGCCATGGATCCTGGTCGATTTGAGTCCTAGCCTTAAGGTAATTCAGGTTTCAACTGGTAATGTCCGACCATAGCTGCATATCGTAGTTTGAACGATCAAAACGTGGCAAATCGACGTGGTCTGCATAGTTTGTGTTGTTTGTTCCCCTATTCCTCTATTCCTCTCTACACAGGAGTTGAAAATACATTCCACTCTCTTAGGGAATGCGGCCGAGATCGAGACAGAACGAGGTAAAATTAGAGGACTTTCTGCGGGCAAATTGTACAGACAAGGGGGAGAACGGAGGGAGAGGAGAGACAAGAGATAGAAATGTACATGTCGGTCAGGTGTTTCTGACTCAGGCATCAAATATGGCCTGAGGCCTCCGTTTCTTTGCAAGTCTGCATCAATACCGGAGGACTTGTTAATCCTACATGTTACCTTGGGAGGTTTCTAAGGTTACGATTTATGAAGGATCCATAGTTAGTTAACTATTAATTGCTAGGAGAGCCGATACAGAAATACAGAGAGTTGAACCACATAGATTGAACCCCCTATTTTACATCACCACATGATTCGACATCCCTCAGTAACTATGTAGAGTATGTAACTAGATACATAACTAACTAGTCGGTAGATATAACTAGCAATTAATTCTCTCCCTCCTAATCCACAGGCCCCTATACCGTGTAAATGCCACATCAAAGTCTCTTCATAGCAACTTGGAAGAGAATGAGACACACTACTCTACTCAATTGCTGAAAATCTTAGTCAAATCACATATATTGGACCGCGTATGTCGGCTAGCTTTAGTAGATATAAACAAATTCATCATTCTCCCGATCGGTCAGATCCTGAAACGCATTGTCCCCAACTTGCATAGTCGCATGTCCAGTTTCCTCTAGAGTGTCCTGCATATCGTGATAATCGTTTTGCATCGAAAGGTCAACGATTTCAGCTCTCTTACCGTTTTTTACACGTCGACGGGCTTGTTGTTTGTTGAGGAACCATAGATTGGTCCACTGAATGAGAACAACAGCGGCCAAAGTGGTGAAAATTCCGAGACATGACCGCAGGCCTGGGTGGTAGGCTGGCTTGTCCGTCTCGTTAAATAGCAATGGGCCAATGATATTTCCTGCCGAGCTTGCTGCATTATACAGGCTCATGATGACAGATCTTTTAGTGGTGCCTGCCGTGTTGCCGATGATCCAGGTTACAATCAATGGATTGCCGCCAAATAAGAATGCCAGTAGGTAGTAGCCAGCAAGTAACTGGCTCTGCACAGACTTTGTCCGAGCCACAGCATATAAAATTGCTAGACCAGCGATCACGGGCAGCATGAAAGCCGCGATGACAGCGCTCTTCACACGAGCAGTTTGCGCAAGGTAGCTTGCCAGCAGAATTATGATGAATTGCAACGCGCCAAATGGCATGGTCAACAGAGTTGTCCTGTATTTATCGTATCCAAGGCCGCTTAAAATCAGTGGACCGAAGATGTTGGTCACGCTGGCGCCAATGTTAAGGAGCATTGCCATTGCAATCCACAGATATGTCTTGGGCTCTGAGCAGGCCTCGAGGACATGACTGAACTTGAACTCAGTATTTCCGGTTCCAGTCTGGTTGGCCCGAAGGCGCTCTATTCCTTGAGCTTTCTCCTGCTCGTTGAGAAAACGAGCAGTGGATATATCGTTGTCCAAGCCCCAGTAGGCAAATGGAGAAGATGCGACAGTTATCAGGCCAACCACAAGAAATATGCTAAAAGCGAGTCAGAATATACCACTTCCAGCGAGGTGGGAAGGGGGTTTCCTACATTTGCCATGATTTGAGAACGTCGGACTCTATCTGTGCCAATCCATAGGATAGGGCAGCTGCGACGATGGTTGCTAGACCGTTTGTGCTATACCACGCAGCGATCCGGATCGGTTGCTCTGCACGACGGTACCATTGACTTGTGATAACACCAAAGAGAGGGAGACAACCAGCCTCGAACAACCCTAGAAAGAATCGGGCGGCCATCAAGGAGTTGAAGTTGTGGCATACAGCCATACATGTTTGGGCAATTCCCCACCCAAGGCATAGCACTGGCATCAGGATTTTGTGCGGAACCTTGACAATCAGGTATGAAGAAAAGGGCTGCCAGGCAAGTTGTGCAATGGGGCTGATAGAGCCGACGAGCGAATATTCATTGCCAGTAAGGCCCGTGTCTTTCTGCAAACCGAATGTTGCACCGTATCCTAGGACTGTCTTGTCGAGTATCTGTAAGAAGTAGACCCAGGCGAGCACAACAAGAATAGTTCGGTCTGTCTTGCGGCAGATGCGTTTGCTGTCTTCTTCGGTCAAATGGACGCGTACAATGCCACTATTATCCATGATTTTATCCCCCTTCTGTGGCTCTGCCGCTTCATTGTGAGTAACATCTGTTTTGGACATGGTGGGGTCTTGCATTGTTGAAAAATATCTTTACCTTCGTCTTTTTTACCCATCAGGACATATATATAGTGTCAGTTGCAGCACCCCACGCGTCATCGATATAAATTTTGAGTTTCCCCATTTTCCCCGTGTTACCCATGTTCCCCATGTTCCCCCACGTCCCCGCGTCCCCCACGAAATGCAGTGATAGCCAAGATATTTAGCGAACAAGCCTTAACCGTATATCGATTAGTGTTTTCTCTGTCATCCAATCGATTAAAATACCCTTGTTTCTTTCCACAGACAATCCGGGCTTGAGCTTCAGAGTGGAGACCCCCATTCGAGCACCCCATTATTACCGAGACCAACCGAAAACTGGGGGTCGTGGGGTGAACTCCTTACCTACCTATGTTGTAGGTACCTACCTAGGTACCTAGGTAGGTATGAGGCCGGTATTACCTCAGCGTTTTTCTATTTGACCGTCGGGTACTGCAGTGAATTGTCGGCGTTCGAACCTCCTTTGCCGTTGTAAATTGTCACTGACACAAAGAGGCAATATGCCGATCCTCTGATGGGCCGAAAATATATTCCTCTTTCGTGACCAATCCATGGATAGTCTCCCCGGAACCGCCCGTCCAACCCGATGTTAGCCATTGCTCTTGTTCAAGCCAAGCACGAAGCTCAGTCGTGGTCATGTTCACAATCTTTGAATTCGCTGGTCAGATCGTCAACTGTTTTTGTTTACTCAGCTTGTCAAGGGGGAAAGTACTCAATCACATCACAGTGTCTCTGTCCTTCATTGTTTCCACTGTAGAATGTCCCGACGAGAACTGGCGAGCATCATCGACTTGACTTGGCTGTTATGGTTTTAGCGTTTGGAAACTGCAGTTACGGCGGCGGAAGCACGTAGGGAAAGCCCTGGAAGTATTCCAAGGTTGCTATTCCTTGCTATGTCACGATGACAAAGGGTCCCGAGGTCATCTTCAATCAAAGTTCACTTAACCTCTGCGCATGAATATTATGGCCGTTCGTCCAACTGAAGCAAGATCTCGAAGCCAAACGCCCAAGTTGGGACCACATAGTGTTCCCTGGGAGCCTACAGATGTTGATCATCAAGAGTGTGGAGTTAGCCCCATTCGGAGACTGATTATCAGTTCATCCGTTCCGCTCCCGGTCGCAGACGTACCTAGATCTCGGGTTGAGGGATGACCCTCTCCGGCGGGACATTTCGGCAGAATCTGAGGGCATATGAACCTCGGTCTCTTGATTTTTATTGATACGTGTTACGTAACGACGGGGTGGCTTGGAAGGTCGTGTCACTGATGTCGTGCTGTCTACAGCAGCTCCTCCGCACCAAGAAGCGCTACGCTTTTTGTGACAGAAATCTGTCTGAATCGCAATGTACGAGACAAAATGGCAGATGTTGACAACTCTACTTAACTACATAACTACCTATGTAGGTAGTTAACTAAAATGACAAAACCCTCTTTTTCAACAATCTGTGCCGACATCGTGTATTATGTAATTTTGTATGGTACCTACCTACATATAGGTACCTAGGTACCTACCTAGGTAGGCATGTATTCTTCATTGTCATATTTATTGCCGTCCCGAAATGGCGATCTACTATTTATGTAATGTACATTGTAAATATGAATTATGTAGCACATATTGTAACTAGCATTTAACTAGTTACCATTACCTACATGAAGAATATAAATAATTAACTAGTTAACGAATTCCACGAGCGAGCTACGCAGCCCAGAACACATAGTAAAAGCGATAAATTACAACATGATGATACAACAACGGTTGTCTATGTTGTATATGAGCGTTTCCTTGTAGCCAAATACTTTTTATATGATATATAGCCACCTGTTATGGTTTTGGGAAATTTAATAAATTGGTGACTGAGATATATATATTCTCGAGTTCAGCGATGTTTCGATACCATAACAATATAAGTTCTCGATTTATTCAAACTTGATGTATAGTACTAAAAATGCGTATCGATTGCTATCGGCAAGTAATGAAATTAAATAAACGCGTTGCTGGTTGAAATATAGCATCACGTTTATGTATGTGTTTTGGACTGCACGTTAGTTAATTAGGTCCGCGGAGACGTCGGATCGACAAATCCTTATCTTGCCGAGACCCTTAATTCTGATAAGTTCTGATAACTGATTCTCTCTTGACTCGGTAGATCCTTGCAGTGTGAACATGTTCGCTAGTCAGTCATCCTGTTAAGAACGCTAAATTCTTATCTAAAGTTTAATGATTGTCATAACTCTAGATTTGAAGTAGCCAAGTGCGGGAGCTATTGGCATGTAACCATGCCAGGGGGGATTTGCGCCCAGGCGTGAGAGATAAGCCATCCATTGCACCAGCAAGGGAATTCTAGAGACAAAAGAATATATCTTCCTGCCCCCCTTCCTGAGTTATATCTAGCCTTCCTTTGCCCGGGGAAGGTTGAACTAATATCTCCAACTGATTGCGATTGTCTTCTGATCAAAATGACTTTCGATGCCTTCTCTCCTCACGAGGTGATTGAGGCTATCTCAAAATCAGGCGCACATAAGGGGAATATGCGGTTGGACAAGGTGCTTTTTAGTGGGGTCTCAGCTGGGTGTTTACTTGCATTTGCTTGCGGGACTACTCTTAGTACGACTGCCGCACCCTGGTTTCAAGACAATGCCCCGGGTCTGATACGAACCATCGGCGCCTTGGTATTTCCTTACGGTTTGTGTATGATCCTCCTAACAAGTGCAGACCTTTGCACTGGATCTTTTATGGTATGATTGCCTACACAACGAACATGATTACCTTGCTGCGAGCCGTCAAGTGACTAACGTGAACACTAGTTTACTACAGTGGCAGTGCTCCATCGGCGCTTGCCATGGTCAAAAATGTTGATCCACTGGGCTGTGACATTCATCGGCAACTTCGCTGGGTCGCTATTTGTCGTGGCTATCATCTTCGGCTGTATGGAATTCTTCCCTATTACTGCCCAGGTGTAAAACAACCTTACTAATGTTGGATTCATAGATGGAAATGTTTTTTCCGCGGACCCATTTAGGTCCATTGCTATTTCTTTTGCCACAAAAAAGCAGGTCACCCCTGATTTCCACATGATACTCCTACGTGGCATTGGATGCAACTGGCTAGTATGTTTAGCTTGCTTTTTTGGTATTCAAGGGCGTGATCTGGCCTCCAAAGTGATAGGAATCTGGTTGCCCACGTTCGCTTTTGTTTCCCTAGGCTTCGATCACGTCGTTGCAAACATGACATTCATTCCATTGGGTATCTGGCTTGGAGCGCCACATATTACAATTGGCTTATACATATGGAAAGGTATCATCCCGACATTGTTAGGGAATATCATCGGCGGAGGTATATTTTGCGGTCAGTACTGCCATCCATATTCGCAAATAAGGCCTCTTAAACTGATGAAAACACTAGGGACCTACTATTGGTACATGTTACTTCTCGATCTAAACACCCTACCTTTGTACGGCAAGGATAGAGCTCGAAGTAGCTCATTGAAGTCAGTGTCTTGCTCAGATCGAGCTAGCACTAAGCGATCGGACATTGAGTCACCGGCCGGAAGTTTTGGCGACCTGAATCGACATATAAATGAAGGAATACTCGAATGAAATTGATATAATAACGTTATGTACTATCTTGAATCACAATCTTGATCGAAGTTTGAGGGATTTGTTTAACTAGTATGCTAGCACGTATGTCGATGTAAGTACTACTCCCTAAACTACGTGCAGACTGCAACAGCGCCCATCGATTTCTTTTTTATTCTCATCTCTCTGATTTGATAAAGCTTGCGATTATATCAATGTATATTGCGTGATGCCAGCTGTGGCACATATCGGTTTATTAGCCGACAAGCCGTGATAGCAAACCAGCAGCGGGTTGCGAGTTGCCGCCTCATTAAATGCAGACTGGGTTAGTTGTTGCTCGGTGCCTTACCACCATACAGTTATTCCCTATGGTTGAGAAATTTGAACTAAAAGTACAACGTGAGGACAGAGAGGTACAACCAGCAATGAAGCGAGAGGCCGAAACCGATCGGCACGACGACCCGAGAAAGCTACATCCCCCACTAGGGGATGCAAAGGCTTAGTATATTGGTATATATATATCAATCAGATCCTATTTCCGACGATAAGACAAAATCTCTTTCAGATTTCTGCACTGAGTATATCCTTCATTCAAATAAATTCTCATTTAACCATGGCCCCCGGACTAGTGGAAGGTACTGGCTTACAGACTTCGTCGAGCCCCGTCATGCTCTCTGTATTTCCAGATGGATTCAAAACATCCGGCCAACACCCCCCATATATTCACTGATTCGGTCCTATGCCGATTTCCCCAAGACCCTTACCGGCCCTACAGTGTGGAAAGCCGAGGACTATCGCGAGAATCCTGAGCTTTGGACACATCAGTTCACCGCAGAGGATATCGTAGAGATCAGCGATGCTGCAGATCAGTTTACACAAACCGGGACCTCTTTGACTGGAATATCGAAGGTATGGCGATGCGCAAGTATATGATGGACACGACAAGTGGGAACTAACTTGTCTATAGACGAACTTTCCTTTGCCCAATTTGTCCCAGCGGCTGGAAAAGCTTAGGCAAGATCTGATCAATGGGAAAGGATTCTTTCGCTTTCGAGGACTTCCTGTTCAGAAGTGGGATCTTCAGAAATGCGCAACAGCCTATATGGGCCTTGGCACATACTTAGGCTACTTCGTCAGTCAAAACGGCCGTGGTCATGTCCTTGGTCATGTCAAGGATTTAGGAGACGACCCGACCAAAACCGACAGAGTTCGAATCTACCGAACGAATGCTCGGTATGTAATTAATTCTAACTAAAATAACCGGCGGACCGAACCTGACCTTTTCACTAGTCAATACTTCCACACGGATGGAGCTGATCTTGTTGGCCTCCTTTGTATCGCCAAATCTCTATCTGGCGGGGAGTCTGACATTGCGTCCACGCACCATGTATTCAATGTACTACAGGAGAGAGATCCAGATGTGACACGAACTCTATGTGAACCCAACTGGTACTTCGACCGGAAGGGTGAGACGTCCGAAGGCGAAGAAGGCTGGATTCGGGGTAGCATCTTCTATCTCGAAAACGATAGCGGCAGGTCTAGCCCACGAGTCTACGCAAGGTTCGATCCTATGAACGTGACATCGTTATCACGTTTCAACTCGGGGCCTGATGCATGCATACCCCCGTTGTCAGACAGACAAAAACACGCCCTGGAGGTATTTGAGAAGACCTGCGGTGAGCTATCGCTACATATGGTCCTAGCTCCAGGTGATATTCAATTCCTGAGTAATACACATGTCTTCCATGCACGAACAGCCTACACGGATCATCCACCTGGAGCGGTAGACGAAGACAGACAGCCTGCCCGACGACGGCATTTGATGCGACTTTGGCTGTCGGCCCCAGAATCAGAAGGAGGATGGAAGCTGCCGTACCACGATACTTTGGAGAAGAAACGGGGGGGGCATACAGGTTAACAACACGCCTCCTGTCTGTCCCTTAGACGCGGAGTAAGATTGTAGATCGCGGTATCAATTTTACTAAAACGTTGTCACATATGTATCATTGCAAGGTGTTGGTGTTTTTCACGGAAGCAAATCCGGAATTGCACTGACGATGATGGGACTTTTCTTTTAAACAAATATCACCTAAGAGATCCTCACATGTGTACAATGAACATATAAACAAAAAGTAAAAAAAATAAAATCAGATATGACATACACCTGTCAGCTTTGCTGGGGAATGGAAACACAGGCAGCCAGGGTTGTGTTTGAGTCATGGGATATCCACCTGCCCATGGCAATAGCCCAGCTCCCTCAGTTCCTGATCCAACTGCCGTGTCTGCGGGCTGCCATGCCCATCCAAGATCGGACATGAATAAAGTTTGTAGCTCCTCAAGGCTCGGTTGGTCAACTTCTAACTCAGGGTGACCGCCCTCTGCCCCGGAGTCGCCCACAACTTCGCAAGGGGAATGATCAATAACATCTGCGCTCATAGCTTTAGATATCGATGTAGTGCCCGCCATTTCGGGGGCATGTCGCTCCGGTATAGATTTGCGTGCCATTCGGAAAATTGTCAGCGGATTGAGTACATAGTCCGGCGCACTTTGAGCTGGAGTTTCTCGAGGGTTGTTACTGTAATCCATGATTAGCAACTAAAGACCATATCCAATAAACAGCCACGATTACCTAGTCTCTTCCTCCTCAGTTGACTGATACGGGTCATCGGGTATGATGTTCTGGGAGACCAACTCGGACTCAATACCGGAACGATCAAGCATTGTTTCTGCCGCGGAGGACTGGAATGTCCAAAAAAGAAAATTGATTAGCACAATTCAAATTGGGGGCTTTGAACAGAGAACGGTCGACAAACCAGTGAGGTGGCGATTGCATTGAGTGATCCCATTAACTTCAGTGCGTTGATATTACTGCGAAGGAGGGGAATGGCAGCCAGTGCAAGAGCCTTTGCATTATCTGAATGTGGATCTAGGATTTGAGTCAAATGATATACCATGATTCGACAGCTGTCATAGGCGATGGTAGGAATCCAGGAGTCTGCCAACATTCGAGAACCATGCGCAGCCGCCTGACCAATAATAGTTGCCAAGGTCCGAGCTGCATCGAAGAGAACTTGCTGTACATGTTGAAGAAAGTCCCCCTGTTCAGGAGGGAAGTCGAAAGCGGCTCGGAGTTTGTAAAGCGCTGGGGCCCCTAATCGATATAGGTCGCAGACGGTTTGATAGTGCGCGCAATGGAGCAAACACAGTGCGCCTAATTGCGAAGTATCTTTGCGAATGTAAATTGCATCGGGTGTGAATTGTAGACTTGCCGGTAGAGAGTCATGCCATGCCCGGCAATCCGAATCTAAAAGCGCAAATTCCGATGCAGGGTCCCATGGAACCATAGCGTCTCCCAAATGCTTGATGTATCTTATTCAACGTCAGATTTAGGAAAAAGTAAATTCGATGCTGTAAATACCTTAAAACTCTTTTGCGGATTGAAATCTGTCGAATAAAATACGCCATTATTCCCATGTTGGGCAAAAGGGTCTTCGTATCTGAATCTTCCGGCAGGATTTTGAGCCAACTTCCAGGATATAAAGTTTCTGTAAGGCAGGGTATATGCTGGATGAAGTTGCGCTCGTTACAGGGAAGTTGAATCTTGATATCCCTTTCATCCATGAGTGTGAGCTGGTCTACGCCGCTGCCAACAAGCGCATCCATTATATAGCAACTCCACATCAACCGCCGACGAGACTCTTTTGTTGTAACTGGAAGGCCATCACCGGTATCCTGGCACAGGATGTCGGTGTTGTATTCCAGATTGATCTGTAGCGCCTGAGTCATGCGTGCAGTGAGTCCACTCAGCATGAACGCGTTGGCAAAGTTCCCCAGTCGAACAGCATAATCATGAAGCAGAACGGCCGCCTTATTAGATCATTAGTTTCAAAATAAAAATGTGCTTAGTTCAGAGCGTACCATGAGACTTTCAATCGTCACACGATCTATTGTTTCAAGAATAAGTGTTTGGGCAAATTTAGCCCATTGGGTGCCTGCAAGAAGGATGAATTTGGGCTCAAGTGGAGCTGTTGTCTCGCTATATGAAAGAGTGTAAAACCTTCAAGAGATAAGCTTAGTGGACTCTCCTCTCGAGATAGTTGACCTTACTGGGCTCCCAATGCACATATGACATGCAAAAGAGCATTATTGTGGTGGTTCGAAATTTCTCCATCCAATCGTTGTAGGAAGGAAGGTTTGTGGATAAAGGCGAAGGCACGCAGCGGGTGGATGTTGATAAAATACTGTTCAACTAACATCGCAATTCTCGATGGGTTGGGCAGGCGTTGGGCAACCAACCTGCAGCTAGTGAGCAGAGGTGTAACATGTAGGAAAGGATCTCGCAGCTCACCAGTCAAGTGGATATGATGAACTCCCGGTTTCCACCAGGGGAGATTCCTCTGTCATAGTTGACGTTCGCATTAAACTGGGTGGGTCGGATGGTGTCTTGCCAAAAGACCGTTCAGACATAGATGGTAGGGATATAGAGCAGTCCCCGTTGTTTGTCGGGGTCACGTTGACTCTGCGCACCCAAGTGGGCTGTGTGGACTCGGCGTAAAAACATTCGTTTGAACATTTCCAACGGCATCGTTGACATGGTCGCTCACCGGAGCATTTGGTTTTGGAGGCACGGCATGCTGTGCAAGATCGGTACGTCCTTCTTCCTCTCCCAGAATCCCCCTGGTCTGCTTCACCTCCGGTTGTTTGAGATCTCAGCGGCGTTGTGTAGCCAGAACAGACAAGTCGTAGTCGAGCACAGTTACCGCATTCGCCAGGTTTTTCATCACATTTGACCTGTGAAATTGTGATTGCTTGTTTTAGAATACCAAGTCATCTGGGGTAGAAATATATCTCACTTTTCGGGCACGACAGGTGCGACAGCCTACACGTACCTAGGTGTTAGGAGGGTGACCAATCCATGGGTCCAAGAGAATGACTCACCGAACCGTGATCGCGATGATTTATTATTCGGACCCATGCTAGAAGGAGAGTCAACAATTTAGTAGCGTCATGAACATTCAGAGGTTTCGGATCATCGGTCGGCGAAGTGATTGCGGGACATGCAAGTCGAATGACGAAATCCCCGATGTGGGGAAGGTCTATATCTAGAAAGAGCTTAGCGTCTAGTTATATGATATACCTACCTAGTTAGGTAGTTATATATACATGTACACATCAATAAGTAACTATAAGAGTAAGATCATCTTATCTACCTAGGTATAGGTTGCACTATGTGGTCCCAGTACGGCGTTTGGCTTCGAGTTCTTACCTCAGCTGGATGAAATGTCTGTATAATCATACGCAACTAGTTGGACTGCAACAGGTTAATTGAACGTTGAATGATTGGTTGATTGATTGACTCCAGACACACTTATGCCATGTTGAATTAACACGAAGAGCTGGATATCGTAAAGGAGTGTGTAGTGAAAGCTAGGTTGAATAGTGATTCGACCAGGAAACTATCGAAAGGGAACAATGAGAAGGCTCAACTTTCAGTTATGCGATGAAGGGACCTTAATAGTCATCTCCACGACTGATCACTTCTTTGCATGATTCTCGCAGCAGAATTGTCTAGAAAGGTCAGCATCGCAGTTTGGTTTATAAAGAAGAAATTCCACAAACATGTTCAAATTGAGCGGAATACGATCCTTTCACGTCCATCAGAGGTTGGTAGACCTCGACATACCCATTAGAAACTAGGTTGTTCATCTGTTTATATAAGCACCTGGTCTTCTGTTGAGGAGATACTGTATGGAGACTCACACCAGCTAGATAACGTTCGACGCCAAGCCGTTCAAGATAACGGCGACAGAAGACAAGTGAGCCAAAATTTTCGTTGATTTTCTGATAAAGGGTCTTCGCACTGGCAAGGTGCGATGTGATCCTTTTTGGTGCGGATGGGTCTTTACCGTAACCATAGACCCCAGGCTAAAGAATTGCGTGAGTATGTGATGACTGTAGGCAAGATGGATGAAACCTACTCCATCAAAGAGATAGCCACGACCAGTCGTTCCAAATGTTTCAATAGCAAATATCTCTCCAGCTTCCATCTTAGTGTTATCATTGTTCTTGACAAATGGTATAGATTTCCCAGCGTGAATGCGATATTGCTCGATATTGTGGCCAGTGATGTTGCGCACTGCCTTGACAGGGAAGGTGTGACCATTGATGTCAACCTCGTAGCTTTCCATTGCTTCCTGTATGGCAGCGCTAACATCGCTGATGCGGACATCGACTCCCGCAGTCTAGAAGTGGTCAGCGTTAAATCGAGCCTGAAACCCAAGGATTGTTTACCTTAATGCCAGTATTTGTCGCGTCCTTAACAGCGGCAAGCAGACTATCATAGGTTGGGTCAAATGACATTGTAAAGGCACTGTCAACAATCCAGCCATTTATATGAACGCCAAAATCGACCTTCATGACATCACTTGACTCAAGGACCACATCCTTTTGACCCGGGTTAGGAGTGTAGTGTGCAACACAATTGTTGAGTGACAAACCCGTAGGGAAGCCTAGTCCGGATCTAAGACCTTGCCCAGTTTCAAGACCAGCATTATCGAGCAACGCTCTCACGCCATCCTCGATTCCCACTGCAATCTCCGTCAGAGTCTGGCCTGGATGAACACTCTCTTGCGTCCAACGTCGGACTTGGCGGTGTACCTCCGCAGCCTTCCGATAGTCATTCAAAAAGGTGTCATCTTCGATGTGATGACGGGACTGGTATCGGACTTCCTCAGCGGGGGTGCGGGTCGTATTTTCAACCACAGGCTCATAAAGTTGAGCCTCGCCATGTGGATACCGGCGATCAGGGAAGAGATCAACGAGGGGAATTCGCGGTGGTGAAGATTGCTTCAACACGGAAGATTTCTTCTTGGGCCTCTTTCGTCTCTTCTTCGAATTTGTTGAGGGTGTAGTTTGCGAGGTCAACGGCAAGGTAAGAGTGCGGGGGATATTGTCCCCATCAGGATCGTCATCTCCATCTCCTTCTCCAAGACTGCCATCACCATCCCGGGACCAATGCGCGCCTCGAGGTTCCCCACCAGTGACATTCGGCTTGGCTGAGCTGGAAGGAGCGTCTGCGAAATGTCAGCCGACTTCGATGGAGGCCTACCGGTATAAGACTTACTACCACCCCCTTCGTTTTCATTTTCCGATGTTTTAGAGCCCATGTTGACATGAGGAAAACCAACTCTGTGATAATGGAAAGTGCAAAACGGATTATTTTAGAAGGAAAGTCCACAGCCCCTGGAGCCTGGTAGCGTATCGTCTTGGTCGTGTTTATGGTGTTTGCGATGTTTGCCGTGTTTGCGATGTTTGCCGCTTTGAAGATCTCTCCACGGTCCACTTCTTCCCACGGGTGCACCCGTGGACTTTATTATGAACAATCGTCGAATCAGGTACTCAGGTACCCCTTGGTGGAATGGCCACGATTTGGATACACGGACAACATCTGATTACGTCAGGTTGACATGTCGACAACAATGCCGTCGACAAATGACAGGATCGTGAAGATCACCCCAATTTTCGGATTTCCCCTGACATAGCAAGCTTTCTTTCCCCAATTCGAAGTTCAAGAATGACACTCCCAAATAACTGTGACACTGATACCGAGGGGAAATCGACCCGGACGATCAAATCACCGCCGAAGGACGTGTAAAGGACGAAGCTCTTACTTACGCAGAATGGGGTTGACCCTATCTTTATAGAAGGAAAATACCCGGGAGAAATCCCCGAAGAGATCGCTGATTATCTGCCTCCTGGCAGATGGTAGGATCAAACAGAAACATCTTATGGATTTTCGGGTACAATGATATCGTCGATGTTATCGACGATCCCGCCTGCCTTCTCGACGACGAAATAGTCGGCGTGTCCAATAGAGTTCACCCGGCGTCTTTTCTGTTTGCCCGCTATGCCAGCGAGGATAAGCTACCCCGCCCCCGTTCTTCACAAGTACTTTGACGGCCGGGCCCCTGCCCCTACCACGGCTTTCGTCATGCCGGTCTTCGACATACCGCCTCTGGTCTCCTATGAACCGACCAATCACCAATTCCGCGACCTATACCCTCTTGGCCGAACCCGCGACTTTCCAAGTCACCTTCGATCCCTACGTGTGAAGTTCAAGAAAAAGATAGAAAACACTTGTGATATGGTCCAGGAAAAGTTGCCTGGCGTCTTCGATTTTGAAAAAGATGATCTTTGGTTTCGAAGGATGAACCTGAGGTCCCTGATGCTGTTGATGTCATTCTTTGTTCCGGTCATATCGACTTCAAATTCCGACAACGAGTACGAGTTCGGCCCTGGAATTTACGCCACCAATGACTTCGACGAAGGAGCCAAATATGCCCACCCTCAAGGAGATCTTCAAGAATCCCGACTTCAGAGACCTTTCGGTGTGGGAGCCGGGCAAAGACGAATGGAACAATCTGACGGCGACCTGGCTTAATATCCACCAAAAGAATCTTAAAATATCTGATTCTCATAATGATGCCGACGTTATCAAAGGGCCTATTTCATCGGACCAACACCAAGTACGGGCGACTAAGTATGCCACCCGACACATAACTCTCTCATTGGTTTATATTGCCAGGCAATAATTTAGATCCACTCTCACTTCACAAATATCATGTTGAATTGAATCTGAAGTGAATATGAACTGAATCTGAATTGAATCTATAAAGTGTATAGTATACAAATAAAACAGTAATGATGCGGTGAGGTAATAACCAATGAGAGAGTTATGTGTCGGATGGCGTATTTAGTCGCCCGTAACCAAGCCCGGAAGCGTGGCTGTTATCCACCGCAGAGCGGAATCACCCAAATTACTTGCGTTACCTACGATAGCTGCAGGGCCCTCACCAAGTCGTTGGTCGCAATTATCTATTTCCACCAATAACTGCGTGAAGTGAATCACCCCATGATTTGTTACATGGTTGCTACTCAGCCTTTGTTGAAATGGCGATCTGTCTTGCACTCGCCCGGCATCGTTCGCTGTCCGCCGTGAATTACTGTGAAGGACCCGTTAAGGCGGACTAGGGTAAATAATATTCCTCTCAAGTGTCTATCTACCTAGATAGTTACCTAGGTAATCAATATCTTCTTCTTCTGTAATATCACCCACCATTACACTGCAGGGAAATGCGCTAAACTCTAAGCTCCCCTCTTTAGACATAATTAGCCTCGAATAGAAGTGGACTAATTTCAAAATAAAAGCATCAAAATATCAAAACATCAAAATATCAAAACATCAAAACATCAAAACATCAAAACATCAAAACATCAAAACATCAAAACATCAAAACAGAATAATTGTATGAAAGACGGCCAATCGCAGTCGGCCGGCACCGTCGGTCTAAACCGAAGCAACTCGGTCACCGCCGGGAATTCCCCGTGGATCGATGATAAGGCCAGCATTTAAATGTGCGGGAAAGAACTTCAGATTCTCCATTACTTCTCAATTCCTTCTCCAAGTTGAACCCCTCTGGCAATACTTCTTTCAGAAAAGTTAAGCGAATTCCATACCTGCACATCTGCAAGGAAACCTCCACCATGGGTAACGACCAGAAGCTCGGTGCCTATTACGCACCCAAAGGCGGATTGCCACCACAGACACAGATCCTCACCGACCGTGCCATGTTCACCGAAGCGTACGCGGTAATTCCGAAGGGCACATTCAGCGACATCGTGACGAGCTTCCTTCCTTTCTGGGACAAGACACGGTTATGGGTGATTGCCCGTCCGTTATCAGGCTTTGCCGAAACATTTTCCCAATACATCATGGAAGTGCAACCGGGGGGCGGCAGCGACCGTGGTGAAACAGACGACAGTGCACAAGGTGTCGTGTTTGTCGTCGAGGGCGAAGTGACGATTACCCTGGGAAGCCAGAAACACACGCTTACCGAGGGCGGCTATGCCTATCTACCACCGAAGAGCGGCTGGAACCTGCGCAACATAGGTGCGACCACCGCCCGTTTTCATTGGATACGCAAGGCCTACGAATATGTAGAGGGACTCGATAAGCCTGAGCCGCTTTTCCTCAATGAAAAGGATCTTCCGCCCACGCCGATGCCGAACACCAACGGTGCTTGGGCGACTACTCGATTCGTTGACCCGAGCGATCTGCGCCATGATATGCATGTCACCATTGTCACCTTCGAGCCCGGCGGTCTTATACCATTCGCTGAAACGCATGTCATGGAACATGGGCTTTATGTACTAGAAGGTAAAGCCGTGTACAGGCTCAATCAGGACTGGGTGGAAGTGGAAGCGGGTGATTTCATGTGGTTGCGCGCCTTTTGTCCGCAGGCCTGTTACGCGGGTGGCCCTGGCAAATTCCGCTACCTTCTCTACAAGGACGTGAACCGTCAGATGAAGTTGTCGCGGTTGTAATAGCCGAACACACTTTGTCAACTTGCAACCCAGTCATACCACGGTCCTTGTCACTCGAGGGGGTTAGTGCGGCCGTCGCACGACCAAGGGTGATTCTCACTCTGATTCGCACCTCTCCGGTGACACCCAACTACTGGCCGCAGACAAGCCACACGCCAGTGAATCCTCACTGTTGTATATGTTTGTGTTGTTTATAATTTAAAATGTACAAATTAAGTTCAAGTTGTGCGCCTAGATCTCTTAATCCTCGAGTCCATCACATTGATATATATAGTCTAATACTACACTCGTAATGGTTCCACCATCGCATTTGGGAGGTTACTACGCAGCACTGCGGACATTATATATAGTTACATACATGGTAAAGTTGCAGCTGTAAAGTCCAGCGCCTTATTGAACATATAGAAAGTCAAGAACTTCCTGTTTATCTTTTAACATTTTACTTGGTTCATCAACCCGATAACTATATAGTTATGTAGACTAGCTTTCCGGTGCCTTTACATAAATTTATGCATCATCACTCTAACTATCTGCACATTTATGATTACATACGTGGTAAAAAAAGTTGAGAATCAAACTGGACGATGAGAATCGAGACCTAGTCACTACTGAAGTCCATGGTGGTCTCCACACAATTGGTACAATATGCAACATGCAATACTCGCACCGCTACACAAAGTACGTTTCTTTTCGCGTTAAGTGTTAGATTACCTCAGCGGGGCTCTAGGTAAGTTCGTCTAAGTGGTACTGTAGTACTGTACAGCCTACCTGAACATATATGGTTATATAAATCTGTTCAATCCGTTGAACAAGATTACTACTATGTTGGGAGAAAGCGGAGGAACATTAATTGATTAAACTAGAAATGCAGAGGGTTTTATACCCTATTAAACCATCTAAACCATACTCGATCTGTAGCAAACAAGCTAGGAAATAGCAAACAAAAGGGGCCCAGTCTGTAGCAAATAGCAAACATGCAATTGGCAAACATGCATGTATGGGAGATTGTTCAACAAAATCAATTATCTAAAAATTCGGATATCTTCGAAAATCTTCTAATGCTCAACACCAATCCGCAAGCTACCGTTGAAATCCCTAAAGTCACCCCTCAAAATTCCGATACCGTCTCGCCTGACTTCCTCAACTAAGGCCTTGACCTTAGGTGCGATGCTCTTCGGTGCAAATCCAAAGTGCTCGTATGTCTCCTTTGAAGGAAGGCTCTTTCCAAAGCTGTTCATCGACACCGAAGCATCAGCATAGCGTTCCCACCCATTGGACGGGTAAGCCTCGATCGCGACAGTGGGCCTTTCAGCGTGCGACCTCAAAACCGATTGCTTGTAATCCCGCGACTGCTGCTCAAATAGCCTAGTACAAGGGAAAGAAACGACTCGTGCCCTGACACCATGGTCGTTGAGAAGCAGTTCCCTAGTCTGCATCGCGTAGCCCATCTCAGACCCGACTCCGATCAAGGTTACATCGAAATCATCGCCCCCGGCCTCCGCGAAGACGTACGCGCCCTTGAGCGTACCCTCGCGCGAAGAGTGTTGGGGGTACTGGGTCAGGCTCTGCCGGGAGAGTGAGATAACAGTAGGTGTCTCAGTGGCTTGGATGGCCGCGATGTAGGCTCCGGCCACTTCTTCTGCGTCGCATGGCCGGATATAAAGAACATTAGGCATGGCACGGTAAAGAGCGGCAACGGCAATGGGTTGGTGGGTAGGTCCGTTCTCACCAACGCCAATACTGTCGTGGGTGGCGATGTGAATCTGCTGCAGGCCTTGAAGCGCGGCCATGCGCACCCCAGCAGCGGCGTACAAGTGGAAGACAAAGTAGGTGCTTGTCATGGGGATAAAAGTGCCTTTGTTGAAGGCAGAAAGCCCGTTGGAGATAGAGCACATGGCGTGCTCACGGATACCGTAGTGGATATATCGACCGCTGTAGTCTCCGTTCAGGCCACACGCAGTTTGGAGTTCGGGCTAGTTTTGCATTAATATCCTGCTTTGAACTTGTAAAGAGCAAACTGAACATAATATACTTACGGATTGGAAGTCGACTTTGTTTTTGTAGGAGACATTGACCGAGGGAGTAAGATCCGCTGTTCCGATCAAGAATGAATTTATATTCACCGCAAGGGCGTTGGTCACGACACCGGCTGACTTTCGTGTGGCCGTTGGCGCGGTGGGCTGGTCTTGCGTGCGAGGAATACATTTGGTCCAGTCCTCGGGCATCTTGCCTGCAACACGGAGCGCAAATTCAGCTGATAGTACGGGGTCTTCAATCTGATACTTCACCAGGGCGTTTTGCCAGGCGGCTTCGTGTGCCGCACCACGACCAGGGATGTCACTGAAGAAGTCATAGACGTCTTGGGGGATGTGGAAATGCTGGTCAGGGTTGAGGCCGAACCTCCTCTTGAAGTTAGCCACTTCGTCGACTCCAAGCGCAGCCCCGTGTATGTCGGCAGTGCCGGCTTTGGCAGCCCCGTAGCCAATAGTGGTACGAACGTTGAGGAAGGTGGGCTTGTCGCTCAATTTAGCACCAAGAAGAGCGTTTGTGATTTCTGATGTATATTAGCACAGCTTTCAGCGCCAAGTTGAAGGTGCTCTGAGACTTTACCGGCAACATCTGAATTCCCGTTGTACACGTCTATAACGTTAAAACCGGTGGCCCGCATCTTGGTGTTGATATCCTCGGTGTTGGCGACATCAGCAGTCCCGTCACACGTAACCGAGTTATTGTCGAAGATAACACAGAGATTGTTTAGCTTCCAGTGACCAGCGAGGGACAGCGACTCGAGACCAACACCCTCCTGAAGGCAAGCATCGCCCACCATGCACCATGTCATGTTATTCACTAGCTCATGGCCGGGCTTGTTGTAAGTCGCGGCAAGGTTCTTAGTGGCCATGGCAAGGCCAACGGCACTGGCGAGACCCTGGCCGAGTGGTCCAGTTGTAACCTCTATACCCTCATTCTCAATTTCAGGGTGGCCAGGGCAGACTGAGTCGAGCTTTGATGAGTGGTAGGACTTGAGCTGTTCAAGTGTCATGCTCTTCACGCCAACAA